CTCGTACAGCACTAAAGGGCTGGACTCGACTCTCCCCGGTTTGCGGACGCTTCCACCGCTCGCTTCAATCGCTCCCCGGTACTTTTTATTAATGGTTTGGCCCTGGTTCTAACCGGGCGAGTCGATACCAGAACAATTTCACGTCAGCGAACATCAATTATGATTCCGAAATGAATGCTTGCAATCTCTAACCAAGAAAAAAAAATCAAGTTTCAACCCAGTGTTCAGCAGAAACACAACTGTCTTTAGTAAAAGATATAGATTTGACACATAACACCAACACCACTTTAGCTGATTTAGAACCACAGACACATGCTCAGTATAAGACCAGATACTTTTGCATTTGATTGAAGACAGACACTCACCAGGCAGAGTTGGCTTATCTCCTGGTGTAATGCTAGTTGTTGTTAGCTGGTTTTAGCATGTTAGCCGGTGTTAGCCGATGTCCGTAAATGTAATCCATTTGGTCAAACCACCTCCAGACTTTTCGGGTCTGCCTCTACTTCTGCTGCTGCGATCTTTCATTTCACGGTTGTCACTTTTAAGCTTTTTAACTTTTCTCTGCATTGTCATGTTTGTGGGAATCATTCTGCTCCGTCCTTAGTGCTAGCTCCACAAACACCTTCTGGTTTCTGGTGGAACCAGCGAGATCAGGCTGGTGTCCTCTCCTCAAACTGAGGAAGGTGTTGCCCTCATCCAGCGACCAAGGAATTCTTTTCCGTACGGACGTCATGGTTCGAGGCAACGTGTTGTTTGTTATGATATTTGCTACAGCTGAGGTAGCAGTTGCAGAGTGATTGACAATGCATCTGACCAATCAGAATTGACGTTCGCCGACGTCAGATTGTTTTGGCGGCCTGGCTAGTGTAGTGAAGTCGGCCTTTACTATTGGTCAGAACTACATATGGAATGAAAGGCAGCGCCACCACCGAGGCGTTTTTGACGCTTGTCGAGTGAAAGCCCGAGAGCCGCACGGAACCAGCCAAAGAGCCGCATGCGGCTCACGAGCCGCGGGTTGGCCACCCCTGCTTTAGGTGGACTCCCGAGGCAGAGATGGCATTCACTGCACTTAAAGAACTTTTCGTTACTGCACCTGTTTTGAGCCATCCAGATCCTTGCAAGCAATTCATAGTCGAGGTTGACGCTTCAGACACCGGGGTTGGGGCAGTGTTGTCCCAGTGTTCAGACAAGGACTCTAAATTGCATCCATGTGCTTTTTTCTCGCATCGTCTCTCCCCTGCTGAGCGTAATTATGACGTTGGAAACAGGGAACTTCTGGCAGTGGTCCTGGCCCTTCAGGAATGGAGACATTGGCTTGAGGGTGCTGAACAGCCTTTTATTGTCTGGACTGATCACAAGAATCTCTCCTATCTCCACTCAGCTAAGAGATTAAACTCCCGTCAAGCACGTTGGTCTCTGTTCCTTGGAAGGTTTAACTTCACACTCACTTACCGTCCCGGATCCCGCAACGTTAAACCTGATTCGTTATCGCGTCAATTTACTGTCGACGAACCAGAACCTCAGCCAGATGCTATTCTCCCTCTGTCCGGCGGCGGGGTAGGGGTTTCCGGTATCTTGTTGACTGGGAGGGTTATGGCCCGGAGGAGCGGTCCTGGGTTCCCCGTGGTTGCATCTTGGATGCCGCCCTCCTCCGGGATTTCTACCGGGCCCATCCTGACCGGCCTGGTCGGACGTCGGGAGCCGTCCGTTAGGAGGGGGGTACTGTCATGCCCTGCTGCTCGCCCCCTCCCCTCCTGTGCATGGGTGGAGTTCTGGAGCTGCTCACCTGCTCGTGATTGGCAATCATCATCCTACTTCAGCTGTGCTCTGCTGCCAGTCGATGCCAGATTGTCCGTCATTGATGGTGATTTTTCCAGTCGGCCTTGTGAGCTTGAATCTGTTTTTTGTGAACAACTACTTACCTATTTTTTCCCTGTGTTTCCAGTCCGCCAGTCTGCTCCAGTCTCTGCCTGCCTTTTTGTTCCCGTTTTGTTCCAGACCCTGCCAGCCTCCGTTACATTTTATTTTTTGTAATAAATACATTTTTGGAAAGTCTTGCGTCTCCTCTGGGTCCCCTCCATTACGCCATGACACAAATCCATTTTAAAAAAACACTCTTTTTGTCCTTTAAACAAATAAATCACACACCTTCAACAAATCACAATGCACCAGACTCCTGGCTAGCTCGCCACGCTGTAACAACAGGTTGTTTAGGCCAGATGTGACTGCGATTCAACTCTGAGTACTATTCAAAAGACTTGTTCGGGAAGGAGCCTGGGGCGTGAGGTGTAGAATGAGTGGTACAAAACAACTGATTGAGTTTTGAGTTTGGTATTGTATTAAAAGGAGAAAGTAAATAACACAATTGTACAGAATAACAATATAACAATACTGACAGCCACAACCTCGCTGATAACGATACTGTTCTCACAATTCACACGGTCTGTGTTAGAGTCCGTGCTCCCATTCAAAGGGAGAGAAGAAAAACCAAAATAGTCCACGATAGTCCAATATTGTCCGTTGGACGTAAAGGAAAAAAAAAGAATTGATAGTCTTTTATCCTACCAGGAGTCCATGGCAGGGACAGGGAAATATCAGGATGAGGTGTGGAAACAGCTCAGTACAAAAAAACCGGACCTAACAAGAGGCCAGAAAAAGACAAATGAATGTTAAGAAAATAAGAGTTAGCTATGTAATGCTCTTAGTTGACTAAACTTAAATTCAATGTATCTATAAGATACAAGATATTTACAATCTAACACTGCAGATTAGTCTCAGTATACACTAACGCTTAACTTAAACACTTCAATGAGAGTACTTCAATAATTATTTAAATTTACATAGTCAATATTTCAAAAGATAGCTGCATACATTACATAATGTAGTACAATTAAATAATACGCTACTTGAACATAAGTACAAGTATGTGGAATCATTAATTCACTGGGTGTAGATCCAAAAGGGATCAAACAAAAATGTCATTTCCAGTGCATCAAACGCACTTTGGTAATCAATAAATAATGTATTTCCATTCAGGATCATAGTGCACTAATAATAATTTTCTTCTCTAAATGTTTCAGTTATCATGGGAACATAATTTGCATGATAACTAAGTGTTGCGCAACAAAACTTTAGAGTCTCTGACGTATATAGCTACAATAATCAGGTGTTGTCAATCCGGACATCACTGGGGATTTGCGGTTATTTACAAACAAAAGTGTCTAAGCGGTACTAACAAACACTCACTGCGGTAAACAAAGATATTTATCAACACATTAACTTACTGCCTAATATTCGGGTTGGCTTGTTTATGAATCAAGTAAACAGCGTACCTTGAATTGCGTGGGCTTTGACGCTACTCCACACGCGCCCACATGGAAGCGTGGAGTCTACAAAGAGTTTGCAAAGATTAGCGACTGATCATGCGGTTTGCAACATGGACATTTAATTTGCATGATGCCGAACAGTTGGCAAAAGGCTCACCTTTATGATAGAGGGAAAAACGCTCCGATAACAAAGTTGTGCAGCTTTGTAACGCTAGCCCGCAGCTATGACATGCCACAGGTACAGCGGAGGAGAGCGTCAAGTGGGGGAGCGCGCATCATAAGGGAAACCAGCAGATGTGGCGGAAGCTGACCCGCAACAATAAACTAAAACTAAACTGAAATGCGGGTTACACAAAACAAAGACTAAAACGAGGATTTATATCAGGACGCCTTTGAACAATTGAGACAGCTATAAAAGTTTACGTGTGATGCAAAGTTTGCTGCTTTGTCTCTGTTCTTCAGAGCAGTCCTCACCGTGTGAATCGGTGGTCAAGTGGTTTAAGCTACGTGCTCACGATGCAGTGGCCTGGGTTCGAGTCCTCTCAGAGTCTTTTTGTATTTAACTGCATGTTATCACATTCTATGACAGATTGCTCTAAAAACGGTAACAGACGAAGGTCAAGACGTTTTTTTGCAGATTTTGGCTTAATTGTAAAAAGAATCATTTGAGACCACATGTATCCAATTAAAATAATGTTAGTCTCTGTTTGATGTGGGACTTTTACATGTTTGTCTAAAAAGTAGGGAATAAATAAAATGTAAGGGTGATATCCTCTGGAGCAAACTCTGATGTTGATACGCTGAAGAAATACATTCCAACATCCATTCTTCCCACTCCTATTTTGGACATCAAATACTTATTCATTTTGGATAATCTATAATTACATTGCTTTTATTTGGTTTTGTGTTTTTTATCTCAAATGTCCAAATAAAAAAATAAAAAAATGTTTGCTGCTGGATTTGGTGAGTATCTGGCAACCTGAGTCAGGGAGAGTGGGAGAGGACTACACAATATTGACTGTGACTGCAGTACCACTTTTGGCCAGATTTTTACATATTGTTCCTTTAAAGCATTGTTTTTAGGACGTCGTCTAAACACATCTATGTGTCTCACATCTATGTGAGGCAAAACAAATATTAAACCGCCTCCTCTGTTTAGGGATGGTTTGTTTTTTGTCACAAAAATGGCTTCTTTCACCCCTCTCTCAAACCAATTAATGTCTCGAGCCAGAATTTTAACCTCCATGGTGTGGTTGGTGGCCTTGAGATGGAGATGCACAGTCGGTTGTGGCCCACTAGAGTGTCCTCTACGATGTGGGTAAAGTCGTGTGACAATTCAGTTCATTGATTGAATGAGTCCTGAGCCGTGTAAGAGGGAGGTCCTCCTCACAGATGAACTACATCCAGACTGGGGCCACATGAGACTCTAACATTCAATCTACTTTATTCTGTGTCCGTCTCAAATGTCAAAACCAACTCCTGCTTTTAATCACAAACCTCAGCACAGTCTGAATGTTGGTATGAAAACCTGCAGTTAGATATTTGGACTGAATCCTGCAGCTGTAGGACAAGAACACAAGTGTGGAAAACCATCAGAGCAAAAGTCACGTTCAGTAACTGTTAAAACAGACCAGAAAATAATAAACAAAGTGAGTGACTCTTGTTCTGATTCAGACTCTACAACATGGACCCACGAGGATCTGGCCCCGGGTCTAAACCCAGACCTGGACCTGGACCTGGACCTGCTCCCAGCTCTCAGTCTCTGAAAAGTGACCGGTCCAACTCCCCTCCTCCTGAGTTCAGAGAAGATGGTCCTGAAGATCAGAGGTGAGACTTGAACACATGTTGTTAAGACAGTGCTGTGTCTCGTCCTTCATCAAAGACTGTGGTTCTGTGGCACTTTGTAAATAAACAGCATGAATGTAGAATCTACTGAAGACACCAGGAGCGGGTCTTTACACTGAGGGAGAGACAGAGAACTCCTTTAGTCCTGGTTTAGTTCTGTTGGATCAGTGTCAATAAATCAAATAATAAAACATCGAGCTTTTTAGACGCTCAAAGACACTTTACAGAAGAACAAATCAGAAACTAAATAAAAAGTTAGTAATAAACAGTTAAATGTAGGAAGTTTTGAACTGGTGGTTTTTGAGCAGTGGATCTGAGGGAGGGAGGAGGTCTGAGGGAGGGAGGAGGTCTGAAGGAGGGAGGAGGTCTGAGGGAGGGAGGAGGTCTGAGGGAGGGAGGAGGTCTGAGGGAGGGAGGAGGTCTGAAGGAGGGAGGAGGTCTGAGGGAGGGAGGAGGTCTGAAGGAGGGAGGAGGTCTGAGGGAGGGAGGAGGTCTGAGGGAATGAGGAGGTCTGAGGGAGGGAGGAGGTCTGAGGAGGTCTGAGGGAATGAGGAGGTCTGAGGGAGGGAGGAGGTCTGAGGAGGTCTGAGGGAATGAGGAGGTCTGAGGGAGGGAGGAGGTCTGAGGGAGGGAGGAGGTCTGAGGGAGGGAGGAGGTCTGAGGGACTGAGGAGGTCTGAGGGAGGGAGGAGGTCTGAGGAGGTCTGAGGGAATGAGGAGGTCTGAGGGAGGGAGGAGGTCTGAGGGAGGGAGGAGGTCTGAGGGAATGAGGAGGTCTGAGGGAGTGAGGAGGTCTGAGGGAGGGAGGAGGTCTGAGGAGGTCTGAGGAGGTCTGAGTCTGTGGGTCTGAGGGAGTGAGGAGGTCTGAGGCAGTGAGGAGGTCTGAGGGAGTGGATCCGAGAGAGTGAGGAGGTCTGAGGGAGTGAGGCGGTCTGAGTCTGTGGGTCTGAGGGAGTGAGGGAGTGAGGCGGTCTGAGTCTGTGGGTCTGAGGGAGTGAGGAGGTCTAAGGGAGTGAGGAGGTCTGAGGGAGTGAGGAGGTCTGAGTCTGTGGGTCTGAGGGAGGGAGGAGGTCTGAGGGAGGGAGGAGGTCTGAGGGAGGGAGGAGATCGATTTCACAGTGACATTTGTTTACCGTTTTATTTGTTTTATTTTTGTCTTTTAATGTTGTTTTATGTCTGTATTTGTCTGTGCACACTGGAGACTTTTGCTAATGTATTCCTATGTGGTGTTTTTACTGCAAATGGCAAATAAACTGAATCTGAATCTGAGATCTGAGTCTGTTGGTCTGAGGGAGTGAGGAGGTCTGAGGGAGTGAGGAGGTCTGAGTCTGTGGGTCTGAGGGAGTGAGGAGGTCTGAGGAGGTCTGAGGGAGTGAGGAGGTGAGTGATGATGGAGGAGGTCAGTGATGGAGGAGGTCAGTGAGGTAAGAAGGAGCAGGTTATGGAGGACTTGTAGGTGAGGAGGAGGACTTGTAGGTGAGGAGGAGGACCTTGTGTTGGAGGAGGTGTGGAGCAGGAGCCAGTGGAGTTGTTTGAGGACGGGGCTGATGTGTTCTCTGCTCACATTCAATCAAACAGACGTAAAAATAATAAACAAAGTGAGTGACTCTTGTTCTGATTCAGACTCTACAACATGGAGCCACGAGGATCTGGCCCCGGGTCTAAACCCAGACCTGGACCTGGACCTGGACCTGGACCTGGACCTGGACCTGCTCCCAGCTCTGTTTCTCTGAAAAGTGACTGGTCCAAAGATCCTCCTCTAAACTTCAGAGAAGATGGTCCTGAAGATCAGAGGTGGGACTTGAACACATGTTGTTCAGACAGTTCTGTGTCTTAACAGCTGGGAGTCCCAGGTTTAGTGCTGTGTAGAAGCTCTTTATAGAAACAGTCCTTTTCTCTCCTGTTTGAGTCTGTGTTCTTCTATTGTGCACACTAAATAAATACTGAGTGTGTTTCACAGGGATCCAGGTCCAAAGGAGCCGCTGGACGCCATCTTGAGGGTGAGTGTCCACCACCGCAGCTTGTGTGGCCTTCTCTGGCTGCTCCTCAGCGTCTCTCTGTGAACTCTTCTCTTATTGTTCTGTTCCAGCGTCTGCAGGAGGACGTGGTGACTTTTGTCAAAGAGCAGCTGCAGAGGATCCAAAGGTTCCTGGCCTCAGATTACCCAGAATGCTGTGAGAGTGAGGTTCAGAGCAGAGAGGTTCTGAACATCGCCCTGGACTTCCTGAGGAGGATGAAGCAGGATGAGCTGGTCCAGCGCCTGCAGAGCAGTAAGAACTCTCTGTGTCTGTAGCAACACAACATGTGTTTACTAGAGACACACACATTTCTGGCTCTCAGGCTCTGAACACTCACCACACATCGGTAATGGGCCCAGATTTCACCCATATCAGACCATTCTTTTGGATCAGTGGAAGTGAGTCCAGACTTAGCAGCAGATTTGATCATTTCGGCCTCTCGTCCATCAGGTCCAGCACTTGGACTCTGTTCTTATCATTTATGGCTTTATGTATTTCACTTCTTTTACATGAAACAGTAAATGAACGTGTGAATTAGGCTATATCCACACGAAGACAAAACGCTTATAATTTCAGAAACTTTTTCTGTAAACACGGAGTTAGCTCAGTAAATGTGTGCGTCCATATGAATGTAGTCAATACGCCTGAAAACGCTGTGAAACTATGCCAGACCTGTTGGTGGCGCTGTGACGCAATGACGGGATCAAGCCCAAACTTCCGTGGGCATGCGCAGAATTTTGTAAACAGACAACATGGCGAGTGGGCGAGCTGGTACTACATTAGTATGGACGGACGATGAGGTCGAACTGTTGCTTCGGGTCACACTGGATTACAAAACCAACAAGCTACATTGTTGTTGTCATTATTTTCTGAGTGCGGCGCATGCGTGCTTTAACAAGAGGCGGGGCGATGACGCAAGCGTCTCAGATACATTGCGGAGAGGCAGTAACCACGGAGCGGCATATACGGAGTTTTGAAATCTTTCCACTCTGGGACCTAGTTTCAAAAATGTTCGTTTACACCCCCCCAAAACGCCGGCCTCGTATGGACGATACACTGGATTGATAAAGTATTTTTGCGTTTAGGCCTGAGCTTGACTTCGTGTGGACAGGGCCTTAGTTCACATTATGTGTCATGAACGGCAGACATCACTGTCTGATTACATTTTTTATTCAGATTGAGAGTTTCTAGTTTGTGCGATCATTGTGCGTCTGTAAACTTCCCAGTCATCAAGATGTTTACTGACTCTATATTGTCCAGGCTTTGTCTCTGAGTCTATATATACTGACAAGTTCTGCCTTTAACCTTTTTAGTTTTAACTGGAGCATGTTTGTTAATAACATTAGTAAGTTCTGAGTGAAAGAAGTCCCAAGCATCGTCTGTAAATGGGATCAAACACAAAAGGCTTGTGAATGTTTAGTAGATCCTATTTAAACTGATCCACGTTCATATTTTAGCAATCTCTATTTTGATCGTACAGAAGGGACCGTTGGGAATATTGATTTATTTATATTTATAGTATCTTATAGAATGGTCACTGGTACATTCACTCATGACACCAGATGCACTTATTCGTTCTGGTTGGTGACTAGAATTAAGTCCAGTAGAAATTAGTTGAGTCAAATTTACAAATGAAATGGTGTTAGCTGTTAGCCTTGTTTGTTAGCATCTTTGGCTAATGCTAATGGAGGCGGGGTCAGTTCAGTGGTCACATGGTCACAGCTGTTTGTCTTTATTCAGGAAGCACTGTTGGAGTTTGTAGAGATGAACTGAAGAAGCAGCTGCAGCAGAAGTTCAGCCGTGTGTTTGAGGGCGTGGCTAAAGCAGGAGACTCCGCCCCCCTGACCCAGATCTACACAGAGCTCTACATCACAGAGGGCGGGGCCTCAGAGGTCAACCAGGAACATGAGGTCAGACTGATGGAGAGCGCGTCCAGGAGACCAGCCGCTCCAGAGACCACCATCACCTGTGAAGACATGTTTAAGCCCCGCCCACACTCACCACAGCCAATCAGAGCGCTGCTGACGAAGGGCGTGGCCGGCGTGGGGAAGACTGTGCTGACTCAGAAGTTTAGTCTGGACTGGGCTGAAGGCAGAGCTCATCAGGACCTCCAGCTGCTGTTCCCCTTCTCCTTCAGAGAGCTCAATGTTGTGAAGGACAGAAGCTTCAGCCTGGTGGGACTCATACAGCACTTCTTCAGTCCATCCAAAGGTCTCTGCAGCTTTGAAGACCTCCAGGTGCTCCTCATCTTTGACGGTCTGGACGAGTGCAGACTTCCTCTGGACTTCAGCAGCTCTCGTGTCCTCTCAGACCCCACAGAGTCCGTCTCTCTGGACCTGCTGCTGGTGAACCTCATCAGGGGAAGCCTGCTTCCCTCCGCTCGCCTCTGGATCACCACACGCCCAGCGGCGGCCAATCAGATCCCTGCAGAGTGCGTCTCCATGGTGACAGAGGTCCGAGGCTTCACCGACCCGCAAAAGGAGCAGTACTTCAGGAAGAGGTTCAGAGACGAGCGACAGGCCACAGCGATCATCTCCCACATCAAGAGCGTCCGCAGCCTCCACATCATGTGCCACATCCCAGTCTTCTGCTGGATCCTCTCCACAGTTCTACAGAAGCTTCTGGAACAAACAGAGGAACCAGAGCTGCCCCGGACCCTCACACAGATGTACACACACTTCCTGGTGGTGCAGGCCAAAGTCCACAACATCAAGTATCAGCAGGGATCAGGGGCGGAGCTTCACTGGACTCCACAGACCAGGGAGATGGTGACGTCTCTGGGAAAACTGGCCTTTGAGCAGCTGCAGAAAGGAAACCTGATCTTCTACGACTGTGACCTGAGCGAGTGTGGGCTGGACGCTGCAGCCGCCTCAGTGTACTCCGGAGTCTTCACACAGGTCTTTAGAGAGGAGCCAGGCCTGTACCAGGACAAGGTCTACTGCTTCATCCATCTGAGTGTGCAGGAGTTTCTGGCTGCTCTTCACGTCCATCAGACCTTCTACAACTCTGGACACAACCTGCTGAAGACACCACAGTCCTCTGAGAACCTGCTGAAGACACCACAGTCCTCTGAGAACCTGCTGAAGACACCACAGTCCTCTGAGAACCTGCTGAAGACACAAGAGCCCTCTGAGAACCTGCTGAAGAAACCACAGTCCTCTGAGAACCTGCTGAAGACACCACAGTCCTCTGAGAACCTGCTGAAGACACCACAGTCCTCTGAGAACCTGCTGAAGACACAAGAGCCCTCTGAGAACCTGCTGAAGAAACCACAGTCCTCTGAGAACCTGCTGAAGACACCACAGTCCCCTGAGAACCTGCTGAAGACACCACAGTCGTCTGAGAACCTGCTGAAGACACCACAGTCGTCTGAGAACCTGCTGAAGACACCACAGTCCTCTGAGAACCTGCTGAAGAAACCACAGTCCTCTGAGAACCTGCTGAAGACATCACAGTCCTCTGAGAACCTGCTGAAGACACCACAGTCCTCTGAGAACCTGCTGAAGACACCACAGTCCTCTGAGAACCTGCTGAAGACACCACAGTCCTTTGAGAACCTGCTGAAGACACCACAGTCCTCTGAGAACCTGCTGAAGACACCACAGTCCTCTGAGAACCTGCTGAAGACACCACAGTCCTCTGAGAACCTGCTGGAGGTCGAACAAACCTCTTTCTTCAAACAGCTGTTTAAAAAGAATAACTTGAGTGTTCTACACCGCTGTGCTGTGGACCAGGCCTTACAGAGTCCAAACGGACACCTGGACCTGTTCCTGCGCTTCCTCCTGGGGCTGTCTCTGCCGACCAATCAGAGGCTGCTGTCAGGACTGACTCAAACAGGAAGTGACTCAGGGACCAATCAAGAGACAGTAAAGTACATCAAAGAGAAGCTGGATGAAAAGGATCGGTCTGCAGAGAGAAGCATGAACCTGCTGCACTGTCTGATGGAGCTGAACGACCTCAGTCTGGTGCAGCAGATACAGAAGAACATGAGAGAAGGAAGACTCTCCTGGTTAAGTTCTCCTGCTGAGTGGTCGACTCTGTCCTTCGTCTTACTGTCCTCAGACTCAGACCTGCAGGACTTTGACCTGAGGAAATACCAGGCCTCAGAGAGAGCTCTCCTGGGTCTGCTGCCGGTGGTCAGAGCCTCCACCAAAGCCCTGTGAGTCCAGACTGTGTTGAAGGTCTTCTGTGGAGGGTCTAGTCTCTAATGTGTCTCTGTCCTCAGGTTGAGGGAGTGTGGACTGTCCCCTCACAGCTGTGGTCCGCTGGCCTCAGTCCTCAGCTCCTCCAGTCTCACACACCTGGATCTGAGTAACAACGACCTCCAGGACTCAGGAGTGGAGCTGCTGTGTTCTGGACTGAAGAGCGCCCCCTGTGGACTGCACACTCTCATGTGAGACTCCCATGATGCATCTGTGTCCTCTGTGTCCACATGAGTGTAACGCTGTGTGTCTTTAGGCTGTCTGGATGTCTGATCTCAGAGAGGGGCGGGGCTGCTCTGGCCTCAGCTCTAAGCCCCGCCCCCTCCCATCTGAGAGAGTTGGACCTGAGCTACAACCATCCAGGAGGTTCATCAGAGCTGCTGAAGGCTCTACAGGACGACCCACACTGCCCCCTGCAGGAACTCAGGTCTGATCCTGCTCTGGACCTGGACTTGGTCTTTTTCCTGGTCCAAGTCATTTCCAGGTCCACGTCTTGGTCCTGGTTCCTGTTCATGGACCCTGGTCCTCGGTCCCTGTCACCGTCTAGACTTGTTCCAGGTCTTCCTTCTTCCTGGTCTTGGTCCTGGTCTCTGGTCTCGGTCCTGGTCTTGGTCTTGGTCCAGGTCTTGGTCTTGGTCCAGGTCTTGGTCTCTGTTCCAGGTCTTGGTCTCTGGTCCAGGTCTTGGTCTCTGTCTTGGTCTTGGTCCTGGTCCTGGTCTTGGTCTCTGGTCTCTGGTCTCTGGTCCTCTTGGTCTTGGTCTTGGTCCTGGTCTTGGGCCTGGTCTCTGGTCCTGGCCTGGTCTTTGGTCTTTGTCCTGGTCCAGGTCTCTGGTCCTGGTCCTGGTCCTGGTCCTGGTCCTGGTCCTGGTCCTGGTCCTGGTCTAAAGTGCCTTGTGTGTTGCAGGTTGGATCCTGCTGGAGAACAGTGGATGGTTCCAGGTCTGAGGAAGTGTGAGTTTCTCATTCACTTTATATAAGTTATTTATATAAAAAGTTATTTATATAAAAGTATTATGTTTACTTTGATATAAATATATAGTATTTATATCAAAGTAGACTTTGATATAAATATATAAATATATAGTATTTATATCAAAGTATACTTTGATATAAATATATAAATATATAGTATTTAAGTATACTTTGACTCTAAAGTGTGTGGTTAAAGCGTCTGGAGCTGATGTTTCTTCTTGTTTTGTGTTCCTCAGATTCCTGTGAGTTTTCTCTGGATCCAAACTCGGCTCACAGAATCCTCAAAGTGTCTGAGGATAAACGCACAGTGACCAGAGGGACAGAGGAGCAGCAGTGTCCAGGGCATCAGGACAGATTTACAGACCAGACACAGGTCCTGAGCAGCACTGGCCTGAGGGGGCGCTGTTACTGGGAGGTGGACTGGACCAGGAGGAGGAGGGAGGAGGTCATTGAGATCGCAGTGAGTCACAGAGGAATCAGACGCAGAGGGACGAGAGAGAGTGGGTTTGGAACCAATGATCAGTCCTGGAGTCTGAGGATCTGTGGGAGACGTTACTCTGTATTTCACAACAACAGAGAAACACACTTCTCCTCCTTCTTAGGTCGAGTGTCTGTGTTCCTGGACTCTGAGGCTGGATCTCTGTCCTTCTATCAGGTCCGCTCTGATGGAGAACTGTTCCACCTCCACACCGTCACCTCCTCCTTCTCTGAGCCTGTGTTTCCTGGGTTTGGACTTGGGTCTGAAGGTTCCTCTGTGTCTGTGGTGGATCTGAGGAGAGCGCCCCCTGCTGGACCTCAGTGACTCTTTAGCTTCTGTCCTGGGGTTCTCTTCTGACCAGAACATGCTCCTCTCTGTCTTTGCTAGATTTGCTAAATCCTGGTGTATGAAGTGAAGAGTCTTCTGAGGCTCCTTTAGTCCAGGTCTGTTATTGTGCATAAAGGACCAGGTGAAAGTCTGTGGTTTCAAACTGAACCATCTGAAAATATAAACATTGTTTTTCTTTTCTCTCCAGGATTATACACACTGTAACTGCTTTTTGTATCATTCAAACAGAAAAGTATAAACATGTGCTTCTGGTTCTGGATGATTTCTGATGTCTATATTACAGGATTACACTGACTTTTCTTTGAGCCTAAATTCAGAATAAATCCTTTTCCAAATGTAGTTTCCAGTGTGGGCCTTTGTGTGCAGTACCTGAGTGCAGCAGCAGAGGGCGCTGTTCCCTTTCTCTCCACAGCAGCAGACCTGTGTACACATGTGGCCACAGAGGACTCCTCACAACCACTTAGAAAAATAATACAGCATCCATCCATCCCTCCATTTTCTTCCACTTCATCCGTTGCCGGGTCGCGGGGGCAGCAGTCTAAGCAGAGACGCCCAGACTTCCCTCTCACACACTTCCTCCAGCTCGTCCAGGAGGGGGACCGCCACAAGGCGTTCCCAGGCCAGCTGGGAGACATAGTCCCTCCAGCGTGTTTTGGGTCTTCCCCGGGCCCTCCTTCCGGTGGGACGTGCCCAGAACACCTCCCCAGGGACGCGTCCAGGAGACATCCGGATCAGATGAGCCACCCCAGCAGGTTCCTCTCGATGTGGAGAAGCAGCAGCTCTACTCCGAGCTCCTCCCATGTGACTGAGCTCCTCTATTACTATAGAGGACCTACTCTATTCCGACCTCTTGTCTCCGTAATCATTAGATTGACCGGTAAATCGAGAGCTTATAGCCTTTCGGCCTTTCACTCTTCACCACAACGGTCTGTACAGCTCTGTCTGCAGACGCTGCTCCCTCTTCACCACAACGGTCTGACACAGCTCTGACTGCAGACGCTGCTCCCTCTTCACCACAACGGTCTGATACAGCTCTGACTGCAGACGCTGCTCCCTCTTCACCACAACGGTCTGATACAGCTCTGACTGCAGACGCTGCTCCCTCTTCACCACAACGGTCTGACACAGCTCTGACTGCAGACGCTGCTCCCTCTTCACCACAACAGTCTGATACAGCTCTGACTGCAGACGCTGCTCCCTCTTCACCATGACGGTCTGATACAGCGACCGCATCACTGCACACGCTGCAGCGATCCACATTCAAATCCGCCTTCCTTCACTGAGAACAAGACCCAGAGATACTTGAACTCCTCCACTTGAGGAAGGGCAAATACAGTAATAACACCTTCATTCCTGTTACACTTACAGGTATATCGGAGGATTTTCTTCTTCCTGGTGGATCATCAAGACTATTGGTCCTACCAACTGTCAATCATTCTGGTGATACATGCTTGTCACCAGAAGGATGGACAATTATCCAAAAATATATCTTTAATACAAATATTACAATACACTGTAATGTTTTGAGAAAGATCACTGAAATGAATGACTATGACCAGAGAGAGAGAGACCAGAGAGAGAGACCAGAGAGAGACCAGAGAGAGAGAGAGACCAGAGAGAGAGAGAGAGAGAGAGAGAGAGAGCGACCAGAGAGAGAGAGAGAGAGACCAGAGAGAGAGAGACCAGAGAGAGAGAGAGACCAGAGAGAGAGAGAGACCAGAGAGAGAGAGAGAGACCAGAGAGAGAGAGAGAGAGACCAGAGAGAGAGAGAGAGACCAGAGAGAGAGAGAGAGACCAGAGAGAGAGAGAGAGACCAGAGAGAGAGAGACCAGAGAGAGAGAGAGACCAGAGAGACTCTGTGATGAGGTCCTTCTCTGGGGCAGATGTTTCTCAGTGGGAGACGGTCACCTTCAGGACGAGTCGCTGAGTTAGACTCGGACTCATCATGGCTCATGGATCAGGTCTGAAGTCACAGAGAGACCAGTGAGTGATACTGAGGGAGAGAGGGGGAGGGGTCCCACAGTGCCATCCTGCTGTTGGGCTCGTGTCGATCAAAAACATCAGATTCAGGAGATTTCAAGGACATTTGTGAAGTAGAGAAATATTTTAGCCTTGACTGAAATCAGCAGACCCCAACAGCAGACTGGGACTGGTCCTCAGGTCTAGAGTCAGACTGGGACTGGTCCTCTGGTCTAGAGTCAGACTGGGACTGGTCCTCTGGTCTAGAGTCAGACTGGGACTGGTCCTCAGGTCTAGAGTCAGACTGGGACTGGTCCTCAGGTCTACAGTCAGACTGGGACTGGTCCTCTGGTCTAGATTCAGACTGGGACTGGTCAAGCTCTGATCTATTCTTTTAGAACTTAAATGTGTTAAAATGACAAAAAGGAAATAACATTGAGTTCCTTCAGACGTGTGTGTGTCTCTGTGTGTGTGTCTGTGTGTGTGTCTGTGTGTGTGTATGCACTTGTTTTCAACTCCTGGTGGGGTCCATAACCTGAGATTCCACTCACGTCATGGGGACTGGTTTTACGTTGTGGGGCCCAAACACCGGACCCCACTGGTCCAAAAAAAAGTGTGTTATGTGTCGGAACCCTGGTGGTGGGTTGCGGGATATCAAGGAGGGGCACACTGGGGCAATTTCAGTCCAGCAGGCTGGAGCCAATCATGGAGGAGCACAACAGAGGCTGGAGCCAATCATGGAGCAGCCCAACAGAGGCTGGAGCCAATCATGGAGCAGCACAACAGAGGAAATCAGGTGTCAGGCTAGAAAAAGGTGCAAGTGTGTGGTTCATTAGGCTGCAGCCAATCACAGAGCAGCACACTGAAGCGCACGCTTACAAACCACTGGTAAGTGCTGACTACAAGTCATGACTTCAAATTGTTATATAGAATTATTACAAATTATTTGTTGTTTGTGCAGCTTAGTCAAGAGTCCCTAATTGATGAAGTCGACTCAGATTCTGACGATTTAACTGTCAAGAAGAAACCTGTAAAAAAGTATGGAAAAAGAAAAATCAAAAACACTTTTCTTCAAGACTCGGAAAGTGACGAACCAAAGGCAAATAAGATTGTTATCATGCAGCTGCAAAAGAAGAAAAATGGGGGGCGAGTTTACAGCAAGAGACACTTCTGCCTCTACTGTTCAATGTCCTGCCACAAAATGTCCCGTCATTTGACTAGAAAACATGGAAATGAAAGTGACGTAGCCAGAGCATTGGCTCTACCTGTGAAATCTAAAGCACGTAAACTTCAGTTTGATTTGATCAGGAATAGTGGAAACCGTGAGCACAATTTTGAGGTTTTAAAGGCCGGCATTGGAACTTTAGTCCCAGCTAAACAGCCAAATTCCCCAGTTAAATCCAGTGAGTTTTTGCACTGTATAGACTGTGGGGCATTGCTTAAGCGAAAGTCGCTGTGGAGGCATGTGGCCAGGTGCCGGCTTTCACAGAAAGATGCCCAGGCTAAACCAGGCTAAACCAGGTAGAAGTAGGGTCCAGTCCCTCTGCTCCCTAGCCCAGCCTGTACCGGAGGGCATCAGCAAAAAGCTGTGGTCTTTAATTTCGGCAATGCATCAGGATGAGGTCACGGCTGTTGTCAAAGCAGAAAAGGGGATTCTGAGACTCGGAGAGCACCTGTACTTAAAACACGGGCATGATAAGACTAAGCATGATTACATTAGGCAGAAAATGAGAGAAGTCGGTAGGTTCATTAACGAAGCAAAAACTGCAGGGAAACTGAAAACAATGAAGGATTTCTTTATTCCTTCCAACTTTAACCATGTGATTGATGCAGTCAGGTCTGTGGCTGGATATGATGAGGAAACAAATCAATACAAGACTCCATCCTTGGCCCTCAAACTCGGCCATAGCCTCAGAAAGCTAGCAGATATTCTTGAATGTGACTCAAAAATGGAGCATTGTGTTGATGAACTATTTATTAAAAACCTCCAACGAAGCCGGCTGCTTTTTGAGAAGAGGTGGGACGTCTGTGTTTCTTCTGCTGCCCTACAGACCCTCCGGCAAGCCAAGTGGAACACTCCGGACCTGCTCCCTCTGACTGAGGACGTTAGAGCCATGCATGCACATATTGAGGTATGTCGACCTGAATATGTGCAAACCCTAATAAGTGAGCCAACGTCTAAGCATTGGTCTAAACTGGCAGTTTTGACTCTTTGTGAGGTCATTATTTTCAATCGAAGAAGACACCCACATCAGGGGATCAGACTCCCTACGGCAGGTAGCCAAAGAATGTGGTGCGGTGCATCCAGAGATGCTATCCTCAACCAAACTTAGAAAGCACATAGCTACTATGTCTACAGTTCTCAATATGAAAGAGAATGAGATGGACATACTAGCCAACTTCCTCGGCCATGACATTCGCATCCACAGGCAATATTACAGACTACCAGAGGGGACACTGGAGCTGGCCAAAATCAGCAAAGTGTTGATGGCCATGGAGCAGGGAAGAGTGACGGAATTCGAAGGAAAGAGCCTCGACCAGATACAAATTGAGCCTGAAGGTAATTCTTGATATTATTAAAATATGTATGATTTTTTTCCCCTAAAGGCCACTTGTATTTTTATTTTCTGTGCGACAGGGAGAGCAGTAGAGATCCTCTCACAAACGGACGGGCTAAAAGAAACTTCAAGCGGAGAACCTTCAACCATTCATCCAGATGCACCCCATGGTAGTGGCAGTGCCCCTTCTGGTAAGTGTACCAGGTGGGGGATTACAGCCAGGCTGCTTGGTCCTAACCCTGGGAGTGTATATTGCTGATATATTTTTATTTCTCTCCCTAGAACGTTAGAGAAAGCCATGGTCTGCATCTGAGGTGAAGGCTGTGGAGAAGACCATGACGCCTTTCATACAGACTGGAAAGGTCCCTGGGAAGTCTCACTGCCTGGCCTGCATTAATGCGCTATACCTGTTTCTGCAAGGTTTGAATGTTTAGCACCGCCCCCCAACTCACAGACTTCTCATTTCCCGTACGCTCTCATCCCACGGAGCCATCTAGCTCAATTTGCGATCTGATATGTATGCTAACATTAGCATTAGCGCAACTTCTTGTAAGCTGTACAACAATCACTGATAAAATGGTACTAAAGCAATGCACTGCTAACACAATATATAGGTAAAAGAATACCGCTAGTTTAGCATCCAAATGTATTCATTTAAATATTAGAATAGATTCTAATATTTAATTATAATTTATTATACAGCTCTTCACAGCAGTAGAACACTCCATTGACTTGAATGCAATTTTACCGATCATTTTTTCTTGAACAGAACTCTCAAACCAATAATGACCGCTGCCCTTTGGCAACGCAATTTCTCTTTGTAATTCAGGTGTGTAAAATACTGCCATTACTCTGCAAGTACAACAAGCTATCAGCGCCTGTCACTACACTGTGCAGCTTCTCTCTCTGTGCAGAGAAGCTAGCGAAGCTAGCCGAGTTAGCCACGCTCAATAAACTACATATCTATCAATCAACACCATTAAATGTTAATCGGACAATACATTATACATATACATCCTTTACACACATGCACGGACGATTTCAGAATTTGTTGTTGATTTTTTCATGACAAAATTACTATTTTAATGTGACAAAAAACCACATTAACATGAAACGAACATTTTAGAACACATTTGAAGAGGATCTGATGGATTTAGGTTTGGTATATAAATGGGTCACTCACCGCTGATGTTCAGAATTCTTTGGAAAACTGAACAGAGTTTTTGAACTAGCTAGCTTAGCTGTTACCTGCCTAGCACGTCCCGGTGAAACCTTTGGGAGCTAACTATTTTATTTGCAGTCATTAAATACATTTCTAATTATAAGGGTTGTCTAATATTTGTTCAAATATGTATATATTTTTTATTTTAGAATTGTATTCGAATTTTGAAGTTGAAGCCCTGGTGTTGAGCAGCGCTGTAGAGGCTAGAGGACGCAGGCTGGTCACTGCTCGTTCTGTGAGTGGAGGAGAACGTCCCGCTAAGACTCTACTCAGCACTTTTCACTGCCTGAATTTCATACACAGTGGAATCAATTACCTCAAGTTTTCAATTAAATTATGGATTATAATACAACTTGTATGTAGTAATAAGCATTTTTATGAACTACTTATGTGAGGATTAGATAACGATTTGGCCTACGTGCAGGACAACTGCAAGACTATACAAGGACTCTTGATTGTTCATCCATGTTATGACTATGATATGCTCTGTCTCTGTGTGACACGTATGTCTTTCCATGTGTGACGTGACAATGACTATAAATATCATGTACTGACTCCATTTTGTCTGAGAGAGAAAGAAACAATTGAAACCACTGGAACTTGACAGTAACCTAAATAAACTAGACAGAGTTTGGCGCACCACGATCCGTCTGTCTGGTTCATTCCTGACACTTAGAAAAAAAATCGGGTATAGCTTCTTTAATGCCTCACCAGATGACCTTAGACATCGGACATGGAGTGGCATTAAATTCTATGTCAAAAAAAGTATCACTGCATTTCAAAAAATAAAATCTCAAATAAAATTCCTTTAAAATAGTTGTTTGGTTTCTATTGACTGTTTTGTATTACTTAAAGTAGTCCCAGTAAAAAAGATTATGTCTATGGGTCCCATTCTGAACGGCCCTGTCAAAGGGACCCACCAGGTAACAAAAACGTGTATGTGTGTTTATGCCTCATGGTCTTATTGTCTCTTTAAACTGCACAGATGTGAGAGTTTGACCCTAAACCAGGAACAATACACACAGAAACACACACACAAACACATAGGCCTTTGACCACTGACCTCAGCTGCAGCCCCCACACACTTCAGTCACAATAGACTTTCTCCTGTTGCCGCGACAACAGTTGGAAAGGTGGGCGGGTGGTTTGGACTCGTGTCGCCGTTTCACTACTTTCTAACCAGAGAGAGACCAGGGGTCAGGTTTTAAGCAGGTCTAGAACAGAACTAAAGCGGGTATGAAGCAGGACTAAAGCAGGACTAAAGCAGGTCTAAAGCAGGCAGACTAAAGCAGGCAGACTAAAGCAGGACTAAAGCAGGACTAAAGCAGGCAGACTAAAACAGGAGAACCAAAGCAGGTCTAAAGCAGGACAAAAGCAGGTCTAAAGCAGGCAGACTAAAGCAGGCAGACTAAAGCAGGACTAAAGCAGGCAGACTAAAGCAGGAGAACCAAAGCAGGTCTAAAGCAGGACAAAAGCAGGTCTAAAGCAGGTCTAAAGCAGGACTAAAGCAGGTCTAAAGCAGGTCTAAAGCAGGTCTAAAGCAGGTCTAAACCAGGACTAAAACAGCCTGTTTTCTTGCAGAACATTTGTCTAATTAACTCCGGCAGCATCACTAACGAGCCCCTGAAGACGCACTAACGAGGGGTAAAAATAGACTCCGCTCCTCGTCCTTGAGAAAAGTCCGGTTTGATGAAAACAGAATCTGTGCTTTTTGTTTTAGAGAGTTGAACATCAGAGTCTTCATTCTCAGGGGAGGTTCTAGTTTTCCATAGCAACCATCCTAGCAACACATCTGCCCCTGTTACAGAGAAAGGCTAACACCACGGAACAAATGCCCATATAAGGAGCTTCAGCTAGCTTAGGTTCAAATCATTCTGCATTAAGGCTAACACAGGTGATGTCACACTCTGTGGCTCTGACAGAGAAGGACTTTTGGCCCGTTCCTCTCAACGCAATCCAACTTTATACATAAGGAAAATCATGTTTCGACTAACCGAACATTCCCTTCTGTGTGTCTGTGTCTGTGTGTGTATACATGTATTTGTGTGTGTGTGTGTGTGTGCGTGCATGTATGTGTGTGTGTGTGCGTGTATACATGTATTTGTATGTGTGTGTGTGTGCGTGCATGTATGTGTGTGTGTGTGTGTGTGTGTATGTATGTGTGTGGTTGTGTGTCTCTCTGTATGTATGTGTGTGTGCGTGTATATTTGTGTACAGTGTGTAGCAGCAGGACCCTGACCTCCAGCAGAGGAACACGTTTCTTCACTCTCTGTCTCTGGCCTGTCTCTGGATCCCGCGGCCCCTGGAGGATCTCCTGCTGGAGCCTGGATGAAGTCACAGGAGACACACACCAGAGAAGTACAGCTGAGATGAATATACGGACACTGTGACGTCATACATCCACTTCTGTGAGGATAGCATCATTCCAACAAGGACCAGGGTCATCTATAACAACGACAAACCCTGGTTCACTGCTAAACTCCGGCAGCTCAGGAAAGCAAAGGAGTCTGCTTTCAGGGAGGGGGACCGCAGCGGCTACAAAGCAGCTAAATATCAGTTCAGGAAAGAACTGAAAGCAGCCAAGTCCCGGCACAGAGAACGACTACAGGAGCAGTTTGGTAACAACGATACTGCTTCTGTCTGGAGGGGCCTACGGGAGATCACCAACTACAAACCCAAAGCCCCCCCCTGTGCTGATGACCACAAGCTAGCTGACGATCTGAACTTATTTTTCAGTCGCTTTGATGCTGCCCCTGACACCTCTCCCTCCCCCACCCCCCACTACTCTAACGACCCACCCATCAGCCCTGCCCCCATCCTAACAATAGCCGCTAAAGAGATTAAACAACTCTTCCTGAGGCTGCACCCCCGCAAAGCTCCTGGCCCGGACCACGTGTCTCCGGCCACTCTGAGACACTGCGCCAGTGAGCTTACTCCTGTGTTCACGGACATTTTCAACTCCTCTCTGCAGTCCTGCCATGTCCCGGCCTGCTTCAAATCCTCCATCATTGTCCCCGTCCCGAAGAAGCCCAGGATCACAGGACTCAATGACTACAGACCTGTAGCACTTACGTCTGTCGTCATGAAGTCATTTGAACGCCTGGTTCTCTCCCATCTCAAGTCCCTCACCTCCCCCCTCCTGGACCCCCTGCAGTTCGCCTACAGAGCCAACAGATCTGTAGACGACGCCATTAACCTGGCCCTCCACCACATCCTACAGCACCTGGACTCCCCGGGGACCTACGCCAGGGTCCTGTTCGTGGACTTCAGCTCTGCCTTCAACACAATCCTGCCATCCCTGCTCCAGGACAAGCTCTCCCAGCTCAACGTGCCCGATTCCACCTGCAGGTGGATCACTGACTTCCTGACGGACAGGAAGCAGCGAGTGCGTCTGGGGAAGAATGTCTCGGACTCTCGGATTATAAATACAGGAGCCCCACAGGGCTGTGTTCTTTCTCCCCTGCTCTTCTCCCTGTACACCAACCACTGCACCTCCAGCCACGACTCCGTGAAGCTGATCAAGTTCGCGGACGACACCACCCTCATTGGACTCATCTCCAACAACGATGAGTCCGCCTACAGGAGGGAGGTGGACCGGCTGGTGTCCTGGTGCAGTGGTAACAACCTGGAGCTGAACGCCCAGAAGACAGTGGAGATGATTGTGGACTTCAGGAAGAGCACTGTCCCCCCGCCCCCACCCTCCGTGATGGACTCCCCCATCACCTCTGTGGAGTCCTTCCGTTTCCTGGGCACCACCATCACCCAGGACCTCAAGTGGGAGCCGACCATCAGCTCCCTCATCAAGAAGGCCCAGCAGAGGATGTACTTCCTGCGGCAGCTCAGGAAAGCCAAGCTGCCTGCACAGATGTTGGTGCAGTTCTACACGGCCATCATCGAGTCCATCCTCACCTCCTCCATCACCGTGTGGTTCGCTGGAGCCACAGTCAGGGACAAACAGAGACTACAGCGCATTGTGCGCTCTGCAGAGGAAGTGATCGGCCGCAGCCTTCCATCGCTGCAGGACCTGTACGTCGCCCGAGCTCGAGGCCGGGCTGGTCGTATCACAGCTGACCCCTCCTGCACATGGACTATTCCAACCACTCCCCTCAGGCAGGAGGCTGCGGTCCATCAGGACTAGAACCTCCCGCCACAAGAACAGTTTCTTCCCCTCTGCTGTTGGACTCTTGAACACTTCTTAACCTGTCCCCCCGCCCTTTATAAAGTCACTTTACTGCCCATCATACGTCACTTTACTTCACTGTACTGCTGTCACCTTACATTGTGTGCACCATGTGCACTTGTATATTGTAAATAGTAACTGTAACTCTATTTTAAATTTAAATTTATTCTTTAGAAGTGTTTTTTATTCTTATTTTTATTATCTCTTTCTGACTGTTGCACTGAGCCAAAGCAATTTCCTAGTCTGTGACCTCCCGTTACTTACGTTGGCAATAAAAATGATTCTGATTCTGATTCTGATTCTATAATCTCACCTTTTCCTCTCAGCCTGATCACATCTGCTCCACTCCTCCTCCCGAACATCCATCCATTTGTTGTCACGGTAACAGTGGCTAACGGTGGCTAACGACGCATTAGCTCGTTAGTGTGCATTAACGAGGGGGCGGGGCCACGGTCACTGCCGAGTGGGCCGTTAAACTGAGACAATGGATCCTCAAATGATCAACAATAACGTGTTTTGATTCAGATGCAGAAGGTTTGGTTTTTCCTCGAGGCGAAAACCTGCTGGAAAACTCTAGTCCTCCAGAGAAAGAGGGTTAAAGGGGAAGAGGAGCCACAGGGAGAGATACACACAGAGATACACACACACACATACAGAGACACACACAAACACACATACAGAGAGACACACACACACAGAACAAGACAAAACGCACACACAGAGGGTTAAAGGGGAAGAGGAGCCTTCAGGGAGAGATACACACACATACACAACACACACACACACTCACAGAGACACACACAAAGACACACACACTCACATAGACACACACATACACTCACATAGACACACACATACACTCACATAGACACACACATACACTCACATGGACACAAAGACACACATATGTGTGTGTGTGTGTACATGGTGGCTGAGTGGATAGCACTCTCGCCTCTCAGCAAGAAGGGTCTGGGTTCGAATCCCAGTCGGACCAGGGCCTTTCTGAGTGGAGTTTGCATGTTCTCCCTGTGTCTGCGTAGGTTTCCTCCGGGTACTCCGGTTTCCTCCGGGTACTCCGGTTTCCCCTACCCTACCACTAAAAACATGTACAACAGGTCTGGCATGTGCCTCCTGTACTTGCCCCGCTCCCATCTCTGTGTGGAGTGAGAGACAAGTGCCCAAAAATAATAACAAATGTCAACCGCTTTGTGACTCTGGTCTGTGAAAGGCGGTATATAAATAAAGATTACTACTTACACATAGACACACACATACACTCACATGGACACACACTCACAGAGGGAGATATATCAAGATTTTATTAGTTTTAAATTTTGATTTGTGTTTCTTTGTTTAATATTGACTCACAACAAACACTTAATTCTGAGTCTGTGTCTGAACGACTCTAATGAACCCGAGGCTGTGGACTCCTCTCTGTGGCTCATGGGTCATCAGAGTCCGGTGGATTCCATTGTCTGCTCTTCACTTTCGCCTGGAGCTCAGACGCCCACACTCCTCCTGCTCTCCTCCCACACGGAACTCCAGGCTTCAGGGCACAGAACAACCCCATACTGAAGACCTCTGATCAGGATCCTCTCTCTCTCTGGTCTCTCCCTGGTGTCTCTCTGGTCCCTCTCTGGTCTCTCTCTGGTCCCTCTCTGGTCCCTCTCTGGTCCCTCTCTGGTCCCTCTCTGGTCCCTCTCTGGTCCCTCTCTGGTCTCTCTCTGGCCTCTCTGGCCTCTCGGGCCTCTCTCTGGTCCCTCTCTGGTCTCTCTCTGGTCTCTCTCTGGTCCCTCTCTGGCCTCTCTCTGGTCTCTCTCTGGCCTCTCTCTGGTCTCTCTCTGGTCTCTCTCTGGTCTCTCACTTCCTGCTGCTTCCGGACAAAACACAAACAGGAAGTGAAGCAGATGCGTCCTCAGATAAAGCAGGAAGTGGAGGCCTCAACTCGCGGTGCCTTTAAAGCTCAGGCCCCTAACTTTCTGCTCCATAAATAACATGCTGTTTGTCTGGAGAACGGAAAGAGCAAAGAAACGATCCCTGTGAGCCACTATTTGACTCTTCGTACCGCTGCTTTGAGGACAAAGATAAAGTAGAATGTTCCTCAAACAGGTCAGGACCTCCCCCCACCCCTTCTGTACAAATCAAACTCATATACAAGTTCTCAGGACCGTGGTGATCCAGGACGTTTAAGAACATCTGGACAGTGATGATACCGCCGATCTCCCATCACACTACTCACCAGTCCCTGCCTTGCTTAGCTGCAGAGGTGTGACGGGATCTCGTTGGTTTCGTTGGTCTGCTTCACAGAGAAATGTCCTGCGGCCGCATCTCCTCGTCCCCTTTCATTCCTCCCTCCTTCCTAGTCTCCTTTCCTCTCTCCTTCGTTAAGTACCTCATGTGAACTTCCTCTAACGAGCTCATATTTCCACGTTGACAGAAGTTCCATGTCTCACACATAAATAAACGCAGGATTCAGGGACGGTTTCAAACCTCAGCCCAGTCTGGTTCTTCCCCTCAGAACGCTCTGTGCCGAATCTGTCTGATAGAACTGGACACGTTTTGGACTGAGACTCGGGAGATGGTTTTACTGCAAAATATACAGATTTAAGACAAAGACAAACTGTGTGTGTGTGTGTGTACATATTTCTGTTTGTGCCAGTGTGTGATATTAGCCTGGATGGGTCTAAAAACAGATCCAGGTCAGTGAGTAAAAAGGGACGATGTTAAAACATGGAGAAAAGACCACTTATTATAGAACATGTGTTGGTAACTTGCTTTTATTCGTGCTGTGATTCCCATTGTCACCTGTAGGGGGCGACAACCCATTTCACATTTCATCATAAATAAACAAAAACTCAGAACAGAATTAGCATTTATTACATTTGTGTCAAAAACCGGAAAAAAAACACAATTTGTACATTTTTGGCTCAGTTTTTTCACTCCAATTCTTTAAAGATGACTTAAAAAATGTCTAAACTTAAATAAGGGAGACATAAGGCAGAAAAATGCTATAAATATTTGATCATTCTCTTGTTTTTTCCTGAATGTCCTGAATGAAAAACACAGGAACCAGACAATAAATTATGAACTTCTCAGAAAAATCCTATACATTTGTCCTCATGATAACGCAGTGTGGTCTTTCTAATGTCCCACTATGTGACATCACAAGTCTTTGAGTTTTTGGAAACAAAAGAAAAAAGAAAATCCATAAACAAACAGTTGATACCAGTCTGAAACAAATACAGTTCCCACGATTTACAAGTTCAGAATTCCAGTTTTGTCCAGAGCTTAAGGCAGAAGGCGTCACACCGTTCATGATGTTCGGGTTTTATGTCACACTTTTTAAAATAAAACTAAACTCAGACACAGTTTTAACACAAACATTCCACAGATGATAATTGTATCCATCAAAATATCTCTGAATATTCCTGACTCGGCTGAAAACATCAATGGGCTTCACAATGCAACTTTGGCCACAACAAAGGACACACTCTAGATCTTGAAAAGTCAGATCTGACCATCAAAGCTCTAAAGTCTGTTTAAATAGATCATAATGTGATTCTTTGCAGAGCTGTACAGCGCCCCCTATGGGTCATTGTTACATATTTACAACATCATTCATTTAAATATTGACCTAAAACAATGTAATAAATGAAATAAATCTTTCTTGAGAAACTTTTTATTGAGACTCGGGCCTGAGACTCGGGCCTGAGACTCGGGCCTGAGACTCGGGCCTGAGACTCGGGCCTGAGACTCGGGCCTGAGACTCGGGCCTGAGACTCGGGCCTGAGACTCGGGCCTGAGACTCGGCCCTGAGACTCGGCCCTGAGACTCGGCCCTGAGACTCGGCCCTGAGACTCGGCCCTGAGACTCGGCCCTGAGACTCGGCCCTGAGACTCGGGCCTGAGACTCGGGCCTGAGACTCGGGCCTGAGACTCGGGCCTGAGACTCGGGCCTGAGACTCGGGCCTGAGACTCGGCCCTGAGACTCGGCCCTGAGACTCGGCCCTGAGACTCGGCCCTGAGACTCGGCCCTGAGACTCGGCCCTGAGACTCGGCCCTGAGACTCGGCCCTGAGACTCGGCCCTGAGACTCGGCCCTGAGACTCGGCCCTGAGACTCGGCCCTGAGACTCGGCCCTGAGACTCGGCCCTGAGCCTCGGCCCTGAGACTCGGCCCTGAGACTCGGCCCTGAGACTCGGCCCTGAGACTAGCAAGGGCCTGAGACTAGCAAGGGCCTGAGACTAGCAAGGGCCTGAGACTAGCAAGGGCCTGAGACTAGCAAGGGCCTGAGACTAGCAAGGGCCTGAGACTAGCAAGGGCCTGAGACTAGCAAGGGCCTGAGACTAGCAAGGGCCTGAGACTAGCAAGGGCCTGAGACTAGCAAGGGCCTGAGACTCGGGCCTGAGACTTGTGTCACACTTTTGTTTAGAAAATCAAGGTGTGTGTTTATGTGCCTCTGCCTATGTGTATCTATGGGTATTTGTGCGTGTCTCTATGTGCGTTACTTTTCATTTCAATGCAACAAATAGTTGCAATAGTTGCATTGTAGTAGTTGCATAGTTGAAAAATAACTAGTGTGACATCACCACAGTGTGACATCACCACAGTGTGACATCACCACAGTGTTGGTCTTAAAGCTAATGAAGCCACAGAACACAAGCTAGCTGGAGCCAACTTCCTCATATGGGCATTTGTTTTGACAGCGCTAGCTTAGCGTTGTAGCAGGGGCAGACAGGTTGCTAAGACGGTTGCTAAGGCAAGCTGGACTTCTGGCATTTTATTGGTCGATCCTTATATGGCTCTTGTCTGGATTTACAAAGACAATGTCACATATCAACACCAGGATCACCAAGAGGAGATTTGAGCCCAAAATGGTTGCTTAGCCAGGGAGAGTTGGAGGCAAACTTCATGATGAGCACTTCCCTATAAGGCTGCATTGAGCTAGCGGGTTAGCATTGTCCGTTGTGCACAGGTTGTGATGGAAATACATTTGTTGTAGTGTTTTTGAAGCGGCTTAAGCTCACATTTATACAGACGTAAACAGATTTCATCTTTTGTTCAAGTCGCTCAGTTTCTTCAGCAGCAGAAAAAAATTAATAATCATCATATTCCTCTGATCCATAACCTGAAACACACAAAACACACACACATTATGTTTAGACGTTAAAAAAACATAATTACATTCAATTTATTTGTGTCTCGCCCCAAATCACAACAGCAGTCGTCTCAGACTTTACAAAGATGTTGAATCACCAACAACAGATCTGAGGCTGTAGACCCAGGACTGAGGCTGTAGACCCAGGACTGAGGCTGTAGACCCAGGACTGAGGCTGTAGACCCAGGACTGAGGCTACAGACCCAGGACTGAGGCTACAGACCCAGGACTGAGGCTACAGACCCAGGACTGAGGCTGTAGATTCAGGACTGAGGCTGTAGACCCAGGACTGAGGCTGTAGACCCAGGACTGAGGCTGTAGACCCAGGACTGAGGCTGTAGACCCAGGACTGAGGCTGTAGACCCAGGACTGAGGCTGTAGACCCAGGACTGAGGCTGTAGACCCAGGACTGAGGCTGTAGACCCAGGACTGAGGCTACAGACCCAGGACTGAGGCTGTAGATTCAGGACTGAGGCTGTAGACCCAGGACTGAGGCTACAGACCCAGGACTGAGGCTGTAGACCCAGGACTGAGAGTGCAGACCCAGGACTGAGAGTGCAGACCCAGGACTGAGAGTGCAGACCCAGGACTGAGGCTGTAGATTCAGGACTGAGGCTGTAGACCCAGGACTGAGGCTGTAGATCCAGGACTGAGGCTGCAGACCCAGGACTGAGGCTGCAGACCCAGGACTGAGGCTGCAGACCCAGGACTGATGCTGCAGACCCAGGACTGAGGCTGCAGACCCAGGACTGAGGCTGTAGATCCAGGACTGAGGCTGCAGACCCAGGACTGAGGCTATAGACCCCAGGACTGAGGCTGTAGATTCAGGACTGAGGCTGCAGACCCAGGACTGGACTGAGGCTGTAGACCCAGGACTGAGGCTGCAGACCCAGGACTGGACTGAGGCTGTAGACCCAGGACTGAGTCTGTAGACCCAGGACTGAGGCTGTAGACCCAGGACTGAGGCTGTAGACCCAGGACTGAGGCTGCAGACCCAGGACTGAGGCTGTAGACCCAGGACTGAGGCTGTAGACCCAGGACTGAGGCTGTAGACCCAGGACTGAGGCTGTAGACCCAGGACTGAGGCTGTAGACCCAGGACTGAGGCTGTAGACCCAGGACTGAGGCTGTAGACCCAGGACTGAGGCTGTAGACCCAGGACTGAGGCTGTAGACCCAGGACTGAGGCTGTAGACCCAGGACTGAGAGTGCAGACCCAGGACTGAGAGTGCAGACCCAGGACTGAGGCTGTAGATTCAGGACTGAGGCTGTAGACCCAGGACTGAGGCTGTAGATCCAGGACTGAGGCTGCAGACCCAGGACTGAGGCTGCAGACCCAGGACTGAGGCTGCAGACCCAGGACTGAGGCTGCAGACCCAGGACTGAGGCTGTAGATCCAGGACTGAGGCTGCAGACCCAGGACTGAGGCTATAGACCCCAGGACTGAGGCTGTAGATTCAGGACTGAGGCTGCAGACCCAGGACTGGACTGAGGCTGTAGACCCAGGACTGAGGCTGTAGACCCAGGACTGAGGCTGCAGACCCAGGACTGGACTGAGGCTGTAGACCCAGGACTGAGTCTATAGAATCAGACTAGACTTATGACAAAAGAAAACACTGTTTTTCATCTATAAAAGTATTTTTAAAAAATCTTTCTGTCTGTAACTCCCTCTGTTGCCACCAGAGGGAGTCTTGCCTGGTGCACACTGGGGTAGTCTTGCACAGTTTTTCCAATGTGGTTTTACTGCAAATGATTGCAAAGAGACTAAACTAAACTACGTGCAATACTTAAGTTTGAACTGACCGTTGGCCCCCAGCAGCTCCATGGCGCTCACACAGCCAGGCTCCTCCTCTTCCTCCTCCTCCTCCTCCTCTGCCTCATCATACTGCACTGGCCCACTCTCCACCAGGGCAGCTGCGCATGAGGGGCCCGGCTCCGAGACCAGGACCGGGACTTGGCCAGGACCCTGCACCAGAGGAAGCATGTCACCACAGGAACCAGCCACAATACTGCACCATGAGAAGTCCAGACACCAGAGAGAGAGAGACCAGAGAGACACAGGGAGACCAGAGAGAGACCAGAGAGAGACACAGAGACACCAGAGAGAGACCAGAGAGAGACACAGAGAGACCAGTGAGAGACCAGAGAGAGACCAGAGAGAGACACAGAGAGACCAGTGAGAGACCAGAGAGAGACCAGAGAGAGACACAGAGACACCAGAGAGAGACCAGAGAGAGACACAGAGAGACCAGTGAGAGACCAGAGAGAGACCAGAGAGAGACACAGAGAGACCAGTGAGAGACCAGAGAGAGACCAGAGAGAGACACAGAGAGAGAGACAGGGAGACCAGAGAGACCAGAGAGAGAGACCAGAGAGAGAGAGACACAGGGAGACCAGAGAGAGACCAGAGAGAGAGACCAGAGAGAGACACAGAGAGACCAGAGAGAGGGACCAGACAGAGAGACCAGACAGAGAGACCAGAGAGAGACACAGAGAGACCAGAGAGAGACCAGAGAGAGAGACCAGAGAGAGACACAGAGAGACCAGAGAGAGACACAGAGAGACCAGAGAGGGAGACCAGACAGAGAGGCCAGAGAAAGACCAGCGAGAGAGACCAGAGAGAGAGACCAGGGAGAGAGACCAGGGAGACCAGAGAGAGACCAGAGAGAGAGACCAGAGAGACCAGACAGAGAGACCAGAGAGAGACCAGAGAGAGAGAGACACACAGGGAGACCAGAGAGAGAAACCAGAGCGAGACACAGAGAGGGAGACCAGAGTGACCAGAGACCAGAGAGAGAGACCAGAGACCAGAGAGAGAGGCGAGGGAGGGACCAGAGAGAAACCAGAGAGAGACACACAGGGAGACCAGAGAGAGACCAGAGAGGGAGACCAGAGAGAGAGACCAGAGAGAGACCAGAGTTAGAGAGACCAGAGTGAGAGACACAGGGAGACCAGAGAGAGACACAGAGAGACCAGAGAGAGAGACCAGAGAGAGAAACACAGAGAGAGAGAGACCAGAGACCAGAAAGAGAGACACAGGGAGACCAGAGAGAGAGACCAGAGAGAGACACAGAGAGACCAGAGAGAGAGACCAGAGAGAGAGACCAGAGAGAGAGACCAGTGAGAGACCAGAGAGAGACCAGAGAGAGACCAGAGAGAGACCAGAGAGAAATCAGAGAGAGAGAGAGACCAGAGAGAAACCAGAGAGAAACCAGAGAGAGAGAGAGACCCGAGAGAGAGAGAGACCAGCGAGAGACACAGGGAGACCAGAGAGAGACCAGAGAGAGCGAGACCAGAGAGAGAGAGAAAGACCAGAGTGAGACCATAGAGAGAGACCAGAGAGAGAGGCCAGAGAGAGACCAGAGAGAAACCAGAGAGAGACCAGAGAGAGACCAGAGAGAGAGAGACCAGAGAGAGACCAGAGTGAAACCAGAGAGAGACCAGAGAGAGGCCAGAGAGAGACCAGAGAGAGACCAGAGAGAGACCAGAGTGAAACCAGAGAGAGGCCAGAGTGAAACCAGAGAGAGACCAGAGAGAGGCCAGAGAGAGACCAGAGAGAGGCCAGAGAGAGACCAGAGTGAAAACAGAGAGAGACCAGAGAGAGACCAGAGAGAGACCAGAGTGAAACCAGAGAGAGACCAGAGAGAGGCCAGAGAGAGACCAGAGAGAGGCCAGAGAGAGACCAGAGAGAGGCCAGAGAGAGGCCAGAGTGAGACCAGAGACTCCGCCCTCACTGTTATTAGAGGTAGCAGGAAGTCCATCATCAGAGTGTGATGATGAGGCCTGAAGCAGCAGGACTTTCAACGACTATGATTTGTCACAAAGCTGCAATTTTCAACATAAATATCGGTAGAATAGAGAGAGGTCTTTATGGAACTGCAAGAGTTTGAAAACCATCTGAAAACCGCTCAGAGAAAGAGTCTTGTAAAAGTAAAATCTTAGAAAGAAATATCCCTGTCAGTTCTAAACCCAAAGAGTCAAATAGTGACTGATTATGGTTACTAGTCTCTGGCTCTCTGGTCTCTCTCACTCTAGTCTCTCTCTCTCTGGCCTCTCTCTCTCTCTGGCCTCTCTTTCTCTCTGGCCTCTCTCTCTCTGGCCTCTCTCTCTCTGGCCTCTCTCTCTCTGGCCTCTCTCTCTCTGGCCTCTCTCTCTCTCTGGCCTCTCTCTCTCTGGTCTCTCTCTCTCTGGCCTCTCTCTCTCTGGCCTCTCTCTCTCTGGCCTCTCTCTCTCTGGCCTCTCTCTCTCTGGTCTCTCTCTCTCTGGCCTCTCTCTCTCTGGCCTCTCTCTCTCTGGCCTCTCTCTCTCTGGCCTCTCTCTCTCTGGCCTCTCTCTCTCTGGCCTCTCTCTCTCTGGTCTCTCTCTCTCTGGCCTCTCTCTCTCTGGTCTCTCTCTCTCTGGCCTCTCTCTCTCTGGCCTCTCTCTCTCTGGCCTCTCTCTCTCTGGCCTCTCTCTCTCTGGCCTCTCTCTCTCTGGCCTCTCTCTCTCTGGCCTCTCTCTCTCTGGCCTCTCTCTCTCTGGCCTCTCTCTCTCTGGCCTCTCTCTCTCTGGCCTCTCTCTTGTCTCGAGCATAGAGAAAGACCATAAAGAGAGACCAGAGAGAGACCAAAGAACAAAGAACGCTACATTTCCAATATTCCAACATGATGTCATACATACAGTGCCTTGCGAAAGTATTCGGCCCCCTTGAACCTTTCAACATTTCGCCACATTTCAGGCTTCAAACATAAAGATATAAAATTTAAATTTTTTGTCATGAATCAACAACAAGTGGGACACAATCGTGAAGTGGAACGAAATTTATTGGATAATTTAAACTTTAACAAATAAAAAACTGAAAAGTGGGGCGTGCAATATTATTCGGCCCCTTTACTTTCAGTGCAGCAAACTCAGTCCAGAAGTTCAGTGAGGATCTTTGAATGATCCAATGTTGTCCTAAATGACTGATGATGATAAATAGAATGCATCTGTGTGTAATCAAGTCTCCGTATAAATGCACCTGCTCTTTGATAGTCTCAGGGTTCTGTTTAAAGCGCAGAGAGAACCATGAAGACAAAGGAACACACCAGGCAGGTCCAAGATACTGTTGTGGAGAAGTTTAAAGCCGGATTTGGACACAAAAAGATTTCCCAAGCTTTAAACATCTCAAGGAGCACTGTGCAAGCAATTATATTGAAATGGAAGGAGTATCAGACCACTGCAAATCTACCAAGACCTGGCCGTCCCTCCAAACTTTCATCTCAAACAAGGAGAAGACTGATCAGAGATGCAGACAAGAGGCCCATGATCACTCTGGATGAACTGCAGATAACTACAGCTGAGGTGGGAGAGTCTGTCCATAGGACAACAATCAGTCGTGCACTGCACAAATCTGGCCTTTATGGAAGAGTGGCAAGAAGAAAGCCATTTCTCAAAGATATCCATAAAAAGTCTAGTTTAAAGTTTGCCACAAGCCACCTGGGAGACACACCAAACATGTGGAAGAAGGTGCTCTGGTCAGATGAAACCAAAATCAAACTTTTTGGCCACAATGCAAAACGATATGTTTGGCGTAAAAGCAACACAGCTCATCACCCTGAACACACCATCCCCACTGTCAAACATGGTGGTGGCAGCATCATGGTTTGGGCCTGCTTTTCTTCAGCAGGGACAGGGAAGAGGGCTAAAATTGATGGGAAGATGGATGGAGCCAAATACAGGACCATTCTGGAAGAAAACCTGTTGGAGTCTGCAAAAGACCTGAGACTGGGACGGAGATGTATCTTCCAACAGGACAATGATCCAAAACATAAAGCCAAATCTACAATGGAATGATTCACAAATAGACGTATCCAGGTGTTAGAATGGCCAAGTCAAAGTCCAGACCTGAATCCAATCGACAATCTGTGGAAAGAGCTGAAGACTGCTGTTCACAAACGCTCTCCATCCAACCTCACTGAGCTCCAGCTGTTTTGCAAGAATTCCAGTCTCTCGATGTGCAAAACTGAGAGAGACATACCCCAAGCGACTTGCAGCTGTAATTGCAGCAAAAGGTGGCGCTACAAAGTATTAGCGCAAGGGGGCCAAATAATATTGCACGCCTCACTTTTCAGTTTTTTATTTGTTAAAAAAGTTAATTATCCAATAAATTTCGTTCCACTTCACGATTGTGTCCCACTTGTTGCTGATTCTTGACGAGAAATTTAGTTTTTATATCTTTATTTTTGAAGCCTGAAATGTGGCAAAATGTTGAAAGGTTCAAGGGGGCCGGATACTTTCGCAAGGCATTGTAAAACTTTGGAGGTGTTCTGTGCCGTTTTCAGTCCATGAATCATCTCCGGTCCATGGGTAAGAGTCACACGGCCCCTCCCTCATGGACCACTACAGTAGTTCATATCTCGGGGAGAGGACTGGACCTGGCTCTGGTTCAGGACCGTGAGGGGGGGTTGGAGCGCGGTGGGAAACTTCGGCCTCTGCTTAAATATTGGCTCAGACCTCATCGTTCCCAGAGCCACGGGACATATTTGAGGAGAGCTTTCAGGGGACATGGAAACGGCTCCTCGTGGCTCCCAGAGACCAGGCCTGACAGAGTGTGACATCACCACTCTGTCAGGCCTCACTGCGGGAGAGTACCATTGGAACGCTAGGCAGAAAGAGAGAGACAGGGACAGAGAGAGACACACAGGCACAGAGAGAGAGAGACAGGGACAGAGAGAGACACACACAGGCACAGAGAGAGAGAGACAGGGACAGAGAGAGAGAGACACAGGCACAGAGAGAGAGAGACAGGGACAGAGAGAGAGAGACACAGGCACAGAGAGAGAGAGACAGGGACAGAGAGAGAGACACACAGGCACAGAGAGAGAGAGACAGGGACAGAGAGAGAGACACACAGAGAGACAGAGAGAGAGACAAACAGAGAGAGACACACAGACACAGAGAGAGAGACACCGAGAGAGAGAGAGACACACACAGGGACACACACAGACACAGAGAGAGAGAGAGACACACAGACAGAGAGAGGGAGAGAGAGACACACAGACACAGACAGAGAGAGGGAGAGAGACACAGACACAGAGAGAGAGACACACACACAGACACAAAGGGATAGACATAGAGAGAGACACACAGACACACAGAGAGAGACACACAGACACAGACAGAGAGAGACGGACAGAGAGAGATAGGGACAGAGAGAGAGACAGAGAAAGAGAGGAAGAGAGAGACAGAGAGAGACAGGGACAGAGAGAGACAAACGGACAGAGAGAGAGAGAGAGACACACAGACACAGAGAGAGAGATACAGAGAGAGAGAGGCACACACAGACACAGACAGAGAGACGGACAGAGAGAGATAGGGACGGAGATAGAGACAGAGAGAGAGAGCAACAGCGATAGAGACAGAGAGAGACAGAGAGAAACAAAGAGAGAAAGAAAGAGACAGAGACAGACAAGTGAAACAGAAAGAGATGAAGACAGAAAGAGAGCGACAGAGCGAGAGAGAGAGAAAGAGAGAGAGAGAAAGAGCGAGACGGACAGAGAGAGACGGACAGAGAGAGAGATTCCAATATGACTTTTTACCCAGGTCTATAGTCCATCACGTATATAATAATATATTCTAATGGACTGTGGGGAGTTTCTCAGAGCTTCACTCACTCAAACACAGCTTTACGGCTCAAGTGTGCTACACCAATAACCTCGCTAAGTCAGGTCTGAGGTTCTTAGTGTGTGGTATGTTGAGGAGTCAGACCTGATCCAGGGCCTTCTTCTTCGGAGCCGGAGGTTTTTGTCCGGAGATGAACGGCTGCAGCCTGAAAACAGACAACATAAATGGGATGTTGTCATGGCGATAAAGGAAAGTGTGACATCAATAAAGTTATTTAGATTAACGCAAGGATTTCAAAGACTGTCCCACAGGTGTCAAGTTCTCAGTATCAGACAAAACATCTACACTTTTCCTATGATCTCATTTGCATATTATCTCCTCATTTGCATATCTGTGTTTGGACTGCAGCCTGGAGCGCCAGGTCGGTGAAGGCTCCACCTTCGCTAATGACGTCCCGAGGCCAAGACGCGACGAAAGCAGTGGATCCGGCAACGCGAGGGATTCCCATCACCTGAAGACTTCCACGAGGGACTGGGTTCATTAGCAAAGTCGTTAACCTACATCTGAAACCATGGCAACGAGCAGCGTTCTGGGCTCCGGGCAATGAAACACTGATTATATCATGTCTCCAGTCCTCGGGAAACAGAGACAGTTTTAAAGTCTATGATCTTGTTTATTCAAGTATTTTTACATCATTTACTGTGAGGAGTTTGTGCCGGAGCCGAGTCCAAAGGAAAAGCTCTGGATTTACCTCGGATTCCGTCCCCTCCTTTACCTCTGATCATGAGGGAGACGGTTAGCAACGGCCTTGGCAACCGTCTTGGCAACCGTCTTGGCAACCGTCTTGGCAACCGTCTTGGCAACCGTCTTGGCAACCGTCTTGGCAACAGTCTTGGCAACAGTCTTGGCAACAGTCTTGGCAACAGTCTTGGCAACAGTCTTGGCAACAGTCTTGGCAACAGTCTTGGCAACAGTCTTGGCAACAGTCTTGGCAACAGTCTTGGCAACAGTCTTGGCAACAGTCTTGGCAACAGTCTTGGCAACAGTCTTGGCAACAGTCTTGGCAACAGTCTTGGCAACAGTCTTGGCAACAGTCTGGCACTTGGCAACAGTCTTGGCAACAGTCTTGGCAACAGTCTTGGCAACAGTCTTGGCAACAGTCTTGGCAACAGTCTTGGCAACAGTCTTGGCAACAGTCTTGGCAACAGTCTTGGCAACAGTCTTGGCAACAGTCTTGACAAGTCTTGACAACAGTCTTAGCAACCGTTTGCCCTCGTTACTGAAAAAATGCCAATATAATAAACTTAGCTCCAGCTATCTTATGCTCATATCATTCTCTTCTGCATTAAGGCTTACACTGTGGTGATGTCACACTCTGCTCGGGTCACATCAAGGACACAGCGTCCCCTGCTGTTTGCCCCTGTCACCCTGTCGTCTGCTGCTGTGACTGATGGAGCTCGTTGACAAAGGTCACAGGTCAAACGCAGCCCACGGCGACACCAGCAGAGCGTCTCCATGGCGACGCTTTACTGCAGACTGCTCGGATCTGCACGGACTCTGAGTGACTTTGGGCTAATTTTAGTGTAGAAAACTTGTCTCTCTCTGGTCTCTCTCTCTGGTCTCCTTCTAGCCTCTCCCTCTCTCTGGTCTCTCTCTCTGGTCTCCTTCTGGCCTCTCTCTCTCTCTCTCTGGTCTCTCTCTCTGGTCTCTCTCTCTGGTCTCTCTCTCTGGTCTCTCCCTCTGGTCTCTCCCTCTGGTCTCTCCCTCTGGTCTCTCCCTCTGGTCTCTCCCTCTGGTCTCTCTGGTCTCTCTCTCTCTGGTCTCTCTCTCCGGTCTCTCTCTCCGGTCTCTCTCTCCGGTCTCTCTCTCCGGTCTCTCTCTCTCCGGTCTCTCTCTCTCCGGTCTCTCTCTCCGGTCTCTCTCTCCGGTCTCTCTCTCCGGTCTCTCTCTCCGGTCTCTCTCTCCGGTCTCTCTCTCCGGTCTCTCTCTCCGGTCTCTCTCTCCGGTCTCTCTCTCCGGTCTCCCTCTGGTCTCCCTCTGGTCTCAGTCAGATTACAGCTAAACCTGGTTGTGCTCAGTGGACATTTCTCGGCCTTGGTCCGGTTTGATCCTCGGCTTAAGTCTGCGGCTCCAGAAGCAGCAGATTTAAAAAAGGCTTTTGTTTGGGAATTCCAGCGCAGCGCTGAGTCCCAATTCGTCACAGGGAGAGGGGGAGGACGGGGGAGGAGGAGGGAGAGGGGGGAGGGGAGTTTTGGTGAAATCTAAAGTGGCTCACTCAGAGAAACCCCCCGGTGTCTGGCAGATTAGATTAGAGACTAAAACTGGCTCAAAATATGGATTAAAGCTCAAGCACCCGACTTTGAAACCACAGAAAAAATACTGAAGGAGCCATTTTGTCGTTTCGTCTGCTGAATTTTATTATTTTGGGTTTTTGTTATTCTTTCTATATTTAGTTATATTTTGCTGAAGTTATTATCTTATTTTTGTAATTTGTGTATTTTGCAGATGAGATGAGATTGGGTCGAGTTTAACTGGGACAGAATGTTGCTGTTGGGTGGAGCTGCTGCGTTTCCACTGGTCTTTCCTGTCCTGAGGAAACAAAGGGAAACCCCGGTCCTCGGCTCTGGTCTCAGTCTAGTCTCTCTCACTCTCTGGTCTGTCTGACTGGTCTGTCTCTGTCTCTCTCTCTCTGTCTCTCGGTCTCTCACTCTCTGGTCTCTCTCTCATTCTTTCTCTCTCTGTCTCTCGGTCTCTCTCTCTCTCGGTATCTGTCTCTCTCTCTATCTCTATCTCTCTGTCTCTCTCTCTCTCCGTCTTTCAGTTGGAACATGGAGATGATTATTATTTGACTAATCTTCATTAAGGACACAATACACAATGGTCCACAGTTAAAAGTATATACAGTGCCTTGCGAAAGTATTCGGCCCCCTTGAACCTTTCAACATTCCGCCTCATTTCAGGCTTCAAACAAAGATATAAAATTAAAAATTTTTGTCATGAATCAACAACAAGTGGGACACAATCGTGAAGTGGAACAAAATTTATTGGATAATTTAAACTTTTTTAACAAATAAAAAACTGAAAAGTGGGGCGTGCAATATTATTCGGCCCCTTTACTTTCAGTGCAACAAACTCAGTCCAGAAGTTGAGTGAGGATCTTTGAATGATCCAATGTTGTCCTAAATGACTGATGATGATAAATAGAATGCACCTGTGTGTGATCAAGTCTCCGTATAAATGCACCTGCTCTTTGATAGTCTCAGGGTTCTGTTTAAAGCACAGAGAGAACCATGAAGACAAAGGAACACACCAGGCAGGTCCGAGATACTCTTGTGGAGAAGTTTAAAGCCGGATTTGGATACAAAAGATTTCCCAAGCTTTAAACATCTCAAGGAGCACTGTGCAAGCAATTATATTGAAATGGAAGGAGTATCAGACCACTGCAAATCTACCAAGACCTGGCCGTCCCTCCAAACTTTCATCTCAAACAAGGAGAAGACTGATCAGAGATGTAGCCAAGAGGCCCATGATCACTCTGGATGAACTGCAGATAACTACAGCTGAGGTGGGAGAGTCTGTCCATAGGACAACAATCAGTCGTGCACTGCACAAATCTGGCCTTTATGGAAGAGTGGCAAGAAGAAAGCCATTTCTCAAAGATATCCATAAAAAGTCTAGTTTAAAGTTTGCCACAAGCCACCTGGGAGACACACCAAACATGTGGAAGAAGGTGCTCTGGTCAGATGAAACCAAAATCAAACTTTTTGGCCACAATGCAAAACAATATGTTTGGCGTAAAAGCAACACAGCTCATCACCCTGAACACACCATCCCCACTGTCAAACATGGTGGTGGCAGCATCATGCTTTGGGCCTGCTTTTCTTCAGCAGGGACAGGGAAGATGGCTAAAATTGATGGGAAGATGGATGAAGCCAAATACAGGACCATTCTGGAAGAAAACCTGTTGGAGTCTGCAAAAGACCTGAGACTGGGACGGAGATTTCCAACAGGACAATGATCCAAAACATAAAGCCAAATCTACAATGGAATGGTTCACAAATAGACGTATCCAGGTGTTAGAATGGCCAAGTCAAAGTCCAGACCTGAATCCAATCGAGAATCTGTGGAAAGAGCTGAAGACTGCTGTTCACAAACGCTCTCCATCCAACCTCACTGAGCTCCAGCTATTTTGCAAGGAAGAATGGGCAAGAATTCCAGTCTCTCGATGTGCAAAACTGATAGAGACATACCCCAAGTGACTTGCAGCTGTATATGCAGCCAAAGCTGGCGCTACAAAGTATTAGCGCAAGGGGGCCAAATAATATTGCATGCCCCACTTTTCAGTTTTTATTTGTTAAAATTTTTTCAAATTATCCAATTAATTTCGTTCCACTTCACGATTGTGTCCCACTTGTTGTTGATTCTTGACAAAAAAATTAGTTTATATCTTTATGTTTGAAGCCTGAAATGTGGCGAAATGTTTAAAGGTTCAAGGGGGCCGAATACTTTCACAAGGCACTGTAAAACACACAGCAGGGCTCTCCAACCTTCTTCCATCGGAGAGCTACTGTGATGCACCAAAAGAGACAGAGAGCTACTCCTTTTTGTGGTTGTAATAAAAGTTTTTTTTTATTGTGTATTACTATGCAGTCTAATTACGACAAACACAGAACACATACATGTAGCATAATACTGAAAAACCCTGATTTTGCAGAATGAGTCTCCTTCAATGTGTTTCTCTGCGCTGTGATTGGTCGGTTTCCTCTGAACACTTCCTGTTTCTATTCTGGGATCACAGAACGCTGCCTGTTCCCAAACTGACCCCATTCCCACTGCACCAGGAAACAAGGAATCTGGCTTCTCAGAGAGAGACCAGAGAGAGACCAGAAAGAGAAACCAGAGAGAGACCAGAGAGAGAGACCAGAGAGAGAGACCAGAGAGAGACCAGAGAGAGACCAGAGAGAGAAACCAGAGAGAGAGACCAGAGAGAGAGACCAGAGAGAGAGACCAGAGAGAGAGACCAGAGAGAGACCAGAGAGAGAGACCAGTGAAACCCTATTGAGAGAGACTAGAAAGAGACCAGAGAGTGAGAATCTGGTGAGATAGAGAAAGGTCTCTCTCTTGCTAGTCTCTCTCTCTGACCAGGACCACAGTGGGAGGGGTTGGCGTGTTGTTTGGACCCGTGTCGCTTAATGGGAATGAGTCTTTCGACTTCTTTCTTTCGCAGTTTGAACATTTTACAGAGAACTAACTTTCGGCTAGATTCTTTTTCTCGGTTGTTGTTGTTTACTCTGTTTCGGGTTAAATAAAAAATGAGGTGGAACAAAGAGAAACGGAAGACGATCAAAGATTCATTCACAAACAAGTTCACGGAGGGTTTCTCAGGTAAAAGCTCCATTCTCGAAACCAGACCATGTTTCATTCATAACCAGAGGAAGCTGTTAGTGAAGTGGAGCGACTAGAATGAGACCGAAAACAACCGACGCTGTTCCAACCAGAGAGAGAGTCTGAGGCACAAGACTGGATTCAGACAGAGACACAAAAAACCCACAGAATCCTCCTCTTTGACATATGTAGTTCTCTGGTCTCTCCCTCCCTCTGGTCTCTCTGGTCTCTCCCTCTCTCTGGTCTCTCCTTCTCTCTGGTCTACCGGTCTCCCCCCTCTCCCTCTCTTCGGTCTCTCCCTCTCTCTGGTCTCTCCCTCTCTCCCTCTGGTCTCGCGCTCTCTCTCTCTGGTCTTGCGCTCTCTCCCTCTGGTCTTGCGCTCCCTCCCTCTGGTCTCTCCCTCCCTCTGGTCTCTCCCTCCCTCTGGTCTCTCCCTCCCTCTGGTCTCTCCCTCTCTCCCTCTGGTCTCGCGCTCTCTCTCTCTGGTCTTGCGCTCCCTCCCTCTGGTCTCTCCGCCCTCTGGTCTCTCCCTCCCTCTGGTCTTAATAGATCAAAGTCCTCCATGCAGTGCCGGTGAACCCAGAGTTGTCTGACTTCTCGGTTGTGTGTTATTGTGTGATATTGTGTAGTTGTGTCCTTCCTCGGCGTCACACTAGTGTCCCCTGAGATCAAAGCCTTCCATTGTGTCATGGAGCAGCACACGCTCCGGCTCCAGCGGCCGCTCTGCAGTTTAACCTCTGACCTCTGTCTTTGGGCAGCGCTAAACGTCACTGAAGGTTCAGAGACAAAACGCTCTCATCCATCATTGTGTCAGAGGTGTGTGTGTGTGTGTGTGTATGTTTGTGTGTATGTTTGTGTGTGTGTGCGTGTTTGTGTGTGTGTCTGAGTCTGCTACCGGCCATGCAAAAGTATTCATATACTTTGACCTCGTACATTTTCTCATGTTACAGCGACAAATGCATACATTATTATACAGACAGACCACCATGCCTCGGTCTCTCGGCCCCCGGTCTCTCGGCCCCCGGTCTCTCGGCCCCCGGTCTCTCGGCCCCCGGTCTCTCGGCCCCCGGTCTCTCTGCCCCCGGTCTCTCGGCCCCCGGTCTCTCGGCCTCTGCCCCCGGTCTCTCGGCCTCTGCCCCCGGTCTCTCGGCCTCTGCCCCCGGTCTCTCGGCCTCTGCCCCCGGTCTCTCCTCTGGTCTCTCGGCCTCCCCCGGTCTCTCGGCCTCTGCCCCCGGTCTCTCGGCCTCTGCCCCCGGTCTCTCGGCCTCTGCCCCCGGTCTCTCGGCCTCTGCCCCCGGTCTCTCGGCCTCTGCCCCCGGTCTCTCGGCCTCTGCCCCCGGTCTCTCGGCCTCTGCCCCCGGTCTCTCGGCCTCTGCCCCCGGTCTCTCGGCCTCTGCCCCCGGTCTCTCGGCCTCTGCCCCCGGTCTCTCGGCCTCTGCCCCCGGTCTCTCGGCCTCTGCCCCCGGTCTCTCGGCCTCTGCCCCCGGTCTCTCGGCCTCTGCCCCCGGTCTCTCGGCCTCCCCCCCGCCCCGGCCTCCGCCCCCGCCACCGCCCCGGCCTCCGCCCCCGCCTCCGCCCCGGCCTGTGCAGTCGTACCTCTTTCCCAGCGTGCTCAGCGGTGTACTGAGAGTCAGTGCGTTGGCCCCGGCCGGCCTCCTGGCTCTGGGGGTCAGTTTCGGGGTCTTGGGGGCCTCCTCCTTCACTTTGCCGGGACTGGCCGCTGGCGTCACGTTCAGGTCCTTCAGAATGTCGTAGTTTATTTTGGACGAGATCTTCTTCACCTCCAGCATTTTCCCAATGGCTTCTCCGGTGGAACTGGCAGTGATGGCGCCTTTCCTGCGGCCGCTCGAGCTGCGCTGGAAACACCAGGAGACAAACATCTGTGTCCAAGGTTTTCCTTAAAGCTGGGGGACGTAACTTTCAAATCCACAACAATAGAACTCTAATAGAATCCATGTCGCTAGCTTCTGGCTCTAAAACAGTTCTGTGCCTCAGTCTCTGCCTCAGCCTCTGCCTCAGCCTCTGCCTCAGCCTCTGCCTCAGCCTCTGCCTCAGCCTCTGCCTCAGCCTCTGCCTCAGCCTCTGCCTCAGTCTCTGCCTCAGTCTCTGCCTCAGTCTCTGCCTCAGTCTCTGCCTCAGTCTCTGCCTCAGTCTCTGCCTCAGTCTCTGCCTCAGTCTCTGCCTCAGTCTCTGCCTCAGTCTCTGCCTCAGTCTCTGCCTCAGTCTCTGCCTCAGTCTCTGCCTCAGTCTCTGCCTCAGTCTCTGCCTCAGTCTCTGCCTCAGTCTCTGCCTCAGTCTCTGCCTCAGTCTCTGCCTCAGTCTCTGCCTCAGTCTCTGCCTCAGTCTCTGCCTCAGTCTCTGCCTCAGTCTCTGCCTCAGTCTCTGCCTCAGTCTCTGCCTCAGTCTCTGCCTCAGTCTCTGCCTCAGTCTCTGCCTCAGTCTCTGCCTCAGTCTCTGCCTCAGTCTCTGCCTCAGTCTCTGCCTCAGTCTCTGCCTCAGTCTCTGCCTCAGTCTCTGCCTCAGTCTCTGCCTCAGTCTCTGCCTCAGTCTCTGCCTCAGTCTCTGCCTCAGTCTCTGCCTCAGTCTCTGCCTCAGTCTCTGCCTCAGTCTCTGCCTCAGTCTCTGCCTCAGTCTCTGCCTCAGTCTCTGCCTCAGTCTCTGCCTCAGTCTCTGCCTCAGTCTCTGCCTCAGTCTCTGCCTCAGTCTCTGCCTCAGTCTCTGCCTCAGTCTCTGCCTCAGTCTCTGCCTCAGTCTCTGCCTCAGTCTCTGCCTCAGTCTCTGCCTCAGTCTCTGCCTCAGTCTCTGCCTCAGTCTCTGCCTCAGTCTCTGCCTCAGTCTCTGCCTCAGTCTCTGCCTCAGTCTCTGCCTCAGTCTCTGCCTCAGTCTCTGCCTCAGTCTCTGCCTCAGTCTCTGCCTCAGTCTCTGCCACAGTCTCTGCCACAGTCTCTGCCACAGTCTCTGCCACAGTCTCTGCCACAGTCTCTGCCACAGTCTCTGCCACAGTCTCTGCCACAGTCTCTGCCACAGTCTCTGCCACAGTCTCTGCCACAGTCATGCGGAGGCAGCGTTTCAGATTTATGCAGCACTTACCTTCTTCTTCTCCTTGTAAATTCCCAGCTCTTTCTCTTTGGCGATTTTTGCTTCTTTGGCTAAAACGACAAAGGCCGAGTTGTAATAATAACCACAGGGCACCTGAGACGAAACCATGGATACGGACCTCTCTGCTCTTTGAGGTAGTCGGAGTTCTCTGCCATCCACAGAGCGGTCTTCACCTGGATCTCTCTGTCGCTCAGAAGGTACTGGAAGAGAGAAGACACACGAATTTGAAAAGAACTGTTCACCAAAAATAATAGATATTAGTTTTGTTTCCAGAATCTTCCTCCTGTGACACTTATGGCTCCTCAGCAGAGATACCGTCACAGACTGTATACAGATGGACAATGCAAGCTCAATGCTAACCTGCTAGCTAAAGGCTAACCTGCTATCTCAATGCTAACCCACTAGCTCTCTGTGATCCTGGTGTTTGTATTGTGATATTGTCTTTGTAAATCCAAATAGAGCACGGTTGCTGGGTGGCTAGCATTCTTGTTTCTCAGCAAGAAGATCCATGGTCCAGACGAGTGCCTGTGAGGGTTTCCTCCAGGCGCTCTGGTTTACCCTACCACTAAAAACATGCACAGTAGCTCCCCTGTCTCTGGGGGCAAGACTCTCCTAAAAAAAAATATATATATATATATATCTGAAATCTGAGTGGGACTTTCCTGGTTAAATAAAGGTCAATAGTATGAGCCACATAAGGATTGGCCAATCAGATGCCTTCTTTCCTCTGGGAAACGTCAGCTTACCTTAGCAACCGTCTTAGCAACACGTCTGCCACTGTCACGACGCATAGCTAACGGTATCAGCTCAAATCCCCATAGAAGGAAATTAGCTCCAGCAAGCTCAAGCTTAAATCGTCTTCTTGGTGATGTCACACTCTGTCAGTCCACTCCCTCCACTTTTTAGGTCTATATAAACTGTGAAAGCCCCGAGACTTGGCCTAAGGTGACGAGGCCTAAATAACATCTACAGTTGGACTGGCTCCCATTGGTCAGCACTAACTCTGACTCACGGTAAACTTGAGATACCCGTTTGCCTCGTTAAAGTGTAAGAATGGACTTGTGTGCTTTAGCGCCCCCTAGGGACTGAGGCAACGTGTGGTACCAGTTCTATTTCCTTGTCGTCGATGCCACTGAGGTCCAGCTCTCCTCCGTCCGTCTCTGCGTCTGCCAAAACAAATACAAAACGTGTTATTGTAAACACAGACGGGCTTTTATTGTGAAAGTCCGAACAGGAAGTGCTCAAGTTAACAGGAAGTTAAACAGGAAACAGATTGAGGTCATCCCAGAAGAGTCAGACAGAGCGAGGAAGACTGTGGCCCATTCACACCGAGCAAAAACATTGGGATTTTAACCAAAAAACACAATTTCTTCTACACACAGGACAGAGGCTCAGTCAGAAAGACTCGGCACTAACCTGAGCTGTAATTTGAACACACTAAATCAGGACCAAACCAGGTCTAGAGGTGGTCTAAACCAGGACTAAACCAGGACTGAACCAGGAGTAAGCCAGGTCTAAACCAGGATTAAACCAGGACCAAACCAGGACTGAACCAGGAGTAAGCCAGGTCTAAACCAGGACTAAACCAGGACTGAACCAGATCTAGAGATGGTCTAAACCAGGACTAAACCAGGAATAAATAAGGATTGGTTCAGGACTGAACCAGAGACAGAGCCTGGAGACATGGTCCATTGTAGAAATCTTTGTGTTTTCGGGTCAAAGATGACGCCGTGAACAGCTGCGAGCGGAGATCCTTCCATTGTTTAGTTTTATTGATTTTACAAAGTGAGAGAGAAAGAAAGAGACTGAAGCAGAGAGAGAGAGACTGGAGGAGGTGGATGAGAGAGAGAGAGAGACTTTAGCAGAGAGAGCGAGAGACTGTAGCAGAGAGCAAGAGACTGAAGCAGAGAGAGAGAGACTGAAGCAGAGAGAGAGAGACTGAAGCAGAGAGAGAGACTGAAGCAGAAAGAGAGAGAGAGAGAGACTGAAGCAGAGAGAGAGAGACTGAAGCAGAAAGAGAGAGAGAGAGAGACTGAAGCAGAGAGAGAGAGACTGAAGCAGAGAGAGAGACTGAAGCAGAAAGAGAGAGAGAGAGAGAGAGAGAGAGACTGTATCAAGAGAAAGACTGATGAGAGAGAGAGAGAGACAGGAGGTGGATGAGAGAGAAAGAGAGACAGGAGGAGGTGGATGAGAGAGAGACAGGTGGAGGTGGATGAGAGAGAGAGAGAGAGACAGACAGGAGGAGGTGGATGAGAGAGAGACAGGTGGAGGTGGATGAGAGAGAGAGAGAGAGACAGACAGGAGGAGGTGGATGGGGATGTCCATAAATTATATGTTAATTATAAAAGTCCAAAGTTGACGAAAAAGGCCCAGCTTTAATCATGAGTTAATCTGTGAAATGGAAGTGTCAGATTAGGCTCAGGCTGGATTAGTGTCTGTGCATTTTAAACACTGCAGACTGGTGCCTCTGCGGCTGCGGGACCAGGAATATACCATGTGCAGATTATACAGACATGCACATGTACCAGATTAACTCATGAAGTCTCTGGTCTCTCTCTGGGGTCTCTCTCTGGGGTCTCTCTCTGGGGTCTCTCTCTGGGGTCTCTCTCTGGGGTCTCTCTCTGGGGTCTCTCTCTGGGGTCTCTCTCTGGGGTCTCTCTCTGGTCTCGATCACACCTCTGACTTCAAGAGACTTACTTTCAATTTAATAGCTCCAGTACTGAGGTTGTGGATCCATGGCTGAGGCTGTAGACCCAGGACTGAGGCTGTAGACCCAGGACTGAGGCTGTAGACCAGGGGTGCTCACACTTTTTCAGCATGCGAGCTACTTATAAAAGGATCAAGTCAAAATGATCTACCTACTACAAAAATGCAAATCATATATTTATTTCAAAAAATATTCTTTATACCTACAATGTATGTTTATGTACATGCAAAACCGCATGAGCCAATATAGCACAACACAACACAATTACCTATGTAAATTTTTTGTCATTACCCGAGTTTACTCTGATGACTTGCACTGAATTGAATCGGCCAGGGATGCATAGTCCGGAAAATTGGTGGTAACTCGCTGGCAAGTTTATCGTGGTTTAGCTTTCCTGCACTGAGCGGTTGTTTGCGCATGTGCAGTCACCTAAGTGTCAGTAAAACATTACTGAGTAAAACACAGATGTCATTTGACTGTGGTGCCATGTCCATGTGCCATGCCTGTTTTTTTAAAATCCAAATATTTCCCCTCCTCAGTTTATAAAATAATTTGCATCCACACATCTGCGTTATCAATCACATTCGTAACATTCCAAACATGTGCGTCTCTTACGTCCTGTCCTGCGTTGGGGAAAAACCAAGCCCCGGCGATCCAAGATGGCGCCCTATTCAAATGAATGGTTGTGCTCAGTGGCGCTTTGTGACGGCATGGGGGCTGAAAGATTAGCGGAAGTTGCCTGAAACTCGCAAAGATCTATGGGAAACTCGCCTGTATTTGGGCATCGTCTGGTCCTCCCGGTTCTGCGCAGTGGATGATCTCCCATAATGCATTGCGCCAAACACGCGTGTGTGGGTCTCACACCGGGTCTCACGCACGTGCACAGAGGGGCTCGGCCGCGCTCTGACCAATCAGAGCAGTTCATCAGAGCGGGAGTTAGAGCGAGAGCCAGACGAGCAGAGTTTGTGGCACTAAAGTGTGGATTTAAACAAAACCGAAAGATTTAAGAAGAAAAAAAGTTCAGGATGACAAGGGACACTAAAATCCCCACAAAATCCGATCTTTATTAAAGCTGTAGGTTCTCTGTCAGGTTCTCTGTCAGCTGAGGTCGAGCTGTTTTAATATGCATTGAGTTCTATGGGGAAAATTTCTGGGTAGCCCACGTGAATTTAGTCTGGTTCAGTCTGCAGTACCGCGAGAATCCCCTGAGCACATGAGTTATTCAGCTACAAGCTAGTAATACCCTATCCAGTTAATATAATACATCCATGGGAAAAACACAGAAGTGGGCGGAGTTCTGATGCAGACGCCGGTAACGGCACTTTTACAGTCATAGAAGACACTCAGAGTAAAGAGTAAGACGTATGTTTACAAGCACTGACCCCGTCTTCAGCCCTGGTTTAGTCCTGGTTTAGTCCTGGTTTAGTCGTTTTCGAGCGTGAGTCCCCGTGATCACTTTGTTGCTCTCTGATGTGGAGCGAGGATGTTCGCTGCTGCGAGCATCTCACAACGAACAGTTTTTAAGGTAGTATGATCCATGCTTCAGTGATCAGAGGAATTTAGGGGGGTACTGTGGCGTGCGAGAACGCAAAACTCCGGTTATCTCTGTCTACACACAAATGCATTAACGGAGTTTTCAAAAATCTCCACTTTGCCCGGAGTTTTTTGTATATATTCGTTTAGAATGTGTAATTTTTTCATTTATTTAATGCGATCTACCAATACTACCTTTGCGATCGACTGGTAGATTGCGATCGACGTATTGAGCACCCCTGCTGTAGACCCAGGACTGAGGCTGTAGACCCAGGGCTGGCCATGCGATGCCTAAGAGTCCGATCCGGCTGGAGAAGACAGTCCACACCCCTGTCTTTCTCGTTGCAAGAAGCAGACACGGGTCCAAACAACACGCCAACCTTTCCCTTTCTTTGGGAGTCTGACTCTGGCTGAGGCTGTGTGTTATCTCAGATCTGGCTCCTCCTCAGTGTCTTTGTTTTTCCTTCAAACTTTTGTCTCTTACCTGGATCTGCTTTGATCCTTTGTGCAGGGTGTGGGTTCTATGCCCCGCTCTTTGGAGAAACCTGGGGTCGAGTTTCAGAGGGGAAGCCGCTGGATCAGCTCAGTGTTAGCATTAATGTGGAAGAAGCTAACTTAGAGCTGTGCGGGAATGTGCAGTTTTTTACTTTTAAGTGTATATTATTTCCATATAACATATACATATACAGACATCAATTCATTCATTCATCTTCTTCCCCTTAATCCATTTCTGGGTCGGGGGGGGGGGGGGTGGCAGTCAGAGCTGCACCCAGTTCACAGAGCACCGGCCCTTCACTGATCCTCCTGCAGGTGCTGAGTCCACAGGGGCCTTGATCTTTCAGCGGGGGCTTCAGGCAAAGTGGGGTTAAGTGTCTTGCCCAAGGACACTACAACAGATATCAGTGGGAGTCGTTAAGTAGGTTTTATGGTGGACTCAAACCCACGACCTTCAGGCTCAAAGGCCAATGCTCTACCACTGAGCCACTGTCGCCCTCACTATATACAGACATTCATCTTATATCTTTTCCAAAGACATAGAACTGAGTTTCATGTACATTCGGGAGGCCTCCAATCTAAACACTTTTATTCAACAAAAAAAAAATATATATATATATACACACACACGTACACACATGTATATTACACACGTACACACATATACTACACACGTACACACATATACTACACACGTACACATGTATATTACACACATATACTACACACGTACACATGTATATTACACACGTACACACATATACTACACACGTACACATGTATATTACACACGTACACACATATACTACACACGTACACATGTATATTACACACATATACTACACACGTACACATGTATATTACACACGTACACACATATACTACACACGTACACATGTATATTACACACATATACTACACACGTACACATGTATATTACACACGTACACACATATACTACACACGTACACATGTATATTACACACGTACACACATATACTACACACGTACACATGTATATTACACACGTACACACATATACTACACACGTACACATATATATTAACTCATTGACTGCTGCTGACACGTTGAGCTTGCTCACGCGTCGATCTCACTGCTGCTGTTTTTGATGATTTCACTGACTTTCAAGACCCACAGAATATTGTGTGCTAGGACTGTGTATATGACACCAGATTCTGAAAGACTGATTTGTCTACTTTTATCAGCAAAAATAAGTTGGTTTCTAGCTAGTTTTGTTCTCTAGTAATCCCCAGTCCAATCTCTGACAAATACGTACACATATATAATACACTTGTCCTTTCTCTTCCCCTCTCCCCCCTCAGCCTTGGCCTCCATCTATCCTCTCTCTCCTCCCTCCCTCTCTCCTCCTCCCTCTCTCCTCCTCCCTCTCTCTCACTGGTCATCTTTTTGAATATTTAAAGACATAGCGCATGTTTAACGAGTCTAAAGTGGACGATAAAGATCAAATATTGATGCAGCAGGTGCAGGAGCAGGTCCTCTCTGCACATGTAGGTCAGGGGGGAGGTGAAGGGGGGAGGAGGGGGGGTCAAAGGGGGGGGCACAGATTCTGACGGAGCATCACCACCATCAGTGGGACAATGGGAAATACAAAATATTGTACAAACAGAAATTCATCAACAAAACAATTTTTTTTTCTATTCCAAAACACTCTCTCTGGTCTGTCTCTCTCCCTCCACTCTCTCTCTGCTCTCTCTCTTCCACTCTCTCCGCTCTCTCTGCGCGCTCTCTTCTCTCTCTCTTCCACTCTCTGCTCTCTCTTCCACTCTCTGCTCTCTCTTCCACTCTGCTCTCTCTCTTCCACTCTGCTCTCTCTCTTCCACTCTGCTCTCTCTCTTCCACTCTGCTCTCTCTCTTCCACTCTGCTCTCTCTCTTCCACTCTGCTCTCTCTCTTCCACTCTCTGCTCTCTCTCTTCCACTCTGCTCTCTCTCTTCCACTCTGCTCTCTCTCTTCCACTCTGCTCTCTCTCTTCCACTCTGCTCTCTCTCTTCCACTCTGCTCTCTCTCTTCCACTCTGCTCTCTCTCTTCCACTCTGCTCTCTCTCTTCCACTCTGCTCTCTCTCTCTTCCACTCTCTGCTCTCTCTCTTCCACTCTCTCTGCTCTTTCTCTTCCACTCTCTCTGCTCTCTCTCTTCCACTCTCTCTGCTCTCTCTCTTCCACTCTCTCTGCTCTCTCCGCTCTCTCTCTTCCACTCTCTCTGCTCTCTCTCTTCCACTCTCTCTGCTCTCTCTCTTCCACTCTCTCCGCTCTCTCCCCCTCGATCCCAAAACATCACAAACAGTACATTTCAACAGCACTGACTCGGCCTCTTACCCAGCTTGCGGCCAAGTCTTTTGGCAGCCAAATATAGCTGCAATACAGACCCAATAAAAACAAACTGCTCTCTCTCTCTCTGGCCCTTTATTATGACACGTTCTTGTAATGAAAATCTGACATGGGTCCAAACAACACGCCAACCTTCCCCACTGTGTTCTGAAGCCGTTAGAATAACGCCATGTCTCCTTTAAACCTCCTGTTAAAGAAGTCGTTTAATCTGAACAAAGACATGAGGGAACCCGACCTGAGGCTGGTCTCTCCACAGGGATTAAAGCCAGGGGTCGTAACTCTGTCATTACATCATTATCACAGGCCTTTAATGGGAACGGCTCACGTTTTAGAGCGTTAGTAACGAGCAAGACATCGTTGAGAAACACATCAGCGTCTGCACCACTCACAGGGGAATCACACTCGGCCTCTAACCCGTCTTGCGGCTGAGTCTGTTTGCAACACAGTACAGCTGTAATACAGACACAATAAACCTGTGTCTCTCTCTCTGGGGTCTCTCCTCTCACTCAGGTCTCTTTCTGGTCTCTGGTCTCTCTCTCTCTCTCTTTCTCCCTCTCTGGTCTCTTTCTGGTCTCCCTCTGGTCTCTCTCTCTCTCTCTTTCTCCCTCTCTGGTCTCTTTCTGGTCTCCCTCTGGTCTCTCTCTCTCTCTCTGGTCTTTCTGTGGTCTCTGGTCTCTTTCTGGTCTCGCTCTCTCTCTGGTCTCTCTCACTGGTCTCTCTCCATCTCTCTCTCTCTTTGGTCTCTCTCTCTCTCTGGTCTCTCTCTCTGGTCTCTCTCTCTGGTCGCTGACAAACCCGTTGTGTCTCACCTGGTTCCTCGCTGACGCAGTGGCTGATGGTCTGGCCCAGGCCCAGGGTGGCGGCCGAGCGCAAGGGCCCCAGGATGGACTCCAGCGAGGGGGCGTTCCTATGTGGGATGATCTGCTCCTCCCCCGCCTCCAGGGGGCGCTCCAGCCTCCTCAGAGCCTCCATGGTCAGCTCGTCCAGGTCTTTCCCAAAGTGCTTGGCCACAGCCTGCAGCTCGTCCTCCTCCTCCTCGTCCTGGTCTTTGGAGGCCACGAACAGCGCCTCCTGCACGTTCTTCACCGGGACTGCGGAGAACCACACACTTCATCTGTCCCACTGCGGGAAATGTCAGTGTTGCCACGCACCGACAGGACATTAGTAAGACAGCGGGGAAATGGAAGAGGAGCACACACTGTATTTTAGAACTTTATAAAGAGCCAGAAACAGCCGCTCAATATTTTAGCGTTTGGTAACTGAAATAACTGCCTAAATTAAAGCTGGGGTACGTAACTTTTAAAATACAACACGCTGCTGTAGAACCCATGTGTCTGGTTCCTAGCTCTAACACAGAGGAGAACCTTTACGTCGAGCTAACACGTCGAGCTAACACGGCTGACCTGTTGAGCTAACATGTTGAGCTAACACGTTGAGCTAACACGTTGCGCTAACACGTTGAGCTAACACAGGGGTGTCCAAACCAGTCCATAAAGGGCCGCTGTGGCTGCAGGTTTTCTATCAGACCCAAAAGGAGCAGAGCAGACTCCGCCCTTTTCCTCAAATCTTCAGGTCAAGACTGAACTCACTTGAGGAAATGGGCGGAGTCTGCTCTGCTCCTGTTGAGTATGATAGAAAACCAGCAGACACAGCGGCCCTTTCTGGACTGGTTTGGACACCCCTGAGCTCACGCGTCGAGCTCACGCGTCGAGCTCACGCGTCGAGCTCACGCGTCGAGCTCACGCGTCGAGCTCACGCGTCGAGCTCACGCGTCGAGCTCACGCGTCGAGCTCACGCGTCGAGCTCACGCGTCGAGCTCACGCGTCGAGCTAATTCACTCGGGTCCAGTGTGTGACATCACCTTCTCTGGTGTACGCTGCATAGATTCCTCTGAGTTTAGGACGACTGTTCTCCAGCTCTGCGTCAATCTCATCCTCGAACTCATGGATCTCATCTGTGACACAACAGTCAGACAAAGTTACAAAACAGTCACACAACAGTGACACAACAGTCAGACAACAATCACAACAGTAAAGACACACATATCAGAGACAATAACCTGTACCTTGGACGTCATCCTCCAGCTGCTTTTTCAGCTCCACCTCCAACTGCAGAAGAACATAAATATAAATATGTTCTCGTCTCCCTCTCTGGACTCCCCCTCTCTCCGGTCTCTCCCTCTCCGGTCTCTCCCTCTCCGGTCTCTCCGGTCTCTCCGGTCTCTCCCTCTCCGGTCTCTCCGGTCTCTCCCTCTCCGGTCTCTCCGGTCTCTCCGGTCTCTCCGGTCTCTCCGGTCTCTCCGGTCTCTCCGGTCTCTCCCTCTCCGGTCTCTCCCTCTCCGGTCTCTCCCTCTCCGGTCTCTCCCTCTCCGGTCTCTCCCTCTCCGGTCTCTCCCTCTCCGGTCTCTCCCTCTCCGGTCTCTCCCTCTCCGGTCTCCCTCTCCGGTCTCCCTCTCCGGTCTCCCTCTCCGGTCTCCCTCTCCGGTCTCCCTCTCCGGTCGCTCACCCCATGGTTCTTCTTCTTCCTCAGGCCAGCAGTGAAACATGGAGGGTCACACTCCTGGTCCAGATCTTCTCGCATGAACTCCTCTATGGTCATGCTACTGGTGGGAGTGTCCTCGAACTCATTCAGCCTGAAGACAGAACCAGGGAGCCATGGGAGAGTGGGAGAGGGGGAGAGGGGGAGAGAGGGAGAGAAGAGGGGAGAGGGGGAGAGAGAGATGAGAGTCATGGAAGCTAACGGTGAATGAGTCGTGGAAGCTAACAGTGAATATGTCGTGGAAGCTAACGGTGAATAAGTCATGGAAGCTAACGGTGAATAATTCATGGAAGCTAACAGTGAATATGTCGTGGAAGCTAACGGTGAATAATTCATGGAAGCTAACAGTGAATATGTCGTGGAAGCTAACGGTGAATAATTCATGGAAGCTAACGGTGAATAAGTCATGGAAGCTAACGGTGAATAAGTCATGGAAGCTAACAGTGAATATGTCGTGGAAGCTAACGGTGAATAAGCCATTGGAAGCTAACAGTGAATTAGTCGTGGAAGCTAACGGTGAATGAGTCGTGGAAGCTAACGGTGAGTGAGAGCGTAGTGTAATGACCGTTTCCGCAGCGTGGTCTCGCAGACTTTGACCACGTCCACGATCTCTTTGATGGTTCGTCTGAAGTCGTACATACGAGCGGCCACCAGGAGCGCTGTGGAGACAGGACACATGAGATGAGGACCAGGAAGAACTGAAGCCCTGTTTCCACTAGCCCTGCCCTGCCCTACCCTACCCAACTCTACCCAACTCTACCCAACTCTACTCAACTCTACTCAACTCTACTCAACTCTACTCAACTCTACTCAACTCTACTCAACTCTACTCAACTCTACTCAACTCTACTCAACTCTACTCAACTCTACTCAACTCTACTCAACTCTACTCTACTCAACTCTAAACTTGCCTTCTAACTTGTGTGGTGTGTTAGACTTTTACAAAACATACGAGGCGGCCGCAAGAAATGAGACTGGTACAAATGAGATTGAAACAAACAAGACTGCCGCAAACGAGACTGAAACAAACGAGACTGGAGAAAACGAGACTGAAGCAAATGAGACTGAAGCAAACGAGACTGAAGCTAACGAAACTGAAGCAAACGAAACTGAAGCAAACGAAACTGAAGCAAACGAAACTGAAGCAAACGAGACTGGAGCAAACAAGACTGGAGCAAACAAGACTGGAGCAAACAAGACTGGAGCAAACAAGACTGGAGCAAACAAGACTGGAGCAAACAATACTGGAGAAAACGAGACTGGAGAAAACGAGACTGAAGCAAACGAGACTGGAAGCAAACGAGACTGAAGCAAACGAGACTGGAAGCAAACGAGACTGGAGCAAACGAGACTGAAGCAAACAAGACTGAAGCAAACAAGACTGAAGCAAACAAGACTGAAGCAAACAAGACTGGAGCAAACGAGACTGAAGCAAACGAGACTGAAGCAAACGAGACTGGAAGCAAACGAGACTGAAGCAAACGAGACTGGAAGCAAACGAGACTGAAGCAAACAAGACTGAAGCAAACAAGACTGAAGCAAAAAAGAGTGAAGCAAACAAGACTGGAAGCAAACAAGACTGGAAGCAAACAAGACTGAAGCAAATGAGACTGGAAGCAAACGAGACTGAAGCAAACAAGACTGAAGCAAACGAGACTGAAGCAAACGAGACTGAAGCAAACGAGACTGGAAGCAAACGAGACTGAAGCAAACGAGACTGGAAGCAAACGAGACTGAAGCAAACGAGACTGGAAGCAAACGAGACTGAAGCAAACAAGACTGAAGCAAACAAGACTGAAGCAAAAAAGAGTGAAGCAAACAAGACTGGAAGCAAACAAGACTGGAAGCAAACAAGACTGAAGCAAATGAGACTGGAAGCAAACGAGACTGAAGCAAACAAGACTGAAGCAAACGAGACTGAAGCAAACGAGACTGTACATAGAGTTACATAGAGTTGCATAGAGCTACCTAGTTGTGATGCAGTCTTTGTAAATGAGCCATAACAACTGACCAATCAGGAGCCTTCTGTCCCCAAGAACAGACCAGCGCTGCTCCTGATTGGCTCTTTAGTTGTTGAGTTGTTACTAACAAAACTTAGCTTAAGTTTCCGTCCATACAGCCTGAGAGTCAGCTCTAATCCTTATACAGTCAGAGTCAGCCATAATTCTTATACAGTCAGTCAGCTCTAATTCTTATACAGTCAGAGTCAGCTCTAATCCTTATACAGGCAGAGTCAGCTCTAATCCTTATGCAGTCAGTCAGCTCTAATCCTCATACAGTCAGAGTCAGCTCTAATCCTTATACAGTCATAGTCAGCTCTAATCCTGATAGTCATAGTCAGCTCTAATCCTTATACAGTCAGTCAGCTCTAATCCTCATACAGTCAGAGTTAGCTCTAATTTTTATACAGTCAGAGTCAGCTCTAATCCTTATACAGTCAGAGTCAGCTCTAATCCTTATACAGTCAGAGTCAGCTCTAATCCTTATAAAGCAAGAGTCAGCTCTGAAGCTGCACAGGAGTCAGGGGTCAGAGGTCAGAGGTCACCTGCTCCGCACAGCCCCGAGGGCCTGCGTCCCGTGTGCATCCAGTCTCTCTTCATCCTCTGCACCAGACGCAGCGCTGTCATCGACACGTCGTGGTTTTTGTCTCCAAACTCCAGCAGCTGAGAGAAACGGGGGATGTACAGGCAGGGGTCTGAGGGGAGGGGGGAGAGAGGGAGAGGAGAAAGGAGAGGGGAGGAGGAGGGGAGAGAGGAGGAGGAGGGGAGAGAGGTGAGGAGGAGGGGAGAGGAGAGGGGAGGAGGAGGGGAGAGAGGAGAGAGAGGTGAGGAGGAGGGGAGAGGAGAGGGAGAAAAGGGGAGAGAGGAGAGGGGAAGGCAGAGAGGAGTGGGGAGAGAGGAGAGAGGAGAAGGGGAGGGGAGAGGAGAAAAGAGGGGAGGGAGGAGAGGGGGAAAAGGGGAGGGGAGAGGGGAGAGGAGAAAAGAAGGAGAGATGTCAATACTTTTTTGCAAAAAACTGCTCAGAGTGTGATGTCATAGTGGGACAATGACATCACAGTTACAGGACGGAGGTGTGAGACAGAGGGGGCTTATGTCAGCGTGGATGGGGCTCCATCAAATATGTGCTCCATTCTTTTGACTCTGGTTTACTCGGAGCACCCGGAGGAAACCTGGGGAACATGCAAACTCCACACAGAAAGGCCCCGTCTTGAGAGGGATTCGAACTCAGGACCCTTAGCAGGTCTCCCTCTCTAGTCTTTGTGGTCTCTCTCTCTGGTCTCTCTCTCTCTGGTCTCTCTCTGTGGTCTCTCTCTCTGGTCTCTCTCTCTGGTCTCTCTCTCTGGTCTCTCTCTCTGGTCTCTCTGGTCTCTCTCTCTCTGGTCTCTCTCTCTGGTCTCTCTCTCTCTGATTAGAAAACTCTCTCTCTGTGGTCTCTCTCTCTGTGGTCTCTCTCTCTGGTCTCTCTCTCTCTGGTCTCTCTCTGTGGTCTCTCTCTCTGGTCTCTCTCTCTGGTCTCTCTCTCTGGTCTCTCTCATCCACACAGCTGGCAGTCCAGCCGTGAAAGCATAGATCCACTTTACTCGATCATTTATTCATGACTGTTCCACCGAAGCAGCAGGGCGGGGGGGAGTGGGAGGAGCCTGTGACGCAGTCCGTAGCCGTACGCCAGAGTGGGAGGTCCGCGGTGACGTGGAAAGTCTGCAGGCCTGGAGCTGCACTCTGAGAGCCACTCTGACAAGAGCAGAGCAGTTATTTTGTTTTGCTGTTTGCTATCATCATTTTTCTTTTTTTTGTCATCTGATTAGAAAACAGGTTATTTTTGTGAAAGAAAGAGCCTTGTGAGTCAGTATTTGACTCTTTGGGCTGAGAGCTGCTTGCCTGGCTTGCTGGTCCCACTCTGGTCCTCCTCCCCCTGGGCTCTCACTCCCCCTGGGCTCTCACTCTCTCTGGGCTCTGTCCCCCTCTCCCTGGTCTCTCTCTCTTGTCCCCCTCTTCCAGGTCTCCTTCTCTCTCTCTAGGCTCTCTCCCTGGTCTCTCTCTCCCTGATCTCTCACTCTCTCTCGTCTATCCACCTCTCCCTTTCTCTCTCTCTCTCTCTCTTTCACTTTTCTCTGAAAAAGGCCAAACATACACAATGTGAAAAATAATGATAGAAGCAACTGTTATAGAACCAGAACCAGGAACTAGCACAAAAGTTATTACACACTTGTTGTCGTCTGACAGTTACACATCCCAGCTTTAACCCACTTACACTATGAAAGCTAATAAAACTGTATTTTAGTTCGTGTTTATGAGAGAGAAGGGGGGACATGTTAGCGCGGGCCCCCCAGCGCTGCTCCGCCCCTGCAGTTCCACACACACGAAGGGGGGAGACGGGGCCGCTGTAGGGGAGGAGGGAAAACAACCAAAATATACAACACGGACTGTAAAAAACTCACACACACCAACACCAAAGCGACGCGCGGAGGACACACAGCCCAGAGCGTAGTGTGGAGACGCGCAGGGACCGTGCCGTGTCAGAGCGGAGAAAGGCCTGGATTAACGCAACAGCGAAAGCGACGCACCAGGGCAGCTCGGATTACGCTGCGGACAGGACGCGCAGTTTTAGTCGTTGGATCTGCTTCCCCTGGTGTTGTCGCGGTGAATCTGGGCTTTTACGCACCCCCGGGACCCCTGCCAAAGACGTCGACTTTAGACGCGAGGGGCTGCTACCGTTGGGAAGTCGTGACAAAAAACGTACGGACACGACGTTTACGGAGACATCGCGTTCAAGGACTCGGGCTGTGGGTGCCTCTGCCAGCAGTGGTGGTGAGGCAGACAGAACCATCCACACACACTTAATCTCAAATCAACGATAGATTTGGGTTTTACGCACGGACATTGAGGCTTCCAACGATGCAACATTGAAAAAAACAGGGATTTTTCACATTCTTGGATCAAAACAGTGGTATTATTATTGCACCATGCATCGGATTGCAGTACAAATTTCTTTCTAATGCATGTTTAACCTGCACGTACTTCTACTACTACTGCTGCTGCTGCTGCAGCGGACTCTGCAGCCCGGTCTGATCTCCTGGTCACGGCTTGCCACCAGCGCAGGAGGAGCGCCGCTGTTTCGCAGTGTGAACGCAGATGCCCACTGCGGACTACAGCCTGCTCCATCATGCCCGGACCATGAAGTGTCTAACTTGCCTGCTCTTCCTGCCAGAAACCCTGAAAAAGTCGCTCAAATTCGGTGCGGTCCATCGCAGGCTCCCGCTATGCGCTGAGGTTCTGTCGCGGAGCAAGAAAATCCCCAAAGCGAAGAAGCAACAACGCGAAGAGGAGGAAGAGGAGGAGGAGGAGGCGAGGAAGATGGCTGCAGAGCTGTGCCCCGCCAGCGCCACTGTGGGCCTGCAGAGGGGGACCACGGTGGACACGGACGCGGAGAAGCCCAAAGAGGAGCGTGTGTGTGGGGATGACAAGGGCGAGGTGAGCGAATGCACGACGCCCACGAAACAGTCTCCAAACCCGGGCAACAACAACAGCAGCGGCGGCGGTGGTGGTGGAGGAGGTGGAGGAGGAGGTGGAGTGGAGCAGGCCAGCTGGCAGTGCAGTCACCCCACGCTCAGAGAGAGGTAAACACGGCAGAGTTTGGGGTTTTGTGAGGGGGAATTGTATGAGATGGTGTGTTGTGCAGAGGCGGAGTGAGCGAGACAGGGGCCCGGGGCGGACTTCCCTTTGAGGCCCCCGTTTGCACTTTAGTATTACTGTCACATCACAGTTGACACTCGCTATATATGTAATTTCTTCCCCAGCGAACGTCACAACATTATATAACCACGAGTAAAACATGAGTTACCTTTAGTTAGAGTCAGGAGAAAACTTTAGTGAGTCTCTGTCTGTGTCCGTCTCTCTCTCTCTCGCTCTCTCTCTCTGATTAAGAAGGTTTTGCTCAGGAAGGATGTTGTGAAAAGCTCAAAAACAGCAGATTTCACAGTAAGTTTCCTCTACCGTCTGATCTCACTCTGGTCTCTCTCGTGTTTCCTCTGGTCCAGACGAGAACGCGCACAGAGAACGCAGAGAACAGCAGGTGTCTCGGGGCAGACGCAGATTATGTAACTCTCACTGTTCCCTCTCACAGAAACGCACTCATGTTTAACAATGAGCTGATGGCCGACGTGCACTTCATCGTGGGGCCACCGGGGGAAGCACAGAGGGTGCCCGCCCACAAGGTACACACTACACTCTTTTGAAATGCCAAGGTACAGACTATACACGTTTGAAATGCAGAGATAAAAGTCTATACGAGTTTGAAATGCCGAGATAGAAGTCTATATGAGTTTGAAATGCCGCGATAGAAGTCAATACGAGTTTGAAATGACTTTTAGGTAACACTGCAGATCGAGTCCTGACTAGAACCAGGAAGTACGATCACATTAGTCCAGCTCTCTGGTCTCCTGCTGGTCCCAGAGTCAGGACTCAACATGGGGAGGCAGTTTCTCTGACAATGTTCAAACCAGGTTAAAAACAATGGTCGAGTCTCGGCAGATAGAGTGGATCACATGAGATCGTTGTGGTGCTGAGTGTAAATTGTGTATCTCCTCTGGTCTCAGTACGTGTTGGCGGTCGGGTCCTCGGTCTTTGGGGCCATGTTTTACGGGGACTTGGCTGAGGAAGAGTCGGGGATCCAGATTCCGGACGTGGAGCCGGCTGCATTTCTCATTCTGCTCAAGTAAGTGCTGCATTCACCTTACGGGACTGTTTATGATACTGCTGCTGGCCTCTCTCTGGTCCCTCTCTTCTGGTCCCTCTCTTCTGGTCCCTCTCTCTCTGGTCTCTCTCTCTGGTCTCTCTCTCTGGTCTCTCTCTCTGGTCTCTCTCTCTGGTCTCTCTCTCTGGTCTCTCTCTCTGGTCTCTCTCTCTGGTCTCTCTCTCTGGTCTCTCTCTCTGGTCTCTCTCTCTGGTCTCTCTCTCTGGTCTCTCTCTCTGGTCTCTTTCTCTGGTCTCTCTCTCTGGTCTCTCTCTCTGGTCTCTCTCTCTGGTCTCTCTCTCTGGTCTCTCTCTCTCTGGTCTCTCTCTCTCTGGTCTCTCTCTCTCTGGTCTCTCTCTCTCTGGTCTCTCTCTCTCTGGTCTCTCTCTCTCTGGTCTCTCTCTCTCTCTGGTCTCTCTCTGGTCTCTCTCTCTGGTCTCTCTCTCTGGTCTCTCTCTCTGGTCTCTCTCTCTGGTCTCTCTCTCTGGTCTCTCTCTCTGGTCTCTCTCTCTGGTCTTTCTCTCTGGTCTCTCTCTCTGGTCTCTCTCTCTGGTCTCTCTCTCTGGTCTCTCTCTCTGGTCTCTCTCTCTGGTCTCTCTCTCTGGTCTCTCTCTCTGGTCTCTCTCTCTGGTCTCTCTCTCTGGTCTCAGTGAGGGGGAGGTACAGCCCCACGCTCTGTCATTACTCTTCAAACACAGATCCCATTAAAACCGCCTTTGGAGAATCAGAAACTTCTAAAAATAACTTCACTTTGTTGTGGTTAGCAAACTCCTCTTTCAACTTCAGAAAACTTTTACGAGACTGAAACCCCGTCTTAAACTACGATCCTTTGAAAATCTATGAAAAAAGTGATAGAAAAGTCAAGAAAGAGCAAAAGACGAGATACAGAGAAATATGTTTTAAAAACTAAAAAATATGGACCGAGTCTTCCACAAACAGACTTCTTTATAACTTTACTAAACTCAAATGGTAATAATAATCTTATACTGTAGAGCAGCTGTATTGTTCTCTTTTTTGTTTTCCTGTATATATTTCTTTTTTAATATGCAATATACTGCGTGTATTGGATATTTTCTTTTAACTATGGACTGTATTGTATTGTGTCCTGAATAAAGATGAATAATAATAAAATAAATAATAATAATAGATCAAGATCGCATCACAAAAAGCTTCAAAATTACAAGAAAAAAATCAGTTAAAAGCACAATTATTGCATTTTTTGGAATGGTTTAAGACTTTTTTAAAATACTCTTGTCCGTTACTTCTACAGCTCTGGGATTCCTCAGAAAACTCAAACTCCAAAAATTCAATGCATTTTTGTATCGCCTTAAATCTCAGCTTGCTCTTTTATGGGGCTTTCAGACCGCCAACGCTGAAACGCTGAAGCCCCGCTCACCAGACGCGCATTCTCTAGTTTTCAGACGCAGAGGACTTCACATCAGAACGTCCTGACGCGAGCCGGAAGTACCGGAAGTAGCCGGCCGGCTCTGATGCTAACAGAGCTATGCTAGCGGCTTCTTGTGAACAGATCTTCTCCAATATGCAGCTTTGCAGCGTGTCTTTGCTCACAGACATTCCACGGGCTTTATATAACAGCAGTATGTGTTCACGGAGGTCGGCACACGTTTTTTATATTATTAAACGGAATTTCCGCATCGGCGAACACACTCGAAGCAGTTGCATAAGGTCACGGGAGCATGACAACGCATATTTTCACAAGCACAGAGTCCCCCATTGTCAACCCTGGTTTGAGTTCTGGTGAAGTCTGGTGTGGGTCCTGTTTTGGCTGTTTACAGTTTTTTCAGTCTGCTCGCTCAGTCCGCTAATGTCCCCGTGACCACTTTGCTGCTCTCTGATTGGTTGTCGCACGAACGTGCCAAGGAAAGGATGAGCAGAATCCATCTCCTGTGGGCGTCCATTTTTCGCTCCTGCTCCTCCCTTTTCACTTTCCCGCCAAGTCCGTGCGTCATTATTGAACAGTCCGTTCGTGCGAACCGAGCGGTCCGTGCGTTGTGACGGTCGAACGCGCGTCACCATAGACTTTGCATTGAAACCCGACGCAGCATGATCCGGTCTGAAAGCACCATTATTCTGACAAAACATCTCGAACTGTACAACACGGCACGAGTGATGTTTTCAGAAGTTTTGTGGATGATATGTGATTATGGTCACGAACCACATGACGCCAGTGTTAGCTTCCACATAATAAAAATAATAATTCCATAAACTTTGTTCTGACAATAAAAAAACACATTAGCCGCATCGATATAAAAGCCAGAACTTACGGTACATAAATAAAACAAACTAAAAAGTACAAGAAACAAAGCACAACAAAAACAGCTTCAATAAGAGAGATCAGACTCCCTCATTCTAACTCCACGTTTCTCGTTCTTTCAGGTATCTCTACAGCGACGAGATCGACCTGGAGGCTGACACCGTCCTGGCCACGCTGTATGCCGCCAAGAAGTACATCGTGCCAGCTCTGGCCAAGGCCTGCGTCACGTTCCTGGAGACGAGTCTGGAGGCCAAGAACGCCTGCGTGCTACTGTCCCAGAGCCGCCTGTTCGAGGAGCCCGAGCTCACGCAGAGGTGCTGGGAGGTGATCGACGCTCAGGCCGAGCTGTCGCTGTGCTCCGAGGGCTTCTGCGAGATCGACCTGCCCACGCTCGAGATCATCCTGCGGCGAGAGACCCTCAACGCCAAAGAAGTGGTGATCTTCGATGCCGTCATGAACTGGGCCAGCGCCGAGTGCAAGCGGCAGGGGCTGGGGCCGACCATCCGCAACCGCAGGGAGGTGCTGGGCAAGGCGCTGTTCCTGGTGCGCCTCCCCGCCATGACGCTGGAGGAGTTTGCCAACGGAGCGGCGCAGTCCGACATCCTGACGCTGGAGGAGACGCACGACGTGTTCCTGTGGTTCACCGCCGCCAACAAGCCGCAGCTGGACTTCCCTCTGACGCCGCGGAAAGGCCTGGCGCCGCAGAGATGCCACCGCTTCCAGTCCTCGGCGTATCGTAGCAACCAGTGGCGTTACCGTGGACGCTGCGACAGCATCCAGTTCGCCGTGGACAAGCGGATCTTCATAGCGGGGCTGGGGCTGTACGGCTCCAGCGGCGGGAAGGCGGAGTACAGCGTGAAGATCGAACTGAAGCGGCAGGGCGCCACGCTGGCCCAGAACGTCACCAAGTTTGTGTCGGACGGCTCCAGCAGCACCTTCGCCGTCTGGTTCGAGAATCCGGTGCAGGTGGAGCAGGACACTTTCTACACGGTGAGCGCGGTGCTGGACGGGAACGAGCTGAGCTACTTCGGGCAGGAGGGCATGACCGAGGTGCAGTGCGGGAAGGTGACGTTCCAGTTCCAGTGCTCGTCGGACAGCACCAACGGCACCGGCGTCCAGGGCGGCCAGATCCCAGAACTCATATTCTACTCATGAGCGCGTCAGAGAGACATGTGTCAAAACTGTAAAAGCCTTCAATGAAATGTAGCAAACTCAAAGCTGCGGCCACATCGCGGTCTGAAGAGGGACGTGTGCGCGACCTTGCCTGTGTGAGAGATTGGAAACTGTATAGCGGAGATACTTTCATTATTTTTGGTGCCAGTAAAAGTTTTCTGCATTAAAGTTGGGCTACCCAACTTTCAAACCACAACAAAAGAACCATGTGATCAAATCCATGTCTCTGGGTCCAGTTTTATCTCTAGTTTCTATGTTTGGCCTCTGTCATGTCTTTAGATCAGCTTTTTCTGGTTTCCCCCTGGTCCCTCTCTCTCGGGACTCTCTCTCTCGGGTCCTTCTCTCTCTCTCTCGGGTCCCTCTCTCTCGGGTCCATCTCTCTCTCTCTCTCTCGGATCCCTCTCTCTCGGGTTCCTCTCTCTCTCTCTCTCTCTCTCTCTCGGGTCCCTCTCTCTCTATCGGGTCCCCCTCTCTCTCTCGGGTCCCCCTCTCTCTCTCGGGTCCCTCTCTCTCGGGTCTCTCACACCAGTCTCTCTCTAGTCTCACATCCTGTATGTTTGACGTCAGCTCTCAGCCCAGAGTATGCGTTGGCATGTTGTGGACAGACGAAGGAGGTATCCCAGCATTAATGGTACACTTGTATCTCTTCTTTGACAGAACAATTCATAGATTGTCCATAAAAAGTTCCCTGCAGACTTTTTGTGCCCGTCAGGTTTGAAACTTACCGTCGTACAGTGGTCCCTTGTGGTTTCATAATATACACTACCGTTCAAAAGTTTGGGGTCACCCAAGTGTTTTCCATGAAAAGTCACACTTATTCACCACCATATGTTGTGAAATGAATAGAAAATAGAGTCAAGACACTGACGAGGTAAGAAATAATGATTTGTATTTGAAATAAGATTTGTTTTACATTCTTCTTTGCTTTTGTCAAAGAATCCTCCGTTTGCAGCAATTACAACATTGCACCAAAAACTAGATTAGTCATTTACCACATAAGCAATGTATAGAGCGTGTTTCTTTACAGTTAAGACTAGTTTAAAGTTATCTACAGCTTTTCCTTCAAAAATAAGGACATTTCAATGTGACCCCAAACTTTTGAACGGTAGTGTACATCGAAAACTCGCTGCTATAACATGACAGTTACTTTTGTTTTAAGTCAGAAGAAAATACAACTCTCTCTCTCCGATCTCTGCTTGTCTCCCCCCTCCCCCCTCTCTGGTCTCCTCCCCCCTCTCTGGTCTCCTCCCCCCTCTCTGGTCTCTCTCTGGTCTCTTTTAGAACACATCACCCCTGTCATGACCCAGGGACCATTGTGCACAGGTTTTATGATTGTGCCTAAATGTTTTAAACATAGCGTGAACAATTAAGAAAAATTAGTTCTCTCCTAATTAAGTAAAACTCATGTGAAATATTAATTTATGGAGTTACTAAAGCTAAGTTTTTGCTCCGAAAAGAGAAAAACGGATTAATTTTTTCAGCTTCGTTGGTTTGGTATAACATTCCCCAAAAGGAGATGTAGGCAAGTGGCAATAAAACTATATATTTATACACATTATTAAGATGTTACAGAAATCCACCATTGACAAAGCAATGTTACGTTGTCAGTTAAATAAACTCTAGATTTCTATACATTTCCTCAAAATCAATCCATTTCTATTTATTTTAGACTTGCCTTAAACACGTGGGGCATTGTTTAAGTTATTTTAAATTATTTCAGAAGTGCTTATTTTTTGTGTGCATTTGTTGCTTAGTTGGGTAGTTACTAACCTATTTAAACTTGTATTTATACTAAACCATTTCACCATTTATTGTCGCAAATTTCTAATAGATTGTTTTTTAAAGAATTAACCCAGATGATGTAAACAAATTGTATTAAATGTAAAAACATATAAATTAGCAATTAGCAAACCAGTAAAACTAATGTAATACCTAAAAACAGAAATTGATGAACCTTCGTATTGAACCAAATTAATAATTCAAATGTATTTGAGCATTGCCATAAACCACAACAGCAGTCGTCTCAAAGTTGTCGATTCACAAACAACGGATGAGAGAATCACAGTTCGAACTTATGAAATGCAATAATAATAATATTTTTAAATCAAAGTATTAAATCTAATACTTCTTCTAATAATTTAAAAACAAATTGAGGAACCTACCTGAACTAAATAATAAATTAACTTGTATAAACTTTTCTGTTAAACTAATTATGTAAAAACACAAATGGATAAAGCTGTAAAACTACCTGGATCATTATCTTAAAAAACAGACATTGATGAACCTACCTATTGAACTAAATAATAAATTAACACAAATGGATAAAGCTGTAAAACTACCTGGATCATTATCTTAAAAAACTAATTGATGAACCTACCTATTGAACTAACTTGATGCTTTTTATTTTTTATGAATTCCGACAAATTAAATATTTTTGCAATGTTTGAATGTACATTTTATTGTTGAAGAATGGACTTTGGGGATGTGGCCGCAGCTTGAGAACCTCGATCTGCCTGAACATGCGACGAAAGCATTATTACTATTATTATTATTATTATGTATTTAAGTTAATTTAAGACTAACATTATTTTTGGAAACATTTATGTATGAAATGTTGGATTTAATCATAATTTGTAATCCTGGAGTTTCTGGAAGTCGTTACAGCTGGACTTTCTCTGTAGTTCGATCAAAAGTAGTATTTTTTTTGCACTTCAAACAAACGTGTCTTTTGTAAAAAAAAAAGATGTCTGTGTGAAGCGGCTCGAGGCTCGAGTCGGAAATGTACCAGAGCTTATCCATATAAAGATTATTATGTCATGACCTGAACGTGTGCTTTTTCCCCTTCTGCATTTAGATTATTATATTGTTTTGTTATACTATGTTATGTTTTTTATATCATTTATATTATTGTCTTTTATATTAATATATCATTTATATTATTTATATTATTATGTTACTTATATTATTATATTATCTATATTATATACAGTACTTTAGGTTTGGTTCAGTCCAGTATTGTGATATTTAGACCAAAATTCAATATTATTTGTATTTTTAGGAGGATGTTCTACTTCCGGGCGAATCATCAAGACTATTGGTCCTCCCACCTGTCAATCATTCTGGTTCTCGTCAAATCAGACCAGAGAGTTTTGTTCAAAAAGTGGAGAGGATGTAATATCACACACCATAGAGTCACAACAATCAGACGTCATAAAGTCACAACAAGCAGACATCATAGAGTCACAACAATCAGACATCATAGAGTCACAACAAGCAGACATCGAGTCACAACAAGCAGACGTCATAGAGTCAGAACAAGCAGACATCGAGTCACAACAAGCAGACGTCATAGAGTCACAACAAGCAGACGTCATAGAGTCACAACAAGCAGACATCATAGAGTCACAACAATCAGACATCATAGTCACAACAAGCAGACATCATAGAGTCACAACAATCAGACATCATAGAGTCACAACAAGCAGACTTCATAGAGTCACAACAATCAGATGTCATAGAGTCACAACAAGCAGATGTCATAGAGTCACAACCAGCAGACATCATAGAGTCACAGAAACCTCAGATGGAAACACTAAAGCAAAACAGATCATATAAATATCACAACACTTTTCTCTACTGTGTCCATTCAATTGTTGCACAAAATATCGAATACTGAACATTTTCTTCCCACCACTAGAGGCAGGTTCTCAGTCTGTTCAGAAGAAAACAGAAATTGGAATAAAAATGAATAATTTGGTCAAAATACTCATCCATTATGTAAAAGATATTATATGAATGAACACGATTGGGATCTCAAGGGATTCATACGACGAAACACGGAAAATCTGTTAATCTGCGAAACTCATGGACAAATATATACAGGGTTAGTCGTAGGGAAGTGCTCTAGGACAAAGTTTGGCTCCGACTGACTTAGATAGAAACGTAAACTCCTCAGTAACCGCTGCATTTGCTTTTTCCTTTTAACACTTTAATGGGTTTTTATCATGTTCTGAAAGTCCATGAAGTCGGGGAAATATGCAGCCGGGCCTTAGCCATGTGTAAACTCTGGTCCATGATCATCTCCTACATGTACGTCTGGTCTTACCATGTGTAAACTCTGGTCCATGATCATTTCCTACATGTACGTCTGGTCTTACCATGTGTAAACTCTGGTCCATGATCATTTCCTACATGTACGTCTGGTCTTACCATGTGTAAACTCTGGTCCATGATCATTTCCTACATGTACGTCTGGTCTTACCATGTGTAAACTCTGGTCCATGATCATTTCCTACATGTACGTCTGGGTCTGATCCTAGTGGCTGCAGTTTCCTCGGTTGAATCCGACCAATCAGAGAGCGGGGGAGGCGGGTGTTGTAGGTCGGTGTCGGTGACGTCAAGAGTTTGTGCTGAATTTTCTGGTTGTAGTTTGTCGGAGAATGTGATAGTAAAATAATCTGTTCTGGTTCAATCCAAATATCAAGAAACTGAAGCCGGAGCAAGTGGACTTGGGCAAGACACTCAAAGACCTTATGACGGGTTTGATTTATTTAGAAATACAGTTTTAATACCATTTTATATTAGAAGAGAACTACTAAAGGTTTCAAAATCAGTTGTTGTTTTTTTTGTCTGATCCCCCCAAATCGAAATAACCCCATAGCAACGCCCTTAGAAACGAAAAAACTTCACAGCCCTTGGTGATGTCAGAACGGGTACGTTTCAACGCTGTAAGTTGTTTACAATTTGGTATTCGTTCTTTTTTCGCGGATATTCAAGATGACAAGGCCGTGTACAGCGAGTCTAAGATAACTACTAGAATGTAACATTTTGTTGTCACTGAGATAGTCCAGTGGTTGTGTCAATGGACTGCCAATCCAGATACTTGGGTTCAAATCCCACCTAGGACACTTTTTCACAATCAAAACGGCAATTTATGTGTAATGAGAAATTGTCACCTGTAGAGGGCAGTATTATGTTGGGCATCAGCGGAGAGAAGAGAGAAAAGGCAGTCCTGTGGCATAGATCCATGGTTCTCAATGCATGGGCGTCACCCGCTATGACGTCACACACAGGTTAGAGCATAGACAACTTAAATTCATGAAAAACACGTTCTTTTTATAAAATATAGGATTTTTTTTGCCAGAATCTCTTTCAAATTGACATTGTCATGCAATTTTGATATCCACTATTTTTTTTTTTTTAAACCCGTCATAAGGTCTTTAACTCACTTTGCCTGAAAGTGATCTTTCACAAGATCAAGGCTATGGCACAGAGCAGTCATCTTCCTGTGGACACACCACCTGCAGGAGGATCAGTGAGGGGCACAGAAATGGATTAAGGGGTAGAAAACGAGTGGATGGACGGTAAACTCAGATCCAATCGTTTCAATCTGTAAAAGGAGTTAACCCCTCCCACGACAGTGTGTGTGTTTACGGTCTGCCTTGCTGTAAACGAGAGCTTTCATCTCTAGAGACTTCTCCTTTAAACAAACACACACATATTTGAATAGAGCACAGACGGTACCTATCGCCGGGGCGTTGATGCACAGTTCTCGAGCCAAAGACAGAAAGGTTCTCCCCAAAACGTATACGTTCACCTGCAACAAGAGAAGAGCAACAACTGTGTTTACAGAACCCTTTATGTCCGGTCTGTCCACAAACACAAACACATGGTTCAGAATGAAAAAGTTATTATCATTATTATTTTTATAACTTATGTAATTTTTTATATTATTTTGTATTATTTTTGCATTGTATTGTATTTTTATAGTTTTTTATAATTTGTATTAATTTTTTTTATGATTATAATTATTTATTTCCATTTGTTTAATTTGTGTTATTATTATCATCATTGTATTTTTGTTGTTGTTATTATTTATATGTCCTAATGAATGGGCTGAAGCTGTGTATGAGAGTCTGAAAGCACAGAGCTGTAATTGGACCAAAGCAGTTTCAGTCACAGTCTGTGGAGTGACGAGTTTGAAATCAATTCTGCGCAGAAGGGGCGGGGGCAGAAGTTCCTGAGTAATTCATGTCGCTGAGGCTGGAGTTTACCTGCAAATAAATCCTACATGGTTCAAGAGAGAGACCAGAGAGAGACCAGAGAAAGAGCAGAGAGAGACCAGAGAGAGAGAGAGCAGAAAGACCAGAAAGAGAGAACAGAGAGAGAGCAGAGAGAAAGTAGAGAAGGACCAGAGAGATATCAGAGAGAGAGAGAGACCAGAGAAAAAGAGCAGAGAGAGAGTACAGAGAAGTTCCTGATTCAGAGAGAGACCATGAAATCTTTCCATGGTTCATATCAACCAATGGTTTCTGAGCTGGGGGAGCCAAACTTCCCCATGAGCACTTCCCTGTTGCATGGAGCTGTGAGATGAGCTGTGTATTTAATGAAGTGCATCAGGTTCAGATGAAAATATGTCCCGCCTCTCGTTACATAACTGTAATAACCATAATGAGTCTGATTCTACTCTGCTGCTCCGGTTTACATCAGAGACTAGAGTGAGACCGGAGAGAGAGCAGAGAGAGAGACCAGAGAGAGACCAGAGCGAGACCAGTGAGAGACCGGAGCGAGACCAGAGCGAGACCAGAGCGAGACCAGAGAGAGACCAGGGAGAGACCAGGGGGGGACTAGAGAGAGAGCAGAGAGCAGAGACCAGTGCGAGACCAGTGCGAGACCAGTGAGAGACCAGTGAGAGACCAGTGAGAGACCAGAGCGAGGCCAGAAAGAGAGTAGAGAGACACCAGAAACCAGAGAAAGAAAGAGAGAGCAGACAGAGACTAGAGCGAGGCCAGAGAGAGAGCAGAAAGAGAGAGGCCAGAGAGAGACCAGAGAGAAACCAGAGAGACCAGAGAGAGATAAACCAGAGAGAGATAAACCAGAGATAGATAAACCAGAGAGAGACCAGAGTGAGAGCAGAAAGAGAGACCAGAGTGAGAGCAGAAAGAGAGACCAGAGAGAGAGACCAGAGTGAGACACCAGAGAGAGAGACCAGAGAGAGACCATATGTATCTGGGATCACAGAGGTCCGTGTCGTTCTCAGGCTCATAATAAAACTCTTTTTCTTCTTTGGTTTGAGACAAACTGCATCTGGTCCCAGTGCATCTGCCGCACCAGGAGAGAGAGCCACATAATGAAGTGCTTGTGTGCGAAGTTGGGGGATGTTTGGCCCCGTGTTTTGGGGTCTCATGCCTTAAGTGTGCCCAGCCCCTCCCTCACAGATGTGCACACACAACAGACCCCCAGCGGCTGCACAACAAAACACCCTCAACAATACACACAAGCTGGAGCAGTCAGACACAGAGACACACGGTGACCTCTGCTTTCTCTGCCCCGGGACCCCAAAGACCCCCAAAGACCCCCAAAGACCCCCACAGGACCCCCCCAGGACCCCCAGAGGACCCCACAGGTGCCGCAGACTTTGGCAGACACACTTTTACGACACGCACAAACACCCAGCTGCTGCAGAGTCATGGGAAGAAGAAAAGAAGGCTCTGAATAAAGCTGCACGAGCCACACAGCCCCCTCCTCCTCAGACTGTGTCAGGCCAGAGAGACCAGAGCGAGACCAGAGAGAGAGACCGGAGAGAGACCAGAAAGAGAGAGACCATAGAGACCAGAGAGAGAGACCAGAGCGAGACCACAGAGAGAGACCAGAGAGAGACCAGAGCGAGACCACAGAGAGAGACCAGAGAGAGACCAGAGCGAGACCACAGAGAGAGAGACCAGAGAGAGACTAGAGAGACAGACCAGAGAGAGATCAGTGTGTCAGTGTGTCAAGAGAGAGACCAGAGAGAATGACCAAAGAAAGAGACCAGAGAGAGACCAGAGAGACCAGTGAGAACGAGACAAGAGAGAGCAAGAGACCAGGGAGAGAGACTAGAGGGAGAGCGAGACCAGAGAGACCACATTCGGGACCAGAGAAAAGTCCCAGTCTGCTCCAGACATTTCGTATAAATTACTGCTGGATTTGGTCTGGGTTTTTCCTGAAAAAGACTAGGCCGCAAGGCGGGTTGGATGCCCAGTGGTTCCGTGTGGTGGACAGCTGCTGCTCTTCCTGCTTTTCTCACCTCGTTATGGGGCTCATTACTGTTGGAAGTCTCTGGTCTGGGTCTCAGCCTGATCCGGACCCCGACCTGTGACCCGGACACATTCACTCAGCTCCTCTGGGGAAAGTTTAGGGTTTGAGTTTCAGTTTTGGATCCCCAGAGACGCCTGGAGACCACAACACCACAGATCGCCTTTCACCGTCACGGGTAAAGTTATGGAAATGGTTTTAGACGCTGAATATTTCTGGGTTTATCGGATACAAATGGTGAAATGAGAAAAATCTATCATAATGGAGTTCAAAGAGAGAGAGAAAGAGAGAGGAAGAGAGTCCAGAGAGAGTCCAGCTATGTGATTCTGGTCTCTCTGGTCTCTCTCCCTCTCTATGGTCTCTCTGGTCTCTGCCTCTCTCTGGTCTCTGCCTCTCTCTGGTCTCTGCCTCTCTCTGGTCTCTGCCTCTCTCTGGTCTCTGCCTCTCTCTGGTCTCTGCCTCTCTCTGGTCTCTGCCTCTCTCTGGTCTCTGCCTCTCTCTGGTCTCTGCCTCTCTCTGGTCTCTGCCTCTCTCTGGTCTCCCTCTCTCTGGTCTTTCTCTCATGGGGGTTGATAGCAGACTAGCGTTCTCTTGTTGTGGTTTGAAAGTTACGTCCCTCAGCTTTAAAACTAAACTTGACCCTGTATTTTCCACACACAGATCAGGACCTTCCTTTAAACTTTAAACCCCTCAGTGTCTGCGCGGGAGTGTCTGAGCTTCAACAACTGGACTCTAAAAATACTGCAGCAGCTGCGAGGGCCACACCCAGAGCAGGGGGGAGGAGTGGGAGGAGGGGGAGATTTATGAAGGCTTCAGCCATTGTGTCAGTCTGTAGCAATGGAGGTCACCTGTGCGAGCTCCACTCACTAGAGAGAGACCAGAGAGAGTCCAGAGAGACCAGAGAGAGAGAAAGACCAGAGAGAGACCAGAGCGAGAGATAAGCGAGAGAGACCAGAGAGAGAGACCAGAGAGAGAGAGAGAGTCCAGAGCGAGAGATAAGTGAGAGAGACCAGAGAGAGAGACCAGAGAGAGAGAAAGAAGAGAGTCCAGAGAGAGAGACCAGAGAGAGAGACCAGAGAAAGAAAGACGAGAGACTAGAGAGACCAGAGCGAGAGACCAGAGCGAGAAACCAGAGCGAGAGACCAGAGAGAGAGACTAGAGAAAAAAAGACTAGAGAAAGACCAGAGAGGGACCAGCGAGAGACCAGCGAGAGAGCCCAGCGAGAGAGAGTCCATAGAGAGAGACAAGAGACAGACCAGAGAGAGACCAGAGAAAGAAAGACTAGAGAGAGACTAGAGAGAGACCAGCGAGAGAGAGAGTCCAGAGAGAGAGACAGAGACCAGAGAGAGAGACCAGAGAAAGAAAGACAAGAGAGACACCAGAGCGAGAGACCAAAGAGAGAGACCAAAGAGAGAGACTAGAGAAAAAAAGACTAGAGAGAGACCAGAGAAGATTGACCAGAGCGAGAATCATTTAATGGACTAAGATTCTCATTCAGATGGAGAAACACAGACACTTTCCAACATAATCTTCACATGAACAAAGGAAAGAGCAGCGCACACAACAGCCCAAACTCCGACTGTGAGCGCTTCATTCACCCAAACACAGCTCCACGGCTCGTTACACTGTCGCTGTCCCTGGTGTGACGTGTGTGTCTTCTGAGAACCTTCCCTGGTGTGACGTGTGTGTCGTCTGAGAACCTTCCCTGGTGTGACGTGTGTGTCGTCTAAGAACCTTCCCTGGTGTGACGTGTGTGTCGTCTGAGAACCTTCCCTGGTGTGACGTGTGTGTCGTCTGAGAACCTTCCCTGGTGTGACGTGTGTGTCGTCTGAGAACCTTCCCTGGTGTGACGTGTGTGTCGTCTGAGAACCTTCCCTGGTGTGACGTGTGTGTCGTCTGAGAACCTTCCCTGGTGTGACGTGTGTGTCGTCTAAGAACCTTCCCTGGTGTGACGTGTGTGTCGTCTAAGAACCTTCCCTGGTGTGACGTGTGTGTCGTCTAAGAACCTTCCCTGGTGTGACGTGTGTGTCGTCTAAGAACCTTCCCCTGAGCCTCAGAAAACAGTTTGGTTTGACTGTGTCTAAAGTACTGCTGTATTTGAAGTATTTAGAAGCCGTCGTTGTTGACATTCATGTGTTTGGGATGGGACAGGGCAGGGCACACACACACACACATTATATATATATATATATATATATATACAACACACACACATGCTCAGGATATCTGGCATAATGTGATAAGAGCCATAGAATGTGAGTGTTGTCAGTTTGACGACACAAAGACAAAGCTAGAGCCAGATTTCATGACCTTGTTTAAAAACATGAGTCCATAATAATATAAACAAATAACAATAAGATATAATATAATATCATGATGTTATATTATAAGTGTAGTTTTCTGACCTGCACCAGGTCACTGAGGTCCAGCAGCATGTCTGAGGAGCAGTGAAGGACCAACAACAGCTGTGTGAATATACCATGTACAGATGGATGCAGGCACTGACATACCATGAACAGTACAGAGCAAAAGTTTGGACACCCTCTCTACTTCACGGAGTTCTTTTCAGGACTATTGCTGTAGACCCACACCAGGCTGTGTAAGGGCTGTTTGACCAATAAGGAGAGAGACTGGACCTGAACCCGGTCCAGATGGTTTTGGACCTGAACCCAGTCCAGATGGTTTTGGGGCTGGACCACAGAGTGAAGGGGCCAACAAGTGCTAAGCATCATGGGAACTCCTTCAAGACTGTTGAAGACCATTTCAGGTCCTCTTGAAGCTCATCCAGAGAAAGCCAAGAGTGAAGCAGTATCAGAGCAAAAGGAGCTACTTTGAAGAACCAGAATATAACACATAATTTACCTTGGTTCATACTTTTTTAGTACGAACATAATTCACATGAGTTCATTCATAGGTTTTATTTTCATAATCATGAAAATAAAAAACTCCCAACTTTTGGTTTGCACTGTATGTGTGTGTATAGTATATATGTATGTGCCCTAATATAATATATATATATATATATATATATATATATATATAGCTTTAAAATGTATTAATCACATTTCAAACTATCGATAAAATGATGCCATATTTTTCTGTAAATGGTTGTTTGAATGGAAAGATACATGACATCATAGTGAACATATGAACTGTATTTGTTTATTAAAACAATAAATCCACATAAAATGGCATTAATATTATTAACTTTCTGTCTTTGTTTAGACTCAGACCAAAACTATTGTTTGTTACAGATGAGGGACGTTTAAAACAGTCTAAGGCAGAATGTCATTACATCTGTCTGAACTGGATCTGCTGTCCAGAGCGCCGTGATCACAGCCGCTGGAGGATCTGCTGTCCAGAGCGCCGTGATCACAGCCGCTGGAGGATCTGCTGTCCAGAGCGCCGTGATCACAGCCGCTGGAGGATCTGCTGTCCACAGCTCCGCAGCTCAGCTCAGAGTTCATACAGGAAACAACAGCATGTCTCCCACGGTCACGTGTGTATTCTTTTAAAACGTAGATTCCCAGAGACCTGCTCTGTCACCAACACACATTCTGAGTGCTATTATGGGATGCATGGGCATGGGTTAATGCGTTCATTTTTTTAACGCGATTAATGAATAAAATTAATTAACGTGCGTTAACGCGATAATTTTGACAGCCCTAATATATATATATATATATATATATGTGCGTGTGCGCGTGTGTGTACATGTATATAAGGATACGTGGGGTCCCCTCGGTCCTGCAGACCATGTAGAGACAGGCCGCTGCCACGTGCACACTCTTGCGTCCGCTTGTCAGCCTCTTGTTCAGAGCCATCCTGTAGAAATTGAAGGCCGTGTCCAGACAGTGCTGGTTCATCTGCAGCTGGTGCCCCATGGTCCTGATCAAGGCCTTCGCTGCAACAAACCATCAAGACATTTACCAAATTTTCCTCCTCCAAAACCATGTGTAAAGTGCCGAACTGTGGTTGTGTCCTTATGCAAGACACTTCACCAACATTAGAATGATGTTGGTGTGTGCGGATATTGGTGTGTCTCTCTGGTCTCTGGTCACAGGCGTGCGCGTCTCTGGTCACAGGCGTGCGCGTCTCTGGTCACAGGCGTGCGCGTCTCTGGTCACAGGCGTGCGCGTCTCTGGTCACAGGCGTGCGCGTCTCTGGTCCCTGGTCTCTCCGGTCCCTGGTCTCTCCGGTCCCTGGTCTCTCCGCTCCCTGGTCTCTCCGCTCCCTGGTCTCTCCGCTCCCTGGTCTCTCCGCTCCCTGGTCTCTCCGCTCCCTGGTCTCTCCGCTCCCTGGTCTCTCCGCTCCCTGGTCTCTCCGCTCCCTGGTCTCTCCGCTCCCTGGTCTCTCCGCTCCCTGGTCTCTCCGCTCCCTGGTCTCTGGTCTCTGCTCCCTGGTCTCTGTCGCCCTCTGCTGGGGACTGACCTTTCTGCAGTGTCTGAGCCCTGGACTCCTGGCCCATCGAGAGGTGAGAGTCTCCAAACGTGGGGTTTCTGGATCCGCCTGAAACACACACATTACACAAGTGACACCAGTGACACCAGTGACACCAGTGGACACCAGACCATCAAAGACTTAAAGGAGAGATACATTAGACATTCATTAGTGCCAAAATGTCTGTCACTGTTGAATCTGATGTGTCACAGGCCTTTTCATGTTGAGCTCCCGTATCAAAGCCCAGGACCGACTGCTGTGTCGACCCGGGACAATGGGAAAGGTTGGCGAGTTGTTTAGACTTGTGTCAGCTATCACTGGTCTCTCTCTCTCTGGTCTCCCTCTCCTCTCTGGTCTCCCTCTCCTCTCTGGTCTCCCTCTCCTCTCTGGTCTCCCTCTCCTCTCTGGTCTCCCTCTCCTCTCTGGTCGGTCTCTCCTCTCTGGTCGGTCTCTCCTCTCTGGTCGGTCTCTCCTCTCTGGTCGGTCTCTCTCTGGTCGGTCTCTCTCTGGTCGGTCTCTCTCTGGTCGGTCTCTCTCTGGTCGGTCTCTCTCTGGTCGGTCTCTCTCTGGTCGGTCTCTCTCTGGTCGGTCTCTCTCTGGTCGGTCTCTCTCTGGTCTCTCTCTTTTAAAACACATCACTTCTTGTAGTCACTTCTTAAAGGGAGATACCTTGTGATGAGACAAACTGCCCCACGGCGAGTGAACCTCCGCCTCCTCCTTCCACAAACTCCACCTCAGACACGATGAGACCGTCCTCCAGGACCGAGCCGCAGCCCATGCAGACCGACACGCCGCGGGCATGGTCCACGTCCACCTCCGAGGACCCACAAGACCTGCAGACCATGATCCAGACCTGAGGAGAGACCAGTCTTTACAAACCAAGAATACCATCATAGGAATACAGAGAGACGGACTCAGGTGTTGGTCCCAAAGCGGTCTGGACCCACTAGGGGTGTGACGATATAATGATATATCGCAATACTTTTTTTTTTTTTTTATGTGAAAAAAAAAAAAAATTGTATCAATTAGGGCTGTCAAAATTAACGCGTTAATTACATTTTTCATTAACGCGTAAAAAAAAAAAAAAAAAACGCATTAACGCATGTCCGAATGACCCGCCCATTTATCCATAATAACACTCAGAATGCTGCGTGTGAGATGCATCAGAGCAGGTAGGCCCTCTGGGAACTCATGTTTTAAAAGAATACGCCCGTGACCGCTGTTGTTTGCAGTGAACTGAAGTCCGCCTCCTCTGCAGCCGCTCTGTGAGCCGCTAAGAATATACACGAGTATAAACTAGGCTTTACCTACAACAGCACGGCTGTGAGCGGCTGTGAGCGGCTGTGAGCGGCTGTGAGCGGCTGTGAGCGAATGCCGCTGCGGTAACATGGTCATATAAGTCCAAACACACCACTGAACTATTGTCTGCATGTTTCTTTGCAACCTGTGCGTAACCTATCCACGCAAATACACCGCTAAAGTGTCCGTGTCTCCTCCTGAAACTAAACTAAACTAAACTAAACTCGCTGATTTAAAGCTGGGGTATGTAAATGCTTACATCTTTAAAAGAAATGATCTTTGTTGGGCAGTGTTTGTTATAGAGACAGAAAAGCCTCGTCAGGGTCAGGAGCATCATACATCTCTTCCCAGGAATGATTACATAGTTCTAATTCTAAATTTGCCAGTGCCTCAGGTGTTTTGTGTCTAATCAATCTATATTTATTTGCTTTAGATATGCTAGACGTTTTAAGGAGCTGGTAAAAAATACAAAAAACAGGAAGATGATCAGTAACGTCGTTTATTAGTAATCCAGCAGTAACTTTGTGCTCAAGTGTGTTTGTAAATATATTGTCAATGAGTGCGGCTGTATCCATGGTAATTCTTGTTGGTTTTGTTATTAATGGAAATAGATTATTACTGTACTGTCCGTACTACTAAATTGTCCGTTTCATGGTGTAATGATGGGACCCCTGAATCTGGCCTCTGCTATCTGCACCTGTGAACTGGTCTCTCCTGGGTCTACGGCCTCTCAGTCCTGGGTCTACGGCCTCTCAGTCCTGGGTCTACGGCCTCTCAGTCCTGGGTCTACGGCCTCTCAGTCCTGGGTCTACGGCCTCTCAGTCCTGGGTCTACGGCCTCTCAGTCCTGGGTCTACGGCCTCTCAGTCCTGGGTCTACGGCCTCTCAGTCCTGGGTCTACGGCCTCTCAGTCCTGGGTCTACGGCCTCTCAGTCCTGGGTCTACGGCCTCTCAGTCCTGGGTCTACGGCCTCTCAGTCCTGGGTCTACGGCCTCTCAGTCCTGGGTCTACGGCCTCTCAGTCCTGGGTCTACGGCCTCTCAGTCCTGGGTCTACGGCCTCTCAGTCCTGGGTCTCAGTCCTGGGTCTACAGCCTCGGTCCTGGGTCTACAGCCTCAGTCCTGGGTCTACAGCCTCAGTCCTGGGTCTACAGCCTCGGTCCTGGGTCTACAGCCTCGGTCCTGGGTCTACAGCCTCAGTCCTGGGTCTACAGCCTCAGTCCTGCGTCTACAGCCTCGGTCCTGGGTCTACAGCCTCGGTCCTGGGTCTACAGCCTCAGTCCTGCGTCTACAGCGATGCAGATGGGTCTAAGGACAGTGATGATCCAGGATCCTAACCCTCTGAGACGACAGCTGCTGTGATGTATGGCTACACAAAAATACACAATGGTTATGGCGCAAAAGTGAGATGGTATACATTTATCATTCAGCCAACTTCAGCTCAGTCTGAGGACCTACACTGGGGTTCTTAATTCTATACATTCAAATGTACCCAGAAATCCAGTCACTGTTAATTCATACTTTGATAGTTTATGTACTTTTCGTATTTGTTTATTTTTTCCGTTTTGTTTTTCAATCTATAGCACTTTGAGGTTTCGTGGAAATGTAAAATGCAGTATAAATAAAATGTATTATTATTATTCTGACTTTGAGGTGTGAAAAGGGCAGCGACGTGGCACTGCTCGCTCCGCTGTTCTCTGCCCTTTTGTCATCTTAAAAACACAATCTATTCAGCAGCAGCACAATCCCGACGCGGTGGTCTGTGTTCGCGTAGTTCATGCATTAAAACAGACAATAATTTAGGCCAAAAACAGGTCCAAAAGTTGTGGGAAAGTGCCTCACCTCTGCAACACCAGCCAAGATATGCACGCCTCTACGGACTCCACGCGTTTGGCCACTTCACCCTCCGACTAAAGCTGTTTTGTGTGGTTATTCCATCGTGACAGCTCACTCCCGGGTTAGCAGAACAGATGTATGATGTATATACAGCTGAAAATGTAGTAAAATGTTTAGAATTCTCACGAAATACAAGAAAAACACAAGCGACACGTGTGGAGCAATGAGCCGGCGTTTGGACTGCACCACTGCGGGTAACAGAGAGGGGTGGCTGTAGTGGACTGAACCAAGTGTTTAAGCACGAAAATAACGCAAACTCATGGTAAGAATTGATTAATTATAGTTTATACATCTTAAACACAGCACTCACGTTGCAGTGTGGTGGAATGTGTCTTAAATATGGATGTATTTAGTTCTGAACGCCCCTCTGGTGTGCCGTGTTGAAGCATACGGGGTCAAAAATGGTTTGATCCTGACGAAATCCTAAGCGTTGAAGTGAAATATGCTGAGTAAATCAATTAATGACTCAGCAGCGGATCATCTGAGCGAAATTTACACTTTACTGAGAGTTACGTATAATGATAAAACGTAAATCCTTACTTATCCATTCATGTATTTGAATTGTGTTCGTGCGGTGGGAGTCACTCTATAAATACAAATACATGTGTAAATACAATGCAACATAACACTGTACAAAAGTCTCTCCATTAACCAATTAATGTAAATATTATAAATACTTATGAATGCATCATTTCTGCTCGAATGAATAGAATCAATAAGTCAAAGATGTTCTAACGTGACGCGGTTACTGCCCATTTCCAACACAAATCATCTAAGTGTTTATGGGGCTCGTGGAGGAAACAGAATAGATCAAAAGTAATGAAAATACTTTATGAGTGTGTTTTAGTTTCACACTACAACAACAGAACTAAGTCATAAAAGAGTCAGATAAGGTAAGGTATAAGAGAACCTTTATTCTTCCCAAAGAGAGGAAATGTCATTGTTGCAGCGCACAAACAGGACGTAGTAATTTGCATCATAAAAAGAGTAAGAATTATATTACAATAAATCAAAGTATATATATATTTGTTACATCCACCCTCTGTGGGCGCTTATGAGCGGTCAAGGAGCTGGAATAGTATATATTCTCAGGTGTCATGATTGCAGTATTTCCTTTTTAGCTGACATGTACAGGCTCAGCAGTTCTCATTGTACAGTCTGAAAACAGCAGGAAGGAAAGATCTGCAGAACCTCTCGTCACACAGCGAGGGTGGACCAGTCTGTCGCTGAAGCTGCTCTCCAGAGCAGAGTGTCCTGCAGGGGGCGACAGTCATGGTCCACATAGATGTTCGTTTGTCCAAGACCCACCTGTCCCCCACCTGCTGCACAGAGCTGGTCTTCCTGATGTCCTGTTCCAGCTTCTTTCTGTCCACTTCTGTCCAAATAACAGGGTTTTTTTTTTTATTGAAGCGAAAATGAAACAGTACTGTCTCTTTCCAAAATATAACCAACTTAAACATCCAATAAATTACACAGAAGGATAACATAAGGACAAGCTACACGTGTTATGCGTTCATATTCGTTCATATTCGTTACGTCCAGCAGTAATGCGCATGCGCCTTGAAACATAAACAGGAAGTAAACACGGAGCACACTCGAGGTCAAACCAAACATGTCCAGCTGATTGAAACACACACTCCTCTGTATTCTACATTTATCTGGTGATGTATCTGCTGTAAACAACATCCATTATGTCCCTGCGCAGCCTGACTCTACTGCGGGCTTTAGGGGTCCGCTCCCCGGGTTCTGCAGCTGCGAAGGCCCGCTCCCTCTGCTCCAGCCCCGGGTCCAGCCCCGGGTCCAGCCCCGGGTCCAGCCCCGGGTCCAGCTCCAAAGACAAGAGCAAGAACAAGCCACAGGTTTGAACCAATTCTTTATGAATCCTCTACACTGTGGGTTCATTATGTTGTTTTTTTGAAATCTGTGTTAAATAACGTTACTACTGCTGCTGCTACTTACTACCACGACTACTACTAGTACTTCTACTTCTAGACTTCTTTTACTTTTACCACTTCTACTGACTAACAACACTACTAATAGACTGCCGACAGGAGACTGATGCTACAGCTGCTGATACTTTGTACCCTCACTTCCCCTCACGTCTCACCCCTCTCCTCACGTCTCACTCGTCTCTTCCTCATGTCTCCCCCTGTTCCCCTCACATCTCACCCGTCTCCTCCTCACGTCTCACCCGTCTCCTCCTCACGTCTCACTCGTCTCTTCCTCATGTCTCCCCCTGTTCCCCTCACGTCTCACCGATCTCTCCCACCCCTCTCTTCCCTCCCCTCTCCCTCACATCTCACCAATCTCCCCCATACCCCCCCCCATGTCTCACCCCTCTCCTCCCTTACCTCTCCCTCATGTCTCACCCCTCTCTCCCTTACCTCTCCCCTACTTCTCACCCTCTCCCCTGTCTCATTCTCCCCTCTCCTCCCTTACCTCTCCCCTTACTTCTCACCCCTCTCCTCCTCACGTCTCATGTCTCACCCCTCTCCTCCCTTACCTCTCCCCTTACTTCTCACCCTCTCCTCCTCACGTCTCATGTCTCACCCCCTCCTCCTTACCTCTCCCTCATGTCTCACCCTCTCCTCTTACCTCTCCCTCATGTCTCACCCTCCTCCCTTACCTCTCCCCTCATGTCTCACCCCTTCTCCCTTACCTCTCCCTCATGTCTCCCCCCTCCCTCCCTCTTCACGTCTCATGTCTCACCCCTCTCCTCCCTTACCTCTCCCCTCATGTCTCACCCCTCTCCTCCCTTACCTCTCCCCTCATGTCTCACCCCTCTCCTCCCTTACCTCTCCCCTCATGTCTCACCCCTCTTCTCCCTTACCTCTCCCCTCATGTCTCACCCCTCTTCTCCCTTACCTCTCCCCTTACTTCTCACCCCTCTCCTCCTCACGTCTCATGTCTCACCCCTCTCCTCCCTCACCTCTCCCCCTCACGTCTTGTCCTCCACAGACTTCCATCCAGAGACCGGACCCCAGCCCGAGTCACGACTGGATCGGGCCCCCGAACCCGGTGTCCAACCTGCGCCCCATAGTGTTCCGAGCCGTGCAGGACCAGAACGAGACCGAGCTGAGGCTGAGGGCCCTGAGACAGGAGACCGAGGACTGGAACCACCGCTTCTGGGCCCAGCAGAACCTCGCCTTCACCAAGGTACAGCAGTAAAGCTGGGATACCTGACTTTGATCTCTGCATGAGAAAGAGAAGAAAGAGTCTCGTAAAAAAGTAATGCCTCGGGGGCCGAGACCGAGACCGGGGCCGAGACCATGCACGTGAAAACTAGTGATGAGAGAAATCGTTTTAGAGCCAGGAACTTGAGTCATGGATCTTATCACAGAGTCCCATTGGTGTGAAAGTTGCGTACCCGAGCTTTAACTCCCTGATCCGTCTCCTTCCTCTGAGAGACACAGTCCTCTAGGGCCCTCCTGGGTCTTCCCTCAGGTCTTCCCTCACACCAGGGACCGGCCGGTTGTTCATGATTGTTTTGTGTTTAACAGGAGAAGGAGTTGTTCGTGGTCTCACAGCTGAAGTCTAAAGGCCTGTCCCGCCGCGACGCTGAGGGTCAGTGCTGGGCTGGGGTTGGTCTCTCTATAGTCTCTCTCTCTCTCGCTGGTCTCTCTCTCTAGCCTCTCTATATGTCTCTCTCTGGTCTTTGGTCTCTCTCAATGGTCTCTGGTCTCTCTCTCTGGTCCCTCTCTCTCTGATCTCTGTCTCAGGTCCCTTTCTCTGGTCTCTCTTTCTGGTCTATGTCTATCGCTCCGGTCTTTCATGGGTCTATTTCTGGTCCCTTTCTCTGGTTTCTCTCTCTCTCTCTCTATCTCTCTCTCTAGTCTTTTTCTCTCTGGTCCCTCTCTCTCTCTGGTCTCTGTCTCAGGTCCCTTTCTCTGGTCTCTCTTTCTGGTCTGTGTCTCTCTCCGGTCTTTCTCTGGTCTCTTTCTCGGGTCTATTTCTGGTCCCTTTCTCTGGTCTCTCTCTCCGGTCTCTCTCTCTCTGGTCTATGTATCTCTCTCTGGTCTCTCTCTCCCTGTCTTTTTTGCGGTTGGGGTCTGTACAGAAGGGTTCTCAACCTGAGGGTCGTGTGTAAGGGTCTCTGCTCTCTGCCTCAGGACGGCGGCGGTCTCTGGACAGTGAAGAGATGGCAGTTTTCTACAAAGGATTCTTGGACAAAAACAGAGTACGACACGCGGCCTACAACAAGTGAGTGAGATGTCTTAGAGACGTGGGGATTCAAAGAGTCTTAGAAAACATGCTTAATGTCAGGAAGAGCCCTGTGAGTCACTATTTGGTCTGGTCTCTCTCTCTCTGGTCTCTGGGCTCTCGCTGGTTTCTCCCTGGTTTCTCTCTCAGGGTCCCTCTCTAGTCTCTCTCTCTGGTCCCTCTCTGCTCCCTCTTTGTTCTCTCTCTGCTCTCTCTCTGGTCTCTGTCTCTGGTCTCTCTCCCTGGTCTCTCTCTCTGCTCTCTCTCTTACACGTTCCTGTCTTTCCTGCTTTGAAAAGCGGACAAGGGCCCAAACAACACGCTAACCTTTCCCACTACTGTTCTCCCAGATTGACAGACCACTTCACACGGGTCAAAATACAAGGCTTTAGAATAAGACTTTGTTGATGTGTTCTGGGGTTTTTGCAGAGAGTGGGTCTGACGTGGGTCCAAACAACACGCTAACCTTCCCCATGTGTCGTTGTGATCTTTTTGCAGAGAGTGGTACAGACTGAACTTCACCATCACGCTGCTCATGGCTCGTGTGACTCTGACAAACATGTGGAAGAGTCTGTCTGCGAACAGAAGCAGCTCTCCCTCCTCCTGAGACGCTTCCGCTCAATCCAATTCATTTACCTATCGGAGGACTTCACAAAGTTGTGGATTCGCCAGCAACAGATCAGAGAATCAAATAGTTAGAACACAAGAAATGCAATAATAACAAACACATAGAAGACTTTGGTTCATAGAGAGCGGGATGACTGAGGCTGTAGACCTGGGACAGAGGCTGTAGACCCGGGACAGAGGCTGTAGACCCGGGACAGAGGCTGTAGACCCGGGACAGAGGCTGTAGACCTGGGACAGAGGCTGTAGACCCGGGACAGAGGCTGTAGACCCGGGACAGAGGCTGTAGACCCGGGACAGAGGCTGTAGACCCGGGACAGAGGCTGTAGACCCGGGACAGAGGCTGTAGACCCGGGACAGAGGCTGTAGACCCGGGACAGAGGCTGTAGACCCGGGACAGAGGCTGTAGACCCGGGACAGAGGCTGTAGACCCGGGACAGAGGCTGTAGACCCGGGACAGAGGCTGTAGACCCGGGACAGAGGCTGTAGACCCGGGACAGAGGCTGTAGACCCGGGACAGAGGCTGTAGACCCGGGACAGAGGCTGTAGACCCGGGACAGAGGCTGTAGACCCGGGACAGAGGCTGTAGACCCGGGACAGAGGCTGTAGACCCGGGACAGAGGCTGTAGACCCGGGAATGAGGCTGTAGACCCGGGAAGAGCTGTAGACCCGGGACAGAGGCTGTAGACCCGGGACAGAGGCTGTAGACCCGGGACAGAGGCTGTAGACCCGGGACAGAGGCTGTAGACCCGGGACAGAGGCTGTAGACCCGGGACAGAGGCTGTAGACCCGGGACAGAGGCTGTAGACCCGGGACGAGGCGAGGGACAGAGGCTGTAGACCCGGGACAGAGGCTGTAGACCCGGGACAGAGGCTGTAGACCCGGGACAGAGGCTGTAGACCCGGGACAGAGGCTGTAGACCCGGGACAGAGGCTGTAGACCCGGGACAGAGGCTGTAGACCCGGGACAGAGGCTGTAGACCCGGGACAGAGGCTGTAGACCCGGGACAGAGGCTGTAGACCCGGGACAGAGGCTGAGGCTGCTCTCCTAGCTCCTGACACATGTCTCATTTATTGTGGACACATTAGCTGCAGTCTTCTGTCTTACCACCAGAGGGCACAAGAGCTGCAGAGATTCTCAACTGTATACTCAAAGGCCGATTACTCTATTATGTTTTATCACAATATTTCTGAATTATTTCTCATGACAAACATAATTAAAAGGCTAATATATACCTCAGAAGTAATTGGCTTAGAATATACAGATTTGTTTGCATTCATTTGAGCACCCGTCTGAGGAACACAGGGACTGGCCTCATGCTGATTCCCAGAGTCAGGACTAAACATGGGGAGTATGCATTCTAGATTAATGCAGCTAAAACCTGTCTTCCCCAAAATGTGAGACAGGCTTCTCTGAAGTGTTTCTAACCAAGACTTGAACATTGATAGTCATAAATGTTTGTTGTGTGATTCTTTAAGCTTTTACCTGTCTGATTTTAAATGTTTCCTCTGTTGTTTTATGATGCACCTTGAGTTTCCCTGTGTTTGGATTGTGCTACACAAATAAACTTGCCTTGACTCAGATGAGCAGTAATAGTGGTGTTATTACCTCTGTACATCACATGTTAATATAAGTTATGAAGAGTATGGGTCAGAACTGTCTGCAAAAATAAATGCTGAAATCTCAATGGGACTGTCCTCATTAAAGCTGGGGCACCTGACTTCTATTTTTCAAAATACATTTAGAAAGAGTCGTGTAAAAGTAAAACACCGCCTTTATCTAAAAAATGTTACCTGTTCCATATTTACCCCCCCCCCCCCCCTCCCTCCCTCACTATTTGACTCTGTGGGCTGAGAGCGGATGGCTGTATTTCTTTGTCACTTATCTGACCGAAAAAGCAGATTTAAAGAAGTGACAAAGGCCAGAAATACATATGTGAAAACTGGTTATAGAACTGTTTTAGAGTCAGAGCCATAGGTTTTTATTACTTATATTGTTGTGGTTGGAAAGTTAGGTACCCCAGCTTTAAATATTAAAAAACTATGTCATTATTTTTTATCAATATGAATAAACTGTAAGTAGTCTCTCCACATAGTGTTATTAGTTGTGCATTTGGAAATCAATACCAACAGATCCTCCAGGGACCTCACACCCAGGGACAAGCCGTCATCAGCGTCTCTCACCCCGGGCAGAGAGAGGGCAGTCCTCCCGGTGAAACACCATCCCCCCCCCCGCGGGCTCAGTCTGTCACCTGCCTCTTCCACACGCTCGCTCCCTGTCACCGAAATCACCCACAGTCCGAGCTCCGCGCTGCACCCGCTTTCACCGAGGCTTCCGTCCGCCCGCGTCCGACATGGAGTTCCAGGAGCGCGGCTTGCCTCTCGCTGGCTCCCCGGGAAACCTGTGTTGCTATGGCGCTAGCTTGATGCGCTGAACTGAACAAGACGTCGCTCCTGCTCACGAAATCCCCACAAAACCCGTTCGACAGTGGATATACGAGACGTTTTACACAAATACACACGTTTATCTTTATTTCATATTTGTTTAATTGCACATTTGTAAATCAAAACGTCTTTAAATCGGCTTGGGAGGCGGCGGATGTCATAAGAGCGAACGGTAAGTAGCTAGCGTGTCATTAACCAGGCTAACAGGCTAATTTTTGAACTAGCTAGCCAGCCGTTAAACACGAATATATACCAACTGACAGTTTCTCATCATGTGGCTCAATTTCACCCAAAACAAAACCATAATACGTGCTTATTAGTGATGTTAAACTAATAATGTATATGTAAGTGTCGTGTCCATGTTAGCCCTGGGGAATTACATGTATTAGTCAAACAAGTCCAGGCACTAAGACAGAGGAAGGTCGAATTCCTGCTTTTTTCATCATGATTTTATATTTAGACATTTATTTGACGTGTCTTCCACGTGTGCTGCTTATTCACTGCATTTGAATCTATTATTACTCATGTATTTACCACATTGAAGCAGAAACATACACCTTTAGCCTCTTATAATCAATATGTAACTGGATTTAAGTCCAATACATAATCCTTCACCCTTTGCTACAGTGTTAATGACCATACTCTACTATATGATGATTATTACTGCTGTGTGTTTTTCCTGTAATGCTGCATTGATTGGTCTATTACCTGTTCATGCCAACCTACGATCCAAAATTGCTAACATTTATTTAGCAAGACAATACATAATTATAATACATCATACTTATATAGTGCTTTTTTGATACTCATACCACAAGCATAAAACTGGCTACATGATAAACACATAGTTGACAGTTGACAGTAATTACAATTAACACTAGAACTCTCAGAGCAGTCAATTTGACGGCTTTTAGTGTGATTGTAGGTTTTTGGTTGTCATAACTTGGTGACTTTTTTGCTTCTCTGTGTAGTTTTTTCTGTCATTATTTTTGTGATTTTTATTTATTTATTTATTTTTGTAAATGTGAGGAGTTCTACCTTTAGCTCCTCGTTTTGAATTTGCTGTTCTCTGATCTGTTGCTGAGGCATCTACAACTTTGTATAGTCCTCTGAGGCGATTTCTGAGCTCTACACAATTTTCTGTGGGAGTTCAAGCCCCCTTTTTCCCCAAGAGGCTGGTTCTGGTCCTGTCCTGGACTGGTTCTGGTCCTGGTCCTGTCCTGGACTGGCTCTGGTTCTGAGCAGAGTTACCCTAGCAACACTGTTTACATGCCAGCAGCTAGCATGTGATAAGTTTGACTGTATTAACGGCTTATTAACCGAGCGCGAGGTCTGTATGGAGAAATATCAGACCGCAGCCTTAATGTACAGACCGAGCCGTGGCGAGGTCTGTGCAAAAAGGCCAAGGTAACGGTCATGGTAACGGTCCGAGATGGGAAAATATCAGACCGGCAATCAGCCAATCAGAGCGCGCGTACGGTCCAAGTCATATAATAATACAAGTTATTCCCCTAGTTTTAGCACTTAGACATTTGTATTTGTATTTATTTTGATCTCCGTTAGCTGTTCAACACAGATATTCTTCCTGGAATTGAGTAAAAGTGAATACTGTAAATGAGTTACTTTCCATCAGTTTTATGAAAGCAACTTTTTTGGGGAATTTCCAGAAGTCGATTTGATTTGATTGAGTTGATTTGAATCAATGGAGTCTTGTTGTTCAGTGGTTTCAGGATTCTCATAGCCTGGTCTTACCATACCATCACACTCAATTCTGTAGGGAAAGGATAATTGACCAGAGTTTACCGATGTCTAAGGCCAGGCTTGGATTCTGGGAGTCCTTGTGTTAAAGCTGAGGTACCTACCTTCTGTGTTTCATAAATAATACGTGTAGTTTCTCCAACAAAACAAGAACGCTGTGAACAAATCAGACCACTACATTCTGTCTTCACCTTATGAGAAACATGTCATCTTCTACAGTATCTGCTGGAAATGGAGCTCTGTGAGTCACTCTTTGACTCGTTGGGCTGAGAGCTGATTGGCTGAGTGAGGGTGGCGTCTGTTTGTCACGTTTCTGTCTGAAAAATCTGATCTGAAAATATGACATAGACCAGAAATACCTCAGAACTACTGATAGAAGCAACTGTTTTTATTACGGAGTTCTATTGTTATGGTTTTCGAAGTTACGTACCCCAGCTTTAAATGTGTAGTTTTAAGCTTTGGACCAGGAGATATCATTGCACAATCACTCAGTTAATCAACCAGTGTAATTATAACCCGAACGACTTGAAAACAGGTATATATGGTGCTAATTACACTTATTTACAAAACTGCAATCAGACACAGTTTAGGTACAGTTACTAGTACAATATTGTTGTTGTATGGTCCATGTTTGACTATTTGAACATACACAATACAAAATACACAATAGTAATGCAGTTATCATCCATTTGACAAATAAGTTTGAACTAAAGACCATTTATCTGACAGTTTTCATCTGCTGTCGGGCCGTTATTTGTTCCAGATCTGATAGACATCCCTTAACCTGCTTTTCCACTCGGTGACGGTGACGGTGGGGGCTGCGGTCTGAGCCAGGAGACTGTTATCCTTTTCTTTGCTATCAGAAGCAGAATCTTCAGTTCTTAAATATTCCCAATAATGCCGAGGTTGGCTCCAGAGTGATTTTGATGTCTAAACATTTTTCAATATCACATTTTATGGCTTTTCAAAAGTTGGACAACTTTGGGAAGTCCCTCCAACACTTGAAGGGGGTTCTGAAAAATCTGACTTTAGTTTTCCACTCAAACTCCCTTAATGCGGGATTTATTTGATATCCTTCCTGAAGCGACAGTAGTTGCTTTATCAATGGGACAGTCCGTGGTTTGGTCCTAAATCCTGGCTGGCTGTCCTGGTTAGACCTGGGTCAGTGGGTCAGCCGATGCTAAACATCTTTTTTCTGTTTATTTTGAGTAACTGGAGCGTAGTGAGGGCCTGCACTGTGACATGGCTCTTTGTAAACACTGGGCTTTCCCTATAGGCGCTGAGTCATGTGCTGTGGAGCGAGGCCTTTCGTTCTGCTTTGCATTTAGCTTCTGAACGCATTTAGTTTTTCTCTTTGGCGGAAGAGGACCGCTCTAGGTCCTGATTCTTCTGTGTTAAGAGATCTTTTATTGGTCCCACTGTGGGGAAATGTCAGTGTTGCATCACCAGTTACAGAACAGTAGGAATGAGGAGCACACAGCACACGATATATGACAACAACTCTAGAGTGTGTTCACAGTAAAGTGACAATTGAAGTATCTGGACTTTAAAAGGTTAAAACTTAAAAACTAAAATTACTTTCATAGATTGGAAAAAAAGATTTTAAACACAGACAGATTGAAGAGATAGTGTGGAAAAAATCAAAAGGAAAGATTGACATAAAAATGTTTAGCAACATTTTAAACGACCAAATCAGCCTCTGATTGGACCATTCTACTGTGACGCCAGTTACATAGGAAATAAAATGTCCTCAGTCTGAAAAAGCAGAAGATGAAATCCCACAAGATTTACATGGTTAACACAACAGAAGGGAATCACTTGATATAAAAAGGAATAGTAAAAAAATAATTAATTAATTAAATGACCCCTGAAAAATGTATAACGGACGTGATGAGGACCGTCCTCTTTTCTCTAAAAATTAAACTTGAGAGAAAAAAAAAATCTGGTCTGTTTTCACATTTAATTGCTTGACAATATAAGTATCACTTTGCATCTACTTTGTGCAAAAAAATAGAATCTCTGAATCAATTGTGGACATCTGAAAATACCATCAAACTTCCACAAAGCTCATTCCGTCAAATCATCACGTCCGTTAGGTAAAATAAACAGGGCCGCTATAGGAAACTTGTCTAATGTATAAAACAGTTATGTTCTAACAACTTCTAATGGACAGAGGAGGTGCTTGGAAACATGAAAAACATAAAATATCTTCTGATTATTAAAATCTAATTTTTAGCCTTTTGTCACACTTTTGTGCCCTTTAGTGTGAACAAGCCCTCTAGAACTAAAATATACTAACTATACTAAAATAAATTAAAACCTCCAACTTTAGTATAATAAAGAAGTTAGTATACATAAAATCTCTAGCTTTAGCAAAACAAAGAAGCTAGTATAAAATCTTTAACTTAAAGTAGCAATATGTATTATTTTCGTGTCAAGTCATCAGTAAACGGCCCTAATATAAAGGTAAATAAAGCACCATGTGAGGCAGAACTAAAAAATTCTTATGATTATGATTCTCAAATCATTAACGACAAAACAAGGAATAAAACCAGGATTTCTATCTTTGTGAAAAAGGTGTTGGTTATAGATTTGTTGTTGACAAATCAAGTGGATTCGTCTGCATATCTGGCAACCTGAGTCAGGGAGAGGGGGAGAGGCCGCAGTACCAGATTTTTACATATTACTCCTTTAAGTATGATAAAGAAGCTCATTTGAAATCCTGTTTATTCCAGTCCAGAAATATGTACTTTTATGTTTACATCTGTGCATGTTGTGGTTCTATATTGCACATTTGGACAGGTTATTGCACATTTGGACAGATTATTGCACATTTGGACAGATTATTGCACATTTGGACAGATTATTGCACATTTGGACAGATTATTGCACATTTGGACAGATTATTGCACATTTGGACAGGTTATTTCACATTTGGACAGATTATTGCTCATTTGGACAGATTATTGCACATTTGGACAGGTTATTGCACATTTGGACAGATTATTGCACATTTGGACAGGTTATTGCACATTTGGACAGATTATTGCACATTTGGACAGGTTATTGCACATTTGGACAGATTATTGCACATTTGGACAGGTTATTGCACATTTGGACAGATTATTGCACATTTGGACAAATTATTGCACATTTGGACAGGTTATTTCACATTTGGACAGATTATTGCACATTTGGACAGGTTATTTCACATTTGGACAGGTTATTGCACAGAGGCACACCATGTGAGGTCAGGTGGGCAGTGTTTGTTAGTCCTCATTCTTCATGTTGTGTTTGATGGTAGTAGCAGTTGGCATTCCCTGATTGTCCCTGAGGATTCGGCTGCATTCTACAGCTCCTTGTCCAAAACCTGTTTTCAAAAGTCAGAGAATGCAGTGTTTGTGGAGGCAGTGGTTCTCAAACTGGGGTCAGCGCCACACGTACAGTTACTCTCAGACTTTACCAACCCTCTTCCTCATCACCCACAGACCTGCAGCTGCGTTTATCTCCATCCATTCTTCCCCCCCGTCCCTTCTGTCCAAATGCTCTGTTTTCAAACTAATCCTCAGACTGTGACCTCATGCTCAGAGCTGATTTCTGCTTTTCTGCACCGGAGCACAAAAACCACCAACTCTTCTCGCTTCTCCAAAGTTTCTAGTTATTATCCATCCATACATTTTCTTCCGCTTCATCCGTTGCCGGGTCGCGGGGGCAGCAGTAAGCAGAGACGCCCGGACTTTTCCTCTCCACACCCACTTCCTCCAGCTCATCCGGGGGACCCCAAGGCGTTCCCAGCTGAGGGGACTGGAACACCTCCGCTTGTAAATATGTCAAGTGTAAATAATACACTAGTTACTCAGGTCCAAAGTTGACTTTAAGTTTATTGGTCACTGCTGGTTTGTGTTTACAAAGATTTACCAGTTGAGAAATGTTGTTTTTTCATTATTTATTTAAGTTTAAACTTAAACTGTGACATATGAGCTCTAATCTCTCAGTGGTCTCTGGTCGCTCTCTCTGGACTCTCTCTTCTCTCCTTCTAGTCTCTGGTCTATCTTCTATCTCTGGTCTTTCTGTGGCCTCTCTCTCTGGTCCCTCTCTCTCTGGTCCCTCTCTCTATGGTCTCTCTCTCTATGGTCTCTCTCTCTATGGTCTCTCTCTCTATGGTCTCTCTTCTCTCTCTCTCTGGTTCTCTTCTCTCTCTCTCTGGTCTCTCTCTGGTCTCTCTCTGGTCTCTCTCTGGTCTCTCTCTGGTCTCTCTTCTCTCTTTCTCTGGTGTCTCTCTGATCAGAAAACCAGGCCCAGGTCTTGTCTCTAAACTCGGGGAGACTGGTGCCTTTGCTCTTGCTGTTCCCAAGCCGTGGAATAGTGACTTTTCTTTGTACCATGAGTGATTATGCCAGTGGTTCTTATTATTGACTGATAAAACTAAACAATATAAATAACAACAAATAAAACATTTTAAATTTCAGTTGTATTTTATGAATTCCCAGCGATAACTCGATGTACTCAGTATCGGTATTCGGTATCGGCAAGAACTCGTAACTGGTATTAAAAAAGTGGTATCGGTGCATCTCGAGTTAAACTGTATTTTTCAAACAGTGAAGAGGTGAAAGTCTGAGCTGGTTGTGTGTGTTCAGTGTTCGTTTTGAAGGCGGTGACTTTGTTGACTTTACTCTTTCACAAACATAAGGACTTTAAGCTCTGCCTGAAGTGAAGTAAACAGAGTAAACCAGTGTGAAAGCAGAGAGTAAACAAGGTCTCTGCGGCCTCTCTCTCTGGTCTCTCTCTCTGGTCTATTTTCTCTATCTCATGTCTCTCTGCTGGGGGTTCAGGGAGGGGTCCTCTGTGAGGGACAGGGAGCTGTTTTTTCTGCTTTTTTATCTTTGTAAACTTATGAATTGAATTGTGTGTAATATATTGCATTGTTTATTTATTGCCAGTATTTGCACATTTATGTCCGGATTTTTAAAACTGTCTTTTTCTATATATTACAATGTGTAATATGTAATGTAATTTAACCTGTTTAAGGAACTAAAAAAGGTCTGTTAAAAATAAAAAATCTCTGCTCTCTCTGATGTCTCTCTCTCTGGTCTAGATCTTTTCACTCTCTGGTCTATCTTCTCTCTTTCTCTCTCTCTGGTCTCTCTCTGCTCTCTTTGGTCTATCTTCTCTCTTGCTGGTCTCTCTCTCTCTGATGTCTCATTCTCTGGTCTCTTTCTGCTCTCTCTTTAGTCTCTCTGGTCTCTCTCTGGTCAGAAAACCAGAACCATATCTCGTCTCTAAACTCGAGGAGACTGGTGCCTTCACTCTCCCTGCTCCCAAACCGTGGATTACTGACCTCTGTACATATGTTAATGCTAGTTCTAGCTAAACCAAATTCTTTTACCAACAAACTAGTCTTTTTCCTCGCCTTCTATTACCAACTGAGTTTCACTGTTTTAAAATGTAGGGTTTTTAGTGCTCTTTTTCTCTTCTGTTTGTGTTTTGCGCTTGTGGAGCACTTGCAGCAGCTGGTGTTGCTGTAAATGCGATGTACATGTGGCGTTCTGTGTGAGAGGAGCAGAACTGCAGGAGTTACGACTGGTTCCACTGGTTTGTGTGAGACAAAGGCTGGAGTCACATGTGTTTGGTCTGTGGAGAGAGTAGGGAGAGCGCTGCTGTGATGTCATGGGTAAAGAATATATTTTGGGATTATCATGGGCACATTTATCATGGATTATAATCTCCACGATCAGGGATTAAGTCAAACGTTGAATTTCAAACTCTCTATCTGGTCTGTCTCTGGTCTCCCTTTCTTATCTCTCACTGGTCTCTCACTGGTCTCACTCTGGTCTTTCTCTGGTCTCTCTCTGGCCTCTTCTGGTCTCTCTCTGGTCTTTCTCTAGTCTCTCACTCTGGTCTCTATCTGGTCTCTCTCTGGTCTCTCTCTGGTCTCTCTCTAGTCTCTCTCTGGTCTTTCTCTAGTCTCTCTCTGGCCTCTCTGATCTCTCTCTGGTCTCTCTCTGGTCTCTCTCTGGTCTCTCTCTAGTCTCTCTCTGGTCTTTCTCTAGTCTCTCTCTGGCCTCTCTGATCTCTCTCTGGTCTCTCTCTAGTCTCTCTCTGGCCTTTTCTAGTCTCTCTCTGGTCTCTCTCTGATGTCTCTCTGGTCTCTCTCTCTGATGTCTCTCTGGTCTCTCTCTCTCTCTCTCTCTGTCTCTCTGGTAGGGGTGGGAACCTAATGGTACCTCACGATACGATACACGATACAAAGCTCACGATAACGATTTTATCACGATATGACGATTATTGATACATTGGTCAGAAATATACAATATGCCAATTTATGGCATAAATAAAAGAAAAAATACACTTTCTTTAATGATAAATGGAATGGAGATGCGTAATGTAGCCATATATTAAGTATTGATACCAATTGAAAAAAAATAGAATAAAAAATTCATTTTTTTTCAAAATCGATATTGATACTTGGCAAATGCATATTGATAATCGAATCGCGGGAGAAAGTATCGATATATCGTCACACCCCTACTCTCTGGTCTCTCTCTGATGCATATGAGAGATCAGAGTAAGATAATCGTGTGTGTTACTTAGTTTGAGTCATTGTAAAGTTATACAGATGATAATAATCCTTGTGTGTCTAAAGCTGGGTTCTGGTTCACATGTGCAGCTTCTTGCCCAAAGGCGTGCGTAACTCCACAATAATGCTTTGTGTCTGGATGTGAGACGAGAGTTAGTGGAACAGAGGCTCTAGTGTGAGCACTCCAGCTGTGAGGAGGCAGCGCAAACACACTTTATTACACACATCAAGTTTAGAAATTACTACAAAGACATTAGACATCCAAAAATCAATCATGAGAAGCTTTCCTTCGATCTTTTTGTAACCATAGAGGATTTCCTCCTAGTGTTATCCTGGTCCTCTCCTGTCTTTCTCCTAGTGTTATGCCGGTCCTCTCCTGTCTTTCTCCTAGTGTTATCCTGGTCCTCTCCTGTCTTTCTCTTAGTGTTATGCCGGTCCTCTCCTGTCTTTCTCCTAGTGTTATGCCGGTCCTCTCCTGTCTTTCTCTTAGTGTTATGCCGGTCCTCTCCTGTCTTTCTCCTAGTGTTATGCCGGTCCTCTCCTGTCTTTCTCTTAGTGTTATGCCGGTCCTCTCCTGTCTTTCTCCTAGTGTTATGCCGGTCCTCTCCTGTCTTTCTCTTAGTGTTATGCCGGTCCTCTCCTGTCTTTCTCCTAGTGTTATGCCGGTCCTCTCCTGTCTTTCTCTTAGTGTTGTCCTGGTCCTCTCCTCTCTTTCTCTTAGTGTTATGCCGGTCCTCTCCTGTCTTTCTCTTAGTGTTATGCTGGTCCTCTCCTGTCTTTCTCTTAGTGTTATGCTGGTCCTCTCCTGTATTTCTCCTAGTTTCAGTGCTAACCCTAATCCTATAAAAATCTCTGAAAAGGTGTCCTTTAAAGGTTTGAATGATTGTTTTTCTGTCGGCCCCTGCAGGATGCGTGAGGACATGTCCGCGGTGTTGAAGCCGGAGGAGGGGGACTCCGGCGAGCGTATGTCCCAGGATGAGATCGTGTCCCGGACTCGGCAGGTCGTGGCCGGCCTGGAGGCGCTGAAGCAGGAACACAGCTCCATCCTGGACGGACTCACGGGGACACTGCACTGCTTCAAACAGGGGGGCCCAGGGGGAGGCAGCGGGCTCGAGCAGGGGGAGGTGCTGGAGGAGAAGAGCCTGATGATCCGGAAGAGCCTGGACATGCTGGAGCTGGGACTGAGCGAGGCCCAGGTGAGAGAGGGGGGGTGGACTGAGGAGGCCCAGGTGAGAGAGAGGGGGGGGGGGGACTGAGGAGGCCCAGGTGAGAGAGGGGGGGGGGGGGGACTGAGGAGGCCCAGGTGAGAGAGGGAGGGGGGGGAATGAGGAGGCCCAGGTGAGAGAGGGAGGGGGGGGACTGAGGAGGCCCAGGTGAGAGAGGGAGGGGGGGACTGAGGAGGCCCAGGTGAGAGAGGGAGGGGGGGACTGAGGAGGCCCAGATGAGAGAGGGAGGGGGGGACTGAGGAGGCCCAGTTGAGAGAGGGAGGGGGGGACTGAGGAGGCCCAGTTGAGAGAGGGAGGGGGGACTGAGCGAGGCCCAGGTGAGGGAGGGAGGGGGGGACTGAGGAGGCCCAGGTGAGAGAGGCAGGGGGGACTGAGTGAGGCCCAGGTGAGAGAGGGAGGGGGGGACTGAGGAGGCCCAGTTGAGAGAGGGAGGGGGGACTGAGCGAGGCCCAGGTGAGAGAGGGAGGGGGGGGACTGAGGAGGCCCAGGTGAGAGAGGGAAGGGGGACTGAGTGAGGCCCAGATGAGAGAGGGAGGGGGGGACTGAGGAGGCCCAGGTGAGAGAGGGAAGGGGGACTGAGTGAGGCCCAGATGAGAGAGGGAGGGGGGGACTGAGCGAGGCCCAGGTGAGAGAGGGAAGGGGGACTGAGTGAGGCCCAGATGAGAGAGGGAGGGGGGGACTGAGCGAGGCCCAGGTGAGAGAGGGGCCTTTCAAATATTCTCACTTGTCTGTTTTCATGGACGAAGCCTTGTCCTTGGTCCGTGTCATGACTTCAAATCTCACAAGACTAAAACTCTTGAGTCTGTAGCAGCTTCGGTGAACCCTCATGTTTGTAGTTAGCGTGTTAGCTAACGTTATCCTCCTCAGGTGATGATGGCGCTGTCGAGTCACCTCAGCGCTGTCGAGTCGGAGAAGCAGAAGCTGCGCGCTCAGGTGCGACGCCTGTGTCAGGAGAACCAGTGGCTCCGGGACGAACTGGCATCAACTCAACAGAAGCTGCAGCGGAGCGAGCAAAGCGTGGCCCAGCTGGAGGAGGAGAAGAAGCACCTGGAGTTCATGAACCAGCTCAAGAAGTACGACGAGGACCTGAGCCCCAGCGTGAGTGTGACCGCCATCCTGCCACGGTCACTTTAGCTCTGTCTCTGTTAGTGACGACGAACATCAGGAAGTAAATCATGATTCAAAGTCTCCAAAGTGCTGCGTAGAGGAAAAGTTAGACATTTAAATATAAAGGTTTGCCAGCCCTATATGTTTACAAAATAGAAGTAAAACATGGTGATGTATGAAGTAAAAGCAATACAAATTTAATAAAAACAATAAAATACGGGTTTTCCAAAAGAGAAATAGAAATAAAAACATTCAAATAAATAAAACAGATAAAAAGAGGACCACGGAACTCATGCGGTGTTAAAAGCCAGAGAGTAACATGTATCTTAAGAAGAGACTTAAAACATGTCTTTGATGTCTTTATCTGCGTTTGAACTGTTTGAGTCTCTGATCTGTGTTGGCGAAATGACAGCTTTGTAAATAAAAAAATAAAATATGTAATTTAGGGCTATAAAAAAAAAAATAGAATTGAATTATTAATTTAAACCATGCTGTAAATGTAATGTCTGTGTTCCAGGAAGACAAAGACCTCGACTCCAGCAAAGAGACTCTGGACGACCTCTTCCCTGACGACCAAGACGAACCCGCCCCAGGAAGTAAGTCCCCCTCACACAGGAAGTAAGTTCTCCTCACACAGGAAGTAAGTTCTCCTCACACAGGAAGTAAGTCCCCCTCACACAGGAAGTAAGTTCTCCTCACACAGGAAGTAAGTTCTCCTCACACAGGAAGTAAGTTCTCCTCACACAGGAAGTAAGTCCCCCTCACACAGGAAGTAAGTTCTCCTCACATAGCAAGTAAGTTTTCCTCATACAGGAAGTAAGTCTCCCTCATACAGGAAGTAAGTCTCCCTCACACAGGAAGTAAGTCTCCCTCACACAGGAAGTAAGTCTCCCTCACACAGGAAGTAAGTTTCCCTCACACAGGAAGTAAGTCTCCCTCACACAGGAAGTAAGTCTCCCTCACACAGGAAGTAAGTCTTGTCACTCCCGTATTCGTCCCGGAAACCGGATTCGTCCGGAAGTTCAGTTTGATCCAATGAGCATACGCAGCAGTAGATTACGTCACAGAATCTGGACGGAAGCGGAAGTAAATATAAAAAACTACCTATTCATGCCTAAACTTAACCAGCCATTCCTATAAAATAACCCCAACCCAGCCTTAACCCTAAACTTAACCATCTTACTCAGACGCCTAAACTTAACCAGTCTCCACTTAAGGACATATTAAACTTTTTGACATGCGCAAACTGAACTTCCGGACGAATCCGGTTTCCGGGACGAATACGGGAGTGACAAGTCTCCCTCACACAGGAAGTAACTCACACAGGAAGAAAGTCCCCCTCACTCAGGAAGTAAGTCCCCCTCACACAGGAAGTAAGTCCCCCTCACACAGGAAGTAAGTTTCCCTTTCCTTTCTCCTCTCCCTCCTCTCTCCTTTGTCTTCTCCCTCTCTCTCTCCTCTCTCCCACACCTCACTCACTCTCTCTCTCTTCAGTCCCCACAGCGCACTCGTCAGCTGCCGTAGCTGCCGCTCAGGGAGGATACGAGATCCCGGCTCGTCTCCGCACGCTCCACAACCTGGTGATCCAGTACGCGTCGCAGGGCAGATACGAGGTGGCGGTGCCCCTCTGCAAACAGGCCCTGGAGGACCTGGAGAAAACCTCAGGACACGACCATCCGGATGTGGCCACCATGCTCAACATCCTTGCTCTGGTCTACAGGTGAGAGGGGGTTTCCTTTTTGTACCTTTACTCCTTTTAAACAAGTACTAAAGGTGATTGAATATACAGTAAAAATAGTTTGCAAAAAATGGTTTGTTGGCTGATGGATGCTAACAAACAGTAAACGGTGTGTTGCCATGGTAACTAGCACATTCCCTTCTCTGGTGGAATTAACTTATGCATAAACTATATATTATTGATACAGAAAAAAGGGTTAGGGTTCGAGTAATTACACTTTCAAAACTTGAACCCGTCATATTAACTGCTCTGGGAGTTGTAGTGTCAAACCAGACCAAGACATGCTGTCTTCATCTTGTCTTTCTCGTGCCCTGAGTCACTATTTGACTGTTTGGGGAGAGGGCCAATCAGCTCTCTCCCCAAACTGTCACATTTTCTGTCTGAAGAATCTGTGACAGACACTAAAAGTTTATGATGTGAAAGTTCATAATGTGAAAACTCGTGACAGAAGCCACAGTTTTTGAGCCAGAACCCAGAGACATGGATTAAAAACAGACTTGTTTGGTTTGAAATGTGCCGTAGCTTAAAGTTAGAATATAATGTTTGTTTTGCAGAGATCAGAACAAATACAAGGAGGCGGCGAACCTTCTGAACGATGCACTGGCCATCAGAGAGAAGACTCTGGGGAGGGACCATCCAGCTGTGAGTCTGAGACCATGTGACACAGAGACCATGTGACACAGAGACCATGTGGACGCAGAGACCATGTGGACGCAGAGACCATGTGGACGCAGAGACCATGTGAACGCAGAGACCATGTGAACACAGAGACCATGAGGACAAACGCATACATGTGACACAGAGACCATGTGGACACAGAGACCATGTGGACACAGAGACCATGTGGACACAGAGACCATGTGGACACAGAGACCATGTGGACTCAGAGACCATTTGGACACAGAGACGATGTGGACAAACACATACATGTGGACACAGAGACCATGTGGACACAGAGACCATGTGGACACAGAGACCATGTGGACACAGAGACGATGTGGACAAACACATACATGTGGACTCAGAGACCATGTGGACTCAGAGACCATGTGGACACAGAGACCATGAGCACAAATGCATACATGTGACACAGAGACCATGTGGACACAGACCATGTGGACCTGCCGCTGGGTGTTAGAGCTCAGTGTTTGTGTTGATGGTGCTTCTGAAACAGGTCTCTTCTGCCTGGACCAGCGTCTGAGTGAAGGTCAGACCCAGAAATATAAACAACTCAATGATTCAGACCTGATTCAACCACCGAGAAATCACAACCAATCACAGTAGTCCCACATTTCTGTTCTCAAACCTCGATCTTCACTGGTCCTCACTGATCATTAGTGATTATTAGTCATCTGTAATGTGATGTGATTGAAATATTGTTCATAATCAACACTGTAGTTTCGTTCCTCCTCCAGAGCTGTGTTTTCCTATGAGCATTTGTCCAGGAACAAGTGGTTTGAAAGTTGCGTGCCCCATTTATAAACTGAGATATTCACATTAGGGTTAGGGCTCTTCTGGACGTGAAGGAGCAGTGGCTGTACTCCGAGCTCCTCCCGTCGTGTATTGAGAGGTGATTGCGTCTGTTTCAGGTGGCTGCGACGCTCAACAATCTGGCTGTTCTCTACGGGAAACGAGGGAAGTACAAGGAGGCCGAGCCGCTGTGCAAGAGGGCGCTGGAGATCAGGGAGAAGGTGGGTCTGACTCCAGTAAGACAGATACATGTATGTAAGACAGATACATGTATGTAAGACAGATACATGTATGTAAGATAGATACATGTATGTAAGATACTGTAGATACATGTATGTAAGACAGATACATGTATGTAAGATAGATACATGTATGTAAGATACTGTAGATACATGTATGTAAGACAGATACATGTATGTAAGATAGATAAATGTATGTAAGACAGATACATGTATGTAAGACAGATACATGTATGTAAGATAGATAAATGTATGTAAGACAGATACATGTATGTAAGACAGATACATGTATGTAAGACAGATACATGTATGTAAGATAGATACATGTATGTAAGATACTGTAGATACATGTATGTAAGACAGATACATGTATGTAAGATAGATACATGTATGTAAGACAGATACATGTATGTAAGATAGATACATGTATGTAAGACAGATACATGTATGTAAGATAGATACACGTATGTAAGACAGATACATGTATGTAAGACGGATACATGTATGTAAGATAGATACATGTATGTAAGACAGATACATGTATGTAAGACAGATACATGTATATAAGATAGATACATGTATGTAAGATAGATACATGGATAGATAGATACATGGATAGATAGATACATGGATAGATAGATACATGGATAGATAGATAGATACATGGATAGATAGATACATGGATAGAAAGATACATAGATAGATAGATGGATAGATAGATACATCCATTCGTTCAAACAAATAAAAACATAAAAGTGGAGGTGGTGTAGCCGCTGGTGATGAGCTGCTTCCTCTGGTGGGTGTATACAGAGTCTGTTTGGTTCAGAGCCTTTTCTCTGCTCTGGTTCAGAGTGAAATTCTGAATGCTTTATTAGCATTTGAAACAAGCCCTCCTCCAGTGGATTTGCTTGGTTCGGACCATGAATCTGGATTAGTGTAAAACTGTATTTATCCCACCAGCGGCAACTAATGTGAGCAGCAAAGGGGAATCAAAATACTAAAGTCAGAATTGTGTGTTTGTGTTGTGCGTTGTGTTCTGTGTTTCTGTTGTGTGTTTGTGTTGCGTCTGATTCCTCCAAAGCAGTTTTCACTTCTCTTCTCTGCAGTGAGTCTTTCCGCTGCTTCCTTCCTCTTTTTGTGTAAAGTTAAAAAAACTCTGAGATAAGACTTCCTCAAACGCTCCTGAACTCTCTCCAGTTAAACTTTACGTCACATTGAATATAACTTTATTTGTCGTTGTCAGAGACAATGATATTTAGTTTATGGTCTTAATGGCCACACATCACATTTGCATAAAACTGGGTCTAGAAATCATCTTGTCTTCTCACGTCCTGGGACTTGAACCCTCTCCTACATGTGTCTGTCCTCAGGTCTTGGGACTTGAACCCTCTCCTACATGTGTCTATCCTCAGGTCTTGGGACTTGAACCCTCTCTTACACATGTCTGTCCTCAGGTCTTGGGACTTGAACCCTCTCCTACATGTGTCTGTCCTCAGGTCTTGGGACTTGAACCCTCTCTTACATGTGTCTGTCCTCAGGTTTTGGGACTTGAACCCTCTCTTACACATGTCTGTCCTCAGGTCTTGGGACTTGAACCCTCTCTTACACATGTCTGTCCTCCGGTCTTGGGACTTGAACCCTCTCTTACACATGTCTGTCCTCAGGTCTTGGGACTTGTACCCTCTCTAACACATGTCTGTCCTCAGGTCTTGGGACTTGAACCCTCTCTTACACATGTCTGTCCTCAGGTCTTGGGACTTGAACCCTCTCTTACACATGTCTGTCCTCAGGTCTTGGGACTTGTACCCTCTCTAACACATGTCTGTCCTCAGGTCTTGGGACTTGAACCCTCTCTTACACATGTCTGTCCTCAGGTCTTGGGACTTGAACCCTCTCTTACACATGTCTGTCCTCAGGTCTTGGGACTTGTACCCTCTCTTACACATGTCTGTCCTCAGGTCTTGGGACTTGAACCCTCTCTTACACATGTCTGTCCTCAGGTCTTGGGACTTGAACCCTCTTACATGTGTGTGTCCTCAGGTCTTGGGTAAAGAACACCCGGACGTGGCGAAGCAGCTGAACAACCTGGCGCTGCTGTGTCAGAATCAGGCCAAGTACGAGGAGGTGGAGCTGTACTACAGGAGAGCACTGGACATCTACCAGAGCAAGCTGGGCCCAGACGACCCCAACGTGGCCAAGACCAAGAACAACCTGGTACTCAGGGGCCTCACACACACACACACCCCAGGGACCTCACACACGCACACACACCAGGGACCTCACACACACACACACACACCAGGGACCTCACACACACACACACACACACACATACACATACACACATACATACACACACATACACATACACACACATACACATACACACACGCACACACATACACGTATACACACATACACATACACACATACATACACACACACATACACACTCTCTCACACACATACACATACACACACGCACACATACACGTATACACACATACACGTATACATACATACACACACACACACACACACACACACCAGGGACCTTTTCAAACTGGTGCGGTAAACAAATTGATCCTGCTCAGTCAAATCGATAACGTAGAGCAAAGTATTACAATATTTAATGAAATAATTACCTGCTTCACTTTGGTGTTTGAGTTTACCACAAACTCCGCCCATTTCCTCAAATATTCCGGTTAAAACTGGACTCATCTGAGGAAATGGGTGGAGTGTGTGATGTCTGACTCCCCTGAAAGATTTGAGTCTTATTTTCCTCCATGCTTTTAATGCCTTTGATACAATACTATATCAGAATATTTTAAGAATCGCAATAATATTGAATTGTGGTCCAAATATGGCAATACTATAAAATCGTCATATTTTTGTCACTTGCCAATTGACTTGATGATAACTGCAGTCTTCGTGATTTGCTAATAGCACTTTATCAACTCCTCTTTGTTAAAGGTACACTGTGTAGTTTTTACTCCCATCTAGCATCGAGATCATATATTTTAATTTACAGTACTACAGTAGCTTCTCCAGACAATATGTCAGCCATGTCTCGGACAGTGGTCCCCAACTCCCGCTCAAACTCCTTTTTGTCCCTTATCACCCTCTGTATTCCAAGATGGTGCATTGACACAGAGAGTCCTCAGCCTCATGGACATTTATAAGTCACATTCTATGACGACAATTCAAAAACATGGTGAAGGTAAATATTCTTTTAAAGGTCACATTTTGTATTGTATTACATGTTTTTTTTCTTTTGGAGCAACTGTAAAAATGACACCTTTAAACCTTGTCTTGTGTCAGGGATGAGGCTGGCTAACAGGAGCCTTTGCTTTCTCTTTCAGGCCTCTTGTTATCTGAAGCAGGGGAAGTTCAAACAGGCAGAAACTCTGTACAAAGAAATCCTGACCCGAGCACACGAGCGCGAGTTTGGCTCCGTGGACGGTACCTGAAGTTCATGTCTTTAAACACATTCTTTAAACATAAATCCATGTGAAAGTGAAACCTGTGTCTGCTCAGATGAGAACAAGCCGATCTGGATGCACGCAGAGGAGCGGGAGGAGCAGAGCAAGGTCAGAGCGGCACAATAAAGACCTGAAACTGGAGGTTCTGAGTGTGAGTGCTTTGTGCTCTGTGCCTCAGGGGAAACAGAAGGACGGCTCGCCTTTCGGAGAGTACGGAGGATGGTACAAGGCCTGCAAGGTCGACAGGTCTGACTTTATCCATTCAGTTACATTTACTATTGTACAGTAAATCACAGTAGTTATCACAGGTCAGAGACACAGGAAACACATAGAGCAATCGGTCCATAAGAGACAGAGACCACTGTCCATACATGTAGATAATGTCCATACATGTAGATAATATCCACTACATGTAGATAATGTCCATACATGTAGATAATGTCCATACATGTAGATAATGTCCACTACATGTAGATAATGTCCATACATGTAGATAATGTCCACTACATGTAGATAATGTCCACTACATGTAGATAATGTCCATAAATGTAGATAATGTCCACTACATGTAGATAATGTCCACTACATGTAGATATTGTCCATAAACGTTGTTCAGTGTCAGGGGTGTCCAACTCAATTTGGATGGGGGCCGAATGAATAAACATAATTCTTTGTATATTGTTTTATAGTAGGTTTGGATTCAACCATGCCTGGGTCAAACATCAATAAGAGAAGTGTTGTAAGGCTGAAGTGTTGGAACAGAAACAATGACATTGTTGTTTTCCTGGGACATTAGGCTTTATTATGAAATATAACATGCCATAGTAGCCGCTTACAATCGATGCTGCAAAGTTACTGCGTAAAAGATAATAATAAATAATAATAATAATAAATCATTTTAGAGGCCACTTGCGGGCCAGATTTGGCCCGCGGGCCTGAGTTTGACATGCCTGCCTTAGACCCTCCTGCATCAATCCATAACAATGTGTTTCTATTGCACAGTTCACAGAATCCAATCAAAAGTGCTTTACATTGACAACATTTAAAACCAACTGTCAGTGAATTAAAAACACACTGTACAAATGGCAATAATAAAAACAGTATAGAACAACACCTGATGACAATAGATGGTAGCAGACTGTCTCACTGCTTCTGGAAGATTGTTCCAGGCATAGCAATGAGTTGCACTGTGGTAACTGTAGCTCCGTGAGAGAGAGACCAGAGAGAGACCAGAGAGAGACCAGAGAGAGACCAGAGAGAGACCAGAGAGAGACCAGAGAGAGACCAGAGAGAGACCAGAGAGAGACCAGAGAGAGACCAGAGAGAGACCAGAGAGAGACCAGAGAGAGAGACCAGAGAGAGAAACAAGAGAGACCAGAGCAAGACCAACGTGTATAAGTATGTTATGTAAATAATAAAAACTCTAAAAACACTACATTTTAACAAAATAATGTGTTATTGTAAGTTTGACTGGTATCCAAGCAGACAGGGTTTCAGCGTTGTGACCCGTGGAGGCGGGTCCCGGCTCAAAAATGTCCAAAATTACGTGTGCTGACATGCTGCAATACCACCCTGGGCCTGTGGGGGTGGACCCGGAATAAGAATTAGCCAATGCATCTTCTTAAGATAAGATAAACCTTTATTAGTCTCACAGTGGAGAAATTTCAGTGTCATCGTTGCACATTACAGCAGAGAAAGGAAATAAGAGCACTCAGACGCACACATCAAAGTCTATTATTTAAGATAATAGACAATAAATTTAAGATAAAATAAAATAAAATAAGAAACTCTGGGCTATAATTGCACTTGGTTCGGAGTATTTACAGATGTCTATATTATACATTAGCAGCGGAGAATATGAGGATATGAATATGAGCAGAATAAACATCAGAAATAATATCAACAGGTGAAGTGACTTGAATGGGAGAATTATCAGATGGATATGAACAATACAGTAAGATATCAACAGGTAACGTGACGGTGGAAGGCAGAATTATCAGATATGAAATAATACAGTAGTACTGATAACAGTAAATATCAGATATGTAGTACTGTAGTAGTACTGATAACAGGTAAAGTGACTAGTGACAAAGTTACTAGTGAATTATCAGAAACACTTGTGCAGACTCAGTAGTTCCTGTTACACATTCTCGTTGTACAGTCTGACAGCAGCAGGAAGGAAAGACCTGCGAAACCTCTCCTTCACACAGTGAGGGTGAATTAGTCTGTCACAGAAGCTGCTCTCCAGAGCAGAGAGAGTGTCCTGCAGAGGGCGACAGTCATGGTCCAGCATAGATGTTAGTTTGCTCAGGACCCTCCTGTCCCCCACCTGCTGCACTTTGTCCAAGGAACAGCCCAGGACTGAGCTGGACTTCCTGATGACCTTGTCCAGCTTCTTCCTGTCTTCTTCCAGCTTCTTCTTGCCTCTCGAACTCGGCTTTACAGGATGGTCCAAAAGTCCGTTGGCCCAAAGCTCCGTTCCACATGTGTCAATGTTGAGGGGAGTGTATTTTTTTGGACCAGTCTAGTTTAGTGGCTGTGGACTTCAGAATGCACTCGTTAAATAAATGGGGCTGGTGAAGCTGACACATGCGCAAATACGTTTTTCCACATTTTCCAGCCCCCGCAGCCATTTTCAAACTCCCCATTAAAGCCAAAATTGATGGCACATTAGTTTGAACCCGGAGATAGGCGTGACCACATCTGTTAATATTTACAGTCTATGGTTATGACTGAGATTGGAAACTTTGAACAGCTACATGGACTTTAACGTTGGACGC